AGCCTTAGCCCTTCACCATTACCCTAGCACACCAAAAGGCACCAAACCCCATCCCATGGAGACCAAGCACCAAAGCACTACCAGCTCAGACCCCTCAACACTTAATAGCCCTCCAACCTACCCGATGTCTTGCCACCCCAATCACCCCACCAAGAATCAGCTTAGCCTTAGCATTGTCCCAAAATCCTAGCTAGCACCATACCTTTATCGCATCCTTGTCCCAGTACCAACCAACCCCTAACCAAACAGCCACCAAACACCCATACCCATATAGCCACTAATGCTCGAAACCAACCCAAACCTTTCATCACTGTCGGCACCACCACACCAAAAGCCTTTAGCCGAAACCTAGCCTACCCACTACCAATTCCCCAAACAACCCTTTCAAACCCAAAACAAAAATAACCCACCAAAAAACCCATAGCCCAAACAAAACAACCTAAAAAAAAAAGAGAGAAAAAAATAGAAACTACTTATGACCTTTCAAAATCATACCAAGCACAAAAACAAGAAAAAAGCCAAAAACAACAATAGTCCCCTGATGGGGAACCCAGCACCGGCTTTAAAAAAAAAGGAAAAAAATCATATCAATAAAAAAAAGGTTTTTGGCTAAAACGTTGAGACTCAATTTGTGGAAATAGAGTTAGTTTTTGGTAAAAAGAAGGTTGAATCTAGAAGGTAGGCGTTTAGGGGAATCTTTGAGAATTTTTTTAGACTTCCCAGCGATCGACACGATAGCTGACGACCACCGATGTGGTGGCCTGATGCTTGATTTTGGCGAGGTTGGAGAGGATTATTTTAGGGCTAAAAGGTTTTTTTTTCTTTTTTTGAAGAAAAGATAAAATGAACTAAAAAAAGTTGATTGTCGTATAAACACAAATAAGCAAAACGAAACCGTTTTAGCCTTTGGATTCGCGTGTCGACCCGTGGGTGAGCAGTAAACCGTGCACCTGACTCGATTTCCTCCATCGACTAGGCCCTGGTTAATCTAGTTAGCTTGACGTTGACAGTCCGGTTCAGGTAATTTTTTTAATTTTTTGAATTGTTTTTATTTATTTATTTTATTTACATATTATTTATGTCACTTTAAGTTTTGTTATTTATGTTTGTTTAAATTTTTAAATTTGTTAAAATAAATATTTATTGTTCATAATAATAATTAATAAAAATAAAACCAAAACAAACAAATAATGTGCAATAAAGTTTAATGTTTAATAGTTTTAATTAAAAAAATCAATTATAAACCTTATAAAATTATAAAATAATAAAAATAACTAGATAATAGTAATAACAATAATTAAAAATAAAAATTATTTCAAAACTTTTGATTTTTTATAATTTTTTTAAAAAATAAAGAATAATAACCAAAATAAATAAATAAAAGAATAAAAAAAAATACTAAAAGTGATAATAATAATAATAGAATAATAAAAAAAAATTTCTGCCTAGATGATGGAAGGAATAAAAATATTTTTTAAAAGATAAAAAATAAATAATTCAGCCTAGATGTTAGAGAATTATTAAATAATTAATATTAAATAATAATAATAAATTTTTATAAAAAAGAAATATATGAAAGAAATTTGTTTGAAAATCATAAAAATCGAACTTATCCCGAAAAATTGCATAGATGTTCAAGATTTTTAGAGATGTTCATTTTTTTTTCAAAACCTTGAAACCTAAAACCTCAAAACTCAAAATCTTTTTAAACCCTTGAAACCCTAAAACCCTGCAAACCTAAAATCTTTCAAACCTTAAACGCTTCAAATCCTAAATTTCGAAACTCTAAAATTTCAAAACCTTCCAAACCTTAAAACCTGAAACCCTAAACTTTGAAACCTTGAAACCTTAAACCCTAAAACCCTAAAAACCTTCAAACCATAAACTTCAAAACGCTAAAATTCAAAATGCTAAAACTCAAAATCCAAAACTCCAAAACCCTAAATTCAAAATCTTAAACCCCAAAACCATAGACCTCCAAAACCTTAAAATTCTAAAACCCTAAAATCTAAAACCCCAAACCCTAAAATTTAAAACCTGAAAATCATTCAAATCCTAAAATCTCGAAACCCCAAAAACCTAAATCCTAGAGCCCCAACCTAAACCCATACTCAAAACCATTTCAAAACTCTAAGAATACGTGAGAAAATATCAAGTGAAGTAATTTGTTCTTGAATGCCCCCTAGAAGATGGGGTATTTAGAAATTTTATTTCATTAAGTTTTTCGTATGGGTCCTTAACCCGCGTTAATAATGAGATTAAAATAAAAAATAAAATGAGATTTTAAATATAAAATAGTCACACCTAAGCTTTACCTAGATATTGAAAAGTCAATGTGGTCTCATTATATTTAAGAATCTAATTTCAATTTTGCATTTCATCATCATGCACAGCACCTATTGGCATACATACATTTATTTGTTATTATTTGCATTCATTTCACACATTCATGTCTTTAATTATTGTTTTTTACCTGATAATATCATCATTTTACTTTCTCACATAAAATGTTTTAAGAAAATAATAAAAAAGCATGTACTTTGAAAATGTGAAACTATAAAATGAAACAAAAATAACATTTCGAAAAAATAACTCTCGGTACTCTGTCTAGATGTTGGAGAATCACCAATAATTATTTTCTACCAAGAGTGTTATATTTTTTAAGGAATGTTGTGATAGATCTTAGGCGAAATGAATTATTTTAAAATTTACCCAGATGTTAAAAAATTTTAAAGTAAATCTTTAACTTAAAGATTTTTTTGATATCCCTAAATAAAAAACTTTAATAAAATTACTTTCTTTTTCAAAAAAAATAAAAAAATTATTATTAAATTTCAAATCTAAATTATTTTATTCAACACAAAAAATAATACATGATTAATTAGTACCAATTCATGGGCGTTGTGAGAATATTAATCATTTCTCACACATAATCGACTTTCGAATCCAACCTAATTTTTTGTAAATCGAAATTTATCTTTTTGATAAATTTTAAACCCATTTTTATTTTTTTATTAAAAAGATAAACTTTTGAATGGTTAATCATACTTTAAAAATGATTAGTAGTGATTTTCCTTTATTTTTTCGATTTTAAAATCTTTACGTCTAGTGATCTCAAAATCATTAAGACAATTAATAATTTAAAATATGATACGATGACATGATATAAATATGATAATATAATATGAACATGATATGAATATAGAATATAAAAGTGATATAATTTTAAAATTTTAATAATAATTATATTTAGATTTAATAAAATTAAAAAAATATATTTTATATTTTTATGTCGATATAAATTATATTGTATAATTTTCATATAAAATGATATATAAATATATAAATTTTAATATTTTATATAATATGAATACATAAATAGAATACAATTATCACGTGTAAAAGAGAAAAAAATGAAAAAAACCAAGGTGGGGAAAAAATGGTGGGGATTGGAAGAAAGAGCATCATCATCTCAGGTGGTGTGGGAAGGGTCCCATCCAATTTTAATTTGGCTGACTAATTAGCCATTCTCAGTCACCAATCACCATAACTTTGATTATGTGTGGGGTCCCAAAACATCTCATCAGAACAAATCTGCGCCGCTAATTTACATTCTGATTTATGTCTCAACCACCACCAAACTTTCCAATACAGTCACATCTAATCTAACATATAAATCTGTCACATTCAATTTTTTTAATTTATATTTAATGCTTTTTTACTTTTTTTAATTTGCTTTTATTTTTATTTATATTTAATAAATATATTTAATTTATTTTTAATAAAAACTCAGCGTTTTTATTTTTTAATTAAATCAAATTTTTTAAAAAATTAAATAATGTAATTTTGGCCAAGATGATTCACAAGGACAATAAAAAGAATTATTGGACCACCTTGTTCCCAAGGCAATTGAAAGTGTTAATTTTATATGATAACAATGTCTCCAATGGGCCACAAATGGAATAAAATCATTCTAGGATTGGATTTTTTTTGGAAAAAAAAAACTCTTAACACAAATGAAAGAAAAAAAAAAGTTTAGAAACTTATAGATTTACAATTTTTTCCTATAATAAAATAATCTTTCTTTTAAATTTAAAAATTAATTAAGTTAATTTATTCAATTCTTTTTAAAAAATAACAGTTAATAAATTTAATATTAAAATATCAACATTTATAATTTTTTTATCTCTAAATTACAACATATAAAATAAAATAACCCTTCCTTTTTGTTGACACTACATTTAATATTCTTCTTATTAGTATTTTTTAAAATTATATAAAACAAACAAGTTTTTTGTACATGAAATAAAAAAAAAAATCTTTTGCAAAAAATGGAAACATTTATGGAAATTTTTTGTTAACGTTTAATAAAATTGGAAAATAAAAAATAATTTTTATTCAAAAAGTAAAGTATAATTATGAAATTCTGACTTTCAGTTTTTTTAGCATATCAATCAAAGTATTTGTAGGACTTTTGTTTCCTTTTTCCTTTACAATCCCAGTCACATCTTTTGCTTTCCAATATTTAGAAATAAATAAAAAAAATTAATTGAAAGCCGCATTTGTAAGTAACAAATGGAGGCTCCACATGTCCCAAAAGAACCCAGTAAGCTAAGCTACCCCTTTGAAAAAGGGCCAAGGGCCACATCAAAGGGTTAGGCTTGAGCAAGTTTTCAAGCCAGTGTTTTGTCCCAAGTATTTTGCAGCTTTTGGCAAGGAGATATATCTTTTATATAATAAGCTGGCAGATACTAACGTAAGTGATTAAGATTTATAATTTAGATAAAAAAATATTTAGATGTAAATTTTTATAAATTTTTATTGATAAATAATTTTTAAATTAAATAAATTTAAATAAATTTATAAATTTTTTTATAGGTTAACGATTTGTTTTAATTTTAGAAATGAAATAATATCTGTGCTCTAACATTTTATGAAAAAAAAAGTTTTAATGCATAAAACTCCATTGAAAAACCAATACAATTTGTATGCATATCAAACAAGGAATAGAAATAAGTATTGTAAAAAAAGATTAGAGAAAAGCGAAAAATCATTTGAAGGGAACGGTAAAATTTTGAATTTCAACGATGGCATATAGGGGCAGACCGGGCAATTGAGCCGATTTTACAACAACAGTGATAACAAAATGGGTCAAACAAGATAGTGAAGCTTCACATGGCAGATGTTCTCTCTTCTTCCTCCAATTTTTGACTTTGCTGAGTGCTGATGCATTAGCTCTTCTCTCTCTCTCCTTTCTGTTTTCTCAATCTAAATCAGGTCTTTTAGTTAAAATTTTTGTCCTCAGAAACAGTTCCCTGGAATCTTCGGTTCCACCCCTCACCCCACACAAAACACAAAGTTCAAATCTATCTATACCTTCTTGTCTTCTATATCCAACCTGTCTCTAACAAAAGTAATTTGCACTGAAAACTTGGATCTTCATTCTCTAACAAGCTGCAAACTTTCTTTGTGGAAACCATAAAAGAATCGAAATTTTGATGAAATGAAAAACACCCACATGTTAAAACTAGTTCTTGCATTATCTTCAGCAGCTTTCTTGTTCATCCTCCTACTTTTCATTTTCTTTTACCGCAAGAGGTCAGCAAGAAATGACCAGCTGGATGACATAGAAAGCAAAGAGCAGAAGCATGAAGATGAGTCAGAAATAGAGGACTTGATCACTTTTACCGGTGAACAAGACCTCACCATCTGTGACATTCTCGATGCCCCTGGTGAAGTGATTGGGAAATCCAACTATGGAACCTTGTACAAGGCCTTGTTGCAGAAGAGCAACATGGTCAGATTGCTTCGTTTTTTGAGGCCAGTGTGTGCCTTGAAAGGTGGAGAGTTTGGTGATGTGGTTCAGCTGTTGGGCTGCATTAGACATCCCAATTTGGTGCCTCTTTTGGGATTTTATGCTGGGCCTAGAGGAGAGAAGCTTCTTGTTCATCCTTTTTATAGACATGGGAATCTGGCTCAGTTAATCAGAGGTGAGTGTTCTTTTTTCGATTCTGTTCGTTGTATTTTGTGCTTGTTTTGGAAGAAAATGCAGAAAAAAAGTACAGACATTGATTGAACATCTGAAGCCAGATTCAGTTACTTGTCCTAGTTGATATGAGCTTCATATCTTTTGAAGCTCAAGATTCACTTATTTCTCTATTCTCCCTTCAATCAAACAATTTTTTTTTTTTTGAAAAAAAATTATTTGTTTCTTTGGTCAAGTTCTAGGAGGAAAGGGATATTGATTCCCCCAAAACAGAAAATCCCAAAGGAAAAATTGATGTAATAGGGAATCATTGATGTGTTAATTCTATGTGTTTTGACATTTTCCAAAATTCAAAATTGATAAAAGAATGACTAAATTGTAAACTTTTGTCCATAAGTTTTTGTCTTTCGGCTTCATTTTTCCAATTTTGAGATATGATTTTTTGTAAAGAAAAGGTCTATTTATTATTCTTTTAACTGAAGGGAAGAAGAGTAGTATACCAACAAGTCCTAACCTGGATTCAAATTGTGAATTAACTTTGTTTTGTCTGTAGAATATACATCCACTTTATAGGCATTGCCTATCATCATTACTTTCTTTGTTGTATAATTTTTTCTGTCGGCACCTACCTCTGTCCTTTTCCCTGCCATATCTATAATTCTATCTCCATGAGACTGAAGGTTTGAGTTTACTCTGCTATATTTCCCTCTTTCAAATCTTATGTGATAATGTTCAGCAACCAAAGTAACTTCCTTTTTTTTTAACTTAACATTGGAATAGCAAAGTACATGTAAAAATATTCTCTCTGCATCATTACTTTTAGTTAGAATGTGTAGATTTTGAAATAGACTGTTTGTTTGGCCAGATGGAAATGGGGAGTCTCATAAGTGGACTGTAATTTATAGGATTTCCATTGGAATGGCCAGAGGATTAAATCATCTGCACACAGGATTGCAAAAGCCAATAGTCCATGGAAATCTTAAGTCTAAGAACATACTTTTGGATCTCAATTACCAGCCATATCTCTCGGATTTTGGCCTATATCTACTCTTGAATCCTACCTCTGGCCAAGAAATGCTTGAAGCTTCAGCAACTGAGGGCTATAAAGCTCCTGAGCTCATCAAATTGAGGGATGCAAGTGAAGAAACTGATATATACAGCCTTGGGGTGATCTTTCTTGAACTACTTTCAGGAAAGGAACCAATAAATGAAAAGCCAACACCTGATGAGGATTTTTATCTGCCAAACTTTATGCGAAATGCAGTTCTTGATCATAGAATTAGTGATATGTATCATCCAGACATACTTCTGAGGAACAGTAATGATCAGGGAAATCCGGTTACTGAAGAATCCATTCTTAAATTCTTTCAGCTTGCCATGGCTTGTTGTTCTCCTTGTCCTTCTCTTAGACCCAATAGCAGACAAGTACTTTTGAAGCTTGAAGAAATTGGAAAGTAAGAGACACAAAGGCACATAAACTTGAAGCAAATGTTATGTCACCCCTAGTATCGGGATAGTTGGATCTCTATGGATTTTTGGCTAACTTCCCTTAATCATCAAGTGAAGATATTTCAGCTTGTAGAAGTGATGCCTGGAGCTACAGAAATATTGGAATGAAGGTAGGTGCTCGTCAATTACTACAGGTGATTTCTGGTCAGTCCCCATGCTCTGCAGGTCAGTTTCCAACCTTTCCAAGAATGATGGTTGGCATAAATTTTTAATCCCATCATGTTTGGTGGCTTGTTCATTCTTTGGACACCTACAGGATTGTCATTGTGATAGTTGATCAGATTTTCTCTGTTTTTTTTTTTTCTTTAATATATGTTCTCATTGATAAACTCATATTTCAATTGTATATTCAACTAGCTATATAGTTCAATTTACATTCTATCAAATCTTAGTTGCGTAATTGTGTGTTGTAGTGTTCCAATCTTTTAGCTGGCACAGGGAGTTAACAACCAATAAGTGCTGGTTAGGTAAGAATGAATCAGATTGGAAAAGCAGAATATATAGTTGAGCTGTGATGGAGATTCATTCAACTTTATTCCTGGAAGAGCAACCACCACTTTTAGATTGTCACTATCGGTCAAAAGCCGCCCTGAATTCTGCACTTAATTGTCATCTGACTGATATAAAATTTACTGGACCTTTTTTTTTCTTGTTTCCTTTCTTTTCTAGCCAAACAACGAGACAATCTGCAAATGGCCTTGGCTGAGATGGTTAATTGTTCTGTTCAAGCAGTCTTTGGCTGTTCAACACATTGGATTGAGATTTGTCAGTTTTTTTAGTTTGGTTGTGATTTTGAAGAACTCAAGTTCTGACTTTTTCTTTTTAATGTTTTGCCAGCTTGCATCACAGCTTTAATGATGCAAACTAGACAATTAGTCATTACATATCTAATCAACTTTAACAAATTTGTCTCAGCTTTTGCCCTCCAATATTTTTCCTTTTAGGAACGCCCACTTTGTCATTTTGCATCCAAGCTTGGATCCTTGAATACCACAGCAAAATAAGTGCCGCAGACACCGGAAACGAACACCATCTCCCACAAGCATCTTGGACTTTTTGTGGAAAAAGTGTTTCTCCTACACTATCCATTTAATGGAAACATTTTCTTCATTCTGAATTTCATATAGCTTGTGAAATTGATTTAAAGTTATACTTGACATATTTGCTAGTCAAAATGCAAAGCCTTATTTCATACAATAGCGAAAGTTTCAATGTAGGGATAAGCGTCAGCACATTCAAACGTTGTACAACCCTCGGTGATCCCAAACTGATGGGTGAGAATTGAAATGAGTCATCTCTGGATTTGCCTATATAAGTGCATTACTTGATACTTCAAAACCACCTAGAAAAGTCTTTTTCCATCTCATAAACATCAAACTGCCTGGTGCTATGCTAGCCAGGCGGCCTCCAAGCTCTTCAAAGTATCCGCACTTGGCCTCTTGGTTCCAATCATCAGGAATTTCTGGCATTAGAATTCTTGAAATGTTTCTTGATCAACATGAAAACATAGCAAAGCTCCGGAGTTGGTCATCCAATGAATGGAACCACAACGATAGACTTGTTCACTGTAATTAACTTTGGGAATTTCGTTAGAGAAACTCCAAAGTTGAGTTTCAGATGAGTATATTTCCAACTGATAAAGATGAGATGTTTTTGAACTCCTAACAAGAACAACTTTGTAATGGAGCGATTTTGAAGGATCATAAGCTAAAATAACACCAAAAATAGAGTTCGGAATTTTGTTACCAGGCTTGGGAAGGGTAGTGTATTGGTTGGTTGCGGGATTGTATAAGTAGTAGTTGCGGCTGTTGCTGCAGCACAACATGAAGCCATTGCAAGATTGTAAAATCCTGATGCCTGCTGAGTCGTCAACAAAGTGACAGATCTAAGAAATGGACCGCGGACCGGCTTTCCATCTAGCCAGAGTAAGCAATATTTGGGCTTGTTTGAAGAAGGTGAAATCCGCAAGAAGAGGGCAGAGGGAAATTTTGAGCTCACATTAAGGCAACGAGAGAAGTAGAGGCTAGAAATCAGAGAAAGCCAGTGTTTTTGACATGTTTCTGAATCTCAGGAGAGTTTTTCCCGGAGATGAACAAGAATGTTAATGAGAATAATATCTTCGGAAGATAGTTTCTTTTATATGCTGTCTCTGGCTTCGATTCTTGTGGGGTTGTTTAGAAAATTAATAATACGAGAAAAGCCATTGGAAGTTGTTCTGCAATTGCCAAGCAATTCTTACGTGGAAGATCACATAGAACCTTGGTATGCCTTAAAAAAAAAGCCTCACCATTCACAGCATCAGCATCTTTAATCCTTTGACCAGGAGATTCTTACATGAAAAACCGGCATAAATTTCAGCAAGCGAGTTAAAATGAAAATGGGTAAACTTCCATGAGTTTCATTTGGCTCAATAGAGGCCCTTTTGATTCAACAAATTTTCTTTGATAACTAGGCACCCATCTGCCTCATTACTAATGTTTTCTCTGGCCAGAAATTTTGGACTCAAATCTTCTCTAATATTTGGCTAATTAAAGTATTGCTTTGCAATATTTGGCCCCTGGTCTGGCCTGGTTTCAAGGGAAACCTTGTTAAATTGTCTCAGAAAATGTTTAGCACTTTCATGCCAATATACCTGAACAACATAAACAATCAAATATTGTCTATATTTTACTAATCAAACGCCAATTACTGGTTACATTTTCCCAAATATGGAGCCAAACCAAACACAAGAAAAAATTGTAGCAGAAAAAAATAATTGGACTCCAAAATTTTCCAACGTAGATAATCAGACGCTAGCAAAGCTCTTAATGAATTGATAAGCATCAAAACATTGAAGTTCTAATGAAATATAACCCCCAACTCTAGTACGACGTGGGGCAAAATCATAAAGCTTTTTAAAACTACTGTCCTTGAAATTATACCTTATGGCTTTGTTAGGCAAGTGCAGCACCAAAAATGTGTCCTCATCAGTTTCTTCATGAACAATACAGAGTATTGAAAATGCATAAGAATGCAAGCCTATTGGATCAACATAGCCCCTAGCCATCTCAGGAAATGCTGCTGCAATGGGATTAAGATCAACTTTGTACTTCACCAACCAACCAGAGTAGTCTCTCTTCATCTCATATACGTCAAACTGCAAATTATCGGAACCATAAACTTCAACAAGATATAAATGACCTCCAGATTCTCCAAAATATCTATGTACCAGCACATCTTCATCGACAGAGGGCATTGGCATATCTCTGATTTGCTCTTCTTCGACATCAAAGTATAGTGAATCTCCCCAGTCACTTAGCCAGTGAATAGCACTATTCCAGAAAACACCATTTTTGAATTGCACATTACTTGGTGCTATGAAAGTACAACCTGAAGGCCTCCAGGGGCCTGTTGTCGGCACGTAAATCTCTATCTGATAATGATATGGCAAATCAGCATCACAATTCCTAATGCTAATTACTTTGTAATGAGGTGACTTTGAAGGATCAAAAGCTAAACTGACACCAAAAATATTCCTTGAAGACCTGCCACGTGGTCCAGGACCTAGTCCTGGAAGTACTGTGTATTGCTTTGTAGTAGGATTGTAAATGTAATAGTTTGTCTCTGGATGATCAGCACGAATGCTACAGCACAACATCAGGCCGTTACAAGATTGCAAGATTCTGATCCCTGATGGATCATCAACAAAAGTGAGGGACCGAAAGGGAGCACGAGAAGGATTGGAACTAAGATTGATGAAGTCATATTCTGCTTTAGTTTTGCCTGAAAGACGGTGCACAAAGAGACCTGAGATGGTTCTGGAATTGTGTTTAGGAGAAAACCTGGGATGGGTAACGAGAGAAAGCCAGTGTTTTGATACGATCTTGAATTTGAGGAGGGATTTTAGACGTAGGAAAAGAAGGATTAGAGTTAATATGTCATCATTACTGGCTATCATATCAGCTGATGATGATGACAATGATAAAATTTGATAAGAATTTGAAGAGGCTGGCCTGGTTCTCTTGGTGGAATGCATTTTGGTTTGAGAAATTGAGATGGCTGTCTTGTGCTTCGTTTCTGTTTGGACTTGTTCTAACATGTACATATATATACACATATATTATATATATAGAGGTTCAGCTTCTTTTGTTTCAGTTCTTTCTAGGAAGATTGCAGAGTAAGACAGCTGCAGATGATTCCCAACCACTCTTTATCATTCAACTTTTTTCATACAAAATTCAAAGACTTGCCTGCTCTTTTTCATGCCAAACAAACTGTTGAACTCTCAAGATTTCCCACTTTTCCAATGAGTGACAAGCAGCTTTGACTTTGGCTACAACAATACAAAAAAAAAAAAACCGAATTTTATCATTTTATTTAAATAAATAAGCAAATAAACCTTTAAATTTTAATTCGTATTCAAACAAGTCTTTAATCTTTAATTTGTATTCAAATCAGCCATTAATCTTTAATTTGTACCTAAAACCCTTTAACATAAATAAAATTTTCATTTGAAATAAAATACTTATTTGAATATAAATCAAATAATAAGAATTTATTTGATTATAATAAAACTATAGGAACATATTTAATGGCTTTTTTAGTATTCTTTTCTTTTATTTTGTACCGTCCTTTGCAAACCTTTAAACCAAAGGACAATGTAACAGTATAAACAGGCTTAGCAGATCAATATATTGTAGCTATTGGTATCTTCAATGAGCTTAATGTTGAATAATTAAAGAAATGGAAATGCATTTGTGCTGTTAGATGATACCTATTACCTAAGCAAATAAAACAAGTCACTCCCTGAGAAAAGCAGCAACCAAGATCATTGACAAAGCAAGCTACAATAACTTGAGAAAAGCATCTTTCACTCCATGTTATCTAACAAGGATATAGATTCTGATCAGTAGCCAACAATGAATACTTTAAGCACTTCCATTGATAAAGCAAGATGTGTTAAGGCAGTTGCCAATAAAATGCAGGAATTATCTAGGGAGGGCAAGGTCATACCTGCAGGTGAATAAGCCATTTTTAAGCATAAGAGGAACTTCTTAAGTTGGGTTTTTTTTTTTTTTATCGTTTCCATTACCATTACTGATAAGAGAAAGCTAACAAAAGGAGCCAACTCAAGTGGCAAGATGATTCGGCGTTTCTGTTTCATCACAATTGCTAACAAGACTTTTCTTCCTTTGCATCCCTCACATCCCCTCCTATCAGCATCCTCCAGATATGATAACCTTTGAAGTTCTTGTCACCTGCTACAATGTTGTACTAGCTTCTCAGATCAAAAAAGCAAGAATTCCATTTTTTTTATTTGACCCACAGACAAATATCTGCTACAATTTGGCATAGAAAAAATAATTAGTATTAAATATAAACTGTATTACAATCATACTTTGTTGCATAATTTGCAATCAATGCTACAAATGAATACATCAATTTCTTGCTCCATCAACTTCTTCCAATATGAAATAAATAAAAGCTGGCAAAATAGTTACTTTAATTGTGATAGCAAGCCATTTACAAGCATAGATTAGCATGAGCCACCATTATTTCTTTCTTCTAATTTTTTTCCCTCTCTTTTCCTCACTTTTGCCTAAGATAAAAGCAACTCTTGGAAACTTGAATCCTCACTTCAGCTTCTTCCCTCTTTCTACCTTTTCAATGAATCAGGTGAGCTATTCTCCAATGAGGTGAACATAAAGTTCCCAGAAAACATGGCTTCTTTATCTGCATATCAAATGCCAAAATTTAGGCTAGTGTAAGACATTGGATAAAAAATCTCTACTGGGCCTTTTTCAAAGATCAGAAACTCCAAGTCCCCAATAAATAACCAAAACAATCATGAGTTAGTTGGATTGACAAAACATAGCCTACCGGTTAATGAGAGGCAACTGACTTCACGACGAACATACCTTGCCATTGCCTGCAGACAAAAGTGTAAAAGCTCAGTCATGCTATGCCTTCAACTCGACACAAACTTATGGTTGTTCATACTGTTTTTCATGTTATGACCATAGTGACTCTTCTCCAACATGTCAAAATATGGATATATTGTCATTTCAAAAAGGAACTAAAGAAAGTACTTCAGAAGTAAAATGAACCAACAGCACATCCTACATGGCTGTTAATTACAATGGCAAAAGAAAAGATGAGAACATGCCTGGACTGTACGCAATGCAGCAGCATCTAGCTTGGACGTACCATCATCAGAAAAGACATTCCTGCAAAATGTCAAACCAATGTTGAACATGAGGAGCAAATGCATTGTCCAAGATATTTCCCAATCGGTGATGCAAGTAAGATTGGGTTAGATAAAGCTTTGACAGGTAGAGAACAGCTACAACTTTATAGCACCAGCCAAACTAACCCAGGAGACCAAGATTAATTCTTACATCACAATTTCATTGCCATCAAACAAAGTTTTAGCTACAGGCCACCAAGTTTCAATATAAAAAATTACATCACACTAGTATAATTCTAAATAGTAGGCATAACAATTATTAAATAAAATTGACCATCCATGCATGGACATACAATTAGTAAGACAAGTTGCATTGAGGACTACCATGAGAAATTTTTAAAAAAACTGCCTGGATCAAGTTCTGATGAAGATCTTACCTCCATATAACGTCTGTTAGCTCCTCCTGTGTAGCCTCTGGAAGCAAGGCAGCATCATAAGCAACGATATTTCCATAGAATATCTTCTCCAATTCTTTCATCCATTTCGTCAAAAGTAAGTTAACCTGTCATTTCAATAATAATAAAACCATCTGCAAAGGACTATTCAAACCAAAGAAATTACATTTGCATTCTCATCTACAAACTAATAAAGCTTCAAATGATATCATCATCAATAGCATCGTATCTAAATTGAAATAATTCTTATGCAGATGACATACCCCAGCTTTAGACACTCGAAGCTCAACATCATGATTGTAGATCTCATAAACGTACTGTCCTAATTCAACACCGTCTTTTCCTTCAGCTTTCAGGCGGCGTAAGCAGAGCCACATATGAAGGACAAGCAGGGAAAATGTCATTTTGAAGGTCTTCTCCAAATTAAATACTGCAAAACAAAGATATGGGTTTTAATTTACATCAATCAAGAAACCAATTCTATTATGACAGTCAATAAAGAAAATCACGAAACTCAACAAAAGCTCATACAAAAAGCAGACACTGACAGACCTTCATATATGGCAGGTTTATCAACTTGAGAAAGGATACGCCTATATATCACATTTGCCCCTCGAATGGACTTGCTTTGTTTACTATAGAACAGCATCATCTTGAGAATCATACGCTTGATGCCCTCATACTTTGGGTCTTCCACTCTGAGGGGAGAGTCTGGGGCCAAGGCCAATGAACAAGGCTTAGACCAAAACATTTTATCCAAATTTACCTGTTAAAAAAAAACCACCCACACCATCAGCGACCCAAAAACAAGAATTTGGAGACTCATATTCGTATAAACTCGAATTGGGTAGTTCTTCAAGAAACTAAATTACCCTCGATTTGGCAGGGAAAGATTTGTTGAGGGAATCAGCTGAAGCAGGCGCCACAGCTGCATAGCTTTGGCAACGAATCATACTAAAATCCTTCCCCACTTCTATGGAGTTGAGTGAGCGTAGCTTTGAGAGATGCGTTAAAGCTCTGCTCCATCGAGGTAACATCTTTTTCTTTTCAGACCAATGGAGCTGTTGCTTCAGCTCTCAAAGCCCTAAACCCTCCCCAAGTCAACGACACTCGAAAAGTCGGTAAATCTTGCGGTGCATAACGATCTCAATGCCAGCCCCGATTTATCCACGTCGCCAATAAAAAATGGGCCCAACCCGAAAGTTTATTTTCAATTTTGGGTCTATTTCAGAAAAAACCTAAAAGCCAATAAAAATCAATGGGCTATCCCAATCAGGCCATGAAAAATTGAAATTTATTTACAATTTTGGGTCTATTTCAGAAACAAAACCTAAAAGCCCATAAAAATAACGGGTCATATCCAATCTGGCCATGAATAATCGAAGTTTATTTCTAATTTTGGTCTTATTTTTTAAACAAAACCAAAAGCCCATAAAAATCAATGGGTCATATTGGATCCGGCCATGAAAAATCGAAGTTTATTTCCAATTTGGGCCTATTCTGAAATAAAACCTAGAAGCCCATAAAAATCAACGGGTCATATTGGATCCGGCCATGAAAATTTGAAGTTTTTTTTCCAATTTTGGACATATTTCTAAAAAACCCTACAAGCCCATTAAAAAATCAATGGGTCATATCCGATCCAACCATGAAAAACCGAATTTTTGTACTCAATTTGGGGCCTATTTCTGAAATAAAACCAAAAGCCCATGAAAAATCAATGGGTTATATCCCATCCTGCCATGTAATACTGAAGTTTATGTTCAATTTTGGGCCTATTTATGAAATAAAACCTAAAAGCCATAAAAATCAATGGATCATATCCGATTAGGCCATGAAAACCAAAGTTTATATGAATTTTGGGCCTATTCTAAAATAAAACATAAAAGCCCAAGAAAAATATTGGGTCATAAGCAGGCCGTGAAAAACCAAAGTCTATTTCTAATTTTGGGCCTACTCTGAATCAAAACAAAAAAGCCCATGAAAAACCAATGGGTCATATCCGATCCGGCCATCCAGGACCCGAGCCGGCCTTCCATTTTCCAATTTTCAAGGAAAAAAAATGTTATACCCTTTTTTCACAGTCAAAAAGCCTGTCTTCTTGTCTGTAATGAAACAAAACTGAAAAGTGAAATCCACTTCAAAATTTAAACTACCTTCACTCTTCCAACCAAATTTTCACTCTTTTTTTTTTTTTCAAATGGAAAAAACAACGAAGCTGAGATTTTGTCGGCATTGAATTTGATCTTTTCAAATCTGTGAGAAATCTTTAGACTTGTTTTCTTAGAAGAAAAGGGAAATGGAGTTCACCGAAGCTTATAAACAAACGGGTCCCTGCTGTTTTTCTCCGAATGCTCGTTACATCGCGGTTGCCGTTGATTACCGTCTCGTGATTCGTGATACACTCTCCTTCAAGGTACTTTTTTTCGCTTCCAATTCAAACATTTTTCGTTTCTTTTTGGATTTGTTTTGATTTTCCTGTGTTGAATGAATTGTATGCGAAGATTCAAATTTTAGTTTCTGATTAGATCTTTTTGTATTTAATTAAACTACATTTATTAAGAATTGATAAAGTTGCTTTACCAAAGCAATCAGATTTATGCATTAATGTTTTCCTGTTTGATTTGTATAGTTTCATTCTTTTAGATCAAGCAAAAAGGTGTGTCTTATGTTTTGTTTTTCTGGAGAATGGTAAAGAGTTGATGTATTCTTTAAAATCCCAAACTTTTTTAGTAAAATTTTATCTTTTCCCATTGAAACACTCTTGCAAATCGATCTTCTATCTTTGGGCTCATGTCTTTGATTAGGAATTTGTTGAAGCATTAGAAAATCAATGGATGGGGATGAGCTTTATGGAAAGGTCATTTTTAAGGTTCACAGCATGCATTTCTTGTGCTTCTAAATGGTAAAATTTTAATTTGGTTTAAATTGGTGCAGGTTGTGCAGTTGTTTTCTTGCTTGGATAAGATAAGCTATATTGAATGGGCACTTGATTCCGAATACATTCTTTGTGGTCTTTATAAAAGACCGATGATACAGGCATGGTCACTCACCCAACCTGAATGGACATGCAAAATTGATGAAGGTCCCGCTGGTATTGCTTATGCAAGATGGAGCCCAGATAGTCGTCACATACTGACCACCTCAGAGTTTCAGCTGCGATTAACGGTTTGGTCTTTAGTGAACACTGCTTGTGTTCATGTACAATGGCCAAAGCATGCTTCCAAGGGAGTTTCATTTACCCAAGATGGAAAGTTTGCTGCAATTTGCACAAGGCGTGATTGTAAGGACTACATAAATCTGCTGCCTTGCCACTCTTGGGAGATAATGGGTGTTTTTGCTGTTGACACGTTGGATTTGGCTGATATTCAATGGTCACCGGATGACAGTGCAATAGTGATATGGGATTCTCCTCTTGAATACAAAGTACGTGAACTTATGATTCCCTTTGTCTGTCATCAAATGGCCGTGTTTTTATTCCCAATTAATATACCATGTATATATTGGAAGAACTCAATTTCCTGTTCTTCCCTTTCAGAAACTTTGACCTTGTAAATGATAATTATAAGGATCTTATTCATTTATAACAAATTTAAAAGCCTTCTCTTTTACCCCTTTTTTACTTAAATTGTCTGTATCAAGCTTAGCACAGAGTGAAGGGAAGCACAAGAAAAAGAGTAAGATAAACTAGAAGTTTCTTTTGAATGGTAGGTTTTTCTATTTTGCTGGTGGAAATGGTTTCTTACTTTAAGATATTGCCATATCAGAACTTACATGGTCCTGACAGTTGTGTCTAATTAGCCGTCTATCACCACATAGTTATGTTTATGGTTTTACCCATGCATAAGCATGTGTTTACTTTTGTTTACTTTACTTTTTTGGTTCAAGTGATATAGTCAGATGTTAAAGAGCTTGTGGTTCCTTATGCAATTTGATACAGGTTCTAATATATTCTCCAGACGGAAGGTGTCTCTTTAAGTATCAAGCATATGAAAGTGGATTGGGAGTAAAAAGTGTTTCATGGTCTCCCTGTGGCCAGTTTCTTGCCGTGGGTAGTTATGATCAGATGCTGCGAGTTCTAAATCACCTTACTTGGAAAACTTTTGCTGAGTTTATGCACCTATCAACTGTCCGTGTTCCTTGCTGTGCTGCAGTTTTTAAGGTAAGTCGTTTTCCTTGTTATTTTTTTGCATTGCTTCTTGTTATGATATGATTCAATCTGTCAGAAGCATCTATTAAGTTTGTTTCTTATATTGCCAGGAGGTGGATGAACCACTGCAACTTGATATGTCTGAATTATGTTTGGACGATGATTTTATGAGAGGCTCTGGTAAGAATGATTAGGAATTATATCTCTGATTAATGATTTTTGTTTTTTATTTGATGTAATGATTGATACTTGTGCTCAACTTGTAGGACCTGACTGCTTTGTGCTTTTGTATTCAATTTATTAGGCTCAAATGCTTTTGCATGCATGTCTTTTCCAGTCCTTACTCAATATGCAAATTTCAGCCTTTCATATTAAATTGGGTTCATATTTACTGCTAGCAGATGCTCCAGAAGGACACTTCAAAGTTAGATATGAGGTTGTAGAAGTAGCCATTACTTTGCCTTTCCAGAAGCCTCCGGCAGACAAACCTAACCCTAAACAAGGAATTGGTAAGTCAGCATCCATGTTTACCAAACTGATGTAGATTGATTCAAAGTTTTGTGTGTTCCATACCATATATTGAAGTGGCACAATATCTGAGTGCAAAGAAAGCAGAATGCTATACTTATAATATTGACATGCTGCTCTTGCAGTACCATTAAGTCCAGCTGGCTCTGATTTTTATCTGATAAATCCTGTTGAAGTCGGAAATAATCTATCTCCTTTTTATGTTACCTCTAACACTGGATGAATCAATCTTTTAGATGAATGACCGTAGTGATGGTCATCAACTATGGCCATGGCCATGGCCATATTAGGGCTGTTAGAAGATGTATTCTTAGCGGACATGATGATTGGTTTCAAGTTATTTTTCTTGGGATCAATCATGCTTATTGACACTCACCAGTTTAGGGTTGTACTAAGCTACTCAACAAACTAATTAGAATAAGTTGACCAAATTAACTTTAATTTTCCTCCCTTTAATGCTGTCACCAACCAAATGAATTTCTTTTCTAGGCCTTCTTTCATGGAGCAATGATAGCCAGTATATTTGTACTCGCAATGATAGCATGCCGACTGCTCTCTGGATCTGGGACATACGCCATTTAGAGTTAGCTGCCATCTTGGTGCAAAAGGATCCTATTCGTGCAGCAGCTTGGGATCCAATATGCACTCGCCTTGTTCTTTGCACTGGAAGCTCTCATTTGTATATGTGGACCCCTTCTGGTGCATACTGTGTAAGTAATCCACTACCGCAATTTTCTATAACTGATTTGAAATGGAATTCAGATGGGAGCTGTCTTCTACTCAAAGACAAGGAGTCATTCTGCTGTGCTGCTGTGCCTCTACTGCCGGAATCTAGTGACTATAGCTCAGATGACTGAAGCAATTTTCTCTATCAATTTGGCTTGTTATTTAGAGAAACATAAATGTATAAATAGGCAACTTTAGTGTTTTTCTATCAGCCCCTATTTCACTCACTCACTCTCACTGTTGTAATATGTTCTTGTGCATTTGAGACTTCAATGACAGTTTTATCAAGCTATGAAAATCCTTGTATCGTGGCATTTTTTTCCCATTTTGTTCATTGTTGTAGGAAAAGAAGGAAACTTGTAAACAGATACCAGATTCAAGTATAGCATATGCTCGATTTGCTGCAGGAAATGTGTTCACCACTTAAGACGACAATATCTTTCAAATGTGTGTTTGTTTTATTTGTGAATTCTTTATGATCTTATCACTTCTTTGTTTCAACCTACCTATAAATTACCAGGAAGAGCTTTGAGTTTCGGCTGACTGTGTCAAGGACGAAGATAGAAGGAATGTCAATAAAAAAAATTACAGATATTAAAATTTGAAGTTCATACTTGCATCGACTTTGATTCGTATGGGATAATATTCATATCTGTAAAAACTGTAAATCACCATCAAAACAGATTTAAAAAACCCTCTGTAATTCTCATAATCTTGTCTATAAAATGGTCACAAATCATAGTACAAAAAGCCTATTATGAGGTCATCACATTGATCATATATCAAACTTGAGCAATATTTTCCTTCTCCTATTTTGTGAATTACTGAAGTAACCCATTCCCACAGGGCAATTATGGTAAAGTTTAAATCAACCTTTTAATTGTAAGGCTAAACTAGTAAGGCTGATAAACATTTTTGTTATTCACATGGAAAGTGTACAAAACTGTTTAACCTTTGCTGAATCTCTAGAGAAAGTATGGAAGTTTCAACATCTGCCATCACCTGAATTCTAACTCAAAGCAACTTTCAACCTCATTGAGCTCGATTAGTCCCTATAAAACTAACGTTTTTGTCACTAAGAAAGGCATGTTTAACCTTTTGACGCAACACAATGGACTTGGCAGTGTTACTAAACTCTCTAAAATTTTCCAACATACAGATGTGAAAACACCACAAAGCTATTGTTAGTGCTAAAAGAATCAAAGAAGCAAATTCAGGGGCAGAAGAAAAGAAAGAAAAAAAGAAAACCCACCATGCAGTCTAGAACACCAAGCACTGATGACTTATCTTGATCTGATTTGCGACCGTCAAAGAAAAAAGTAGTAACAGAGTCAGAAACAGCTTGTTTACAAGTGACTTTTTTTTCCTTTTTTGTTGTCTTTAACTGATGTTTTTACTTTTTAACTGCCACAGGGTTTTACCCCATATATGTTAAGCTCCTAAGTTCGAAGAATCTTTCTTTGCACCAATCTTCTGCTGCCTTGAAGGTACATTCATTGCTTCTTTATATGTAAACTTTGATATTTTTTCTTTCTGCACTGGGGTTGTTGACTTTTTGGAGAATTGACCTCCCGGGTGTCTGGGAATTGACAAAATGATGCTTGTTTGATTGAATGTTGATTAAATTTGAGGAGTCTTTATTAATGGGGTTCTGTAGTTTTGAGGTGGGGGAAAATGAAGCTTGTTTGATTAGATGTTTTTTTACTGAAATTCAAGATTGATCATCATGTTCATTGTGCATTTTATAGTTCTTGGGAAAATGCAATTGTTTGTAATATGTAACTTGAAATTTGAGGTTTTTCTTTATTGGGTCTGTAGTTTTTCTGTTTATTGAAATTCTTTTTTGGATTTTTAATTTGAAAGATTACTTGTGTTCAAGCTAGTGTTTTTTTTTTTTTTTTCTTGAGAATTTGGAGTTTTTATTGAGTGATCACTGTGATTTTGTCATATTACTTCTTCCTTTGCAGAGCTTAAAAACTTGTAGGATATGAGTAGGAGAGTGAGGCAGAAATGTTCACATAGTAAGGAAAAAGATCAGACAAATATTAGTTCGGAGACCCTGGATAGTGGATGTTTGAATTGTGCTACTATTTGTGCAGTTGATTGGACAACCTTGCTTGATGATACAGTTATTCAACTCTTTTCTTATTTAAATTATCGAGATCGAGCTAGTTTGGCATCAACTTGTCGAACATTTAGGCTCTTAGGTTCTTTGCCCTGCTTATGGGGCTCATTGGACCTCCGTTCTCACAAATTTGACACTGCAGCTGCAATCTCACTCTCCTCACGATGCAAGAATCTCCAGAGACTTAAATTTCATGCAGCAGGCTCAGCAGATGCAATTGTTAGTCTCCAAGCGAGGGCACTTCGAGAAATAAGTGGTGATTTCTGTCGGGACATTACTGATGCCGCACTTTCAGTGATAGCAGCAAGACATGAGATGCTTGAGAGTGTCCATCTTGGTCCAGATGCTTGCGAGCGAATCAGCAGTGATGCAATCAAAGCACTTGCATATTGCTGCCCAAGGTTGACGAGGCTTTGGATGTCAGGTATTAGGGAAGTTAATGGAGATGCCATAAATGCTTTGGCTAAGCACTGTAGGCAGTTAAAGGATGTTGGGCTTGTGGAATCTGACAACATTGATGAAGTGGCTCTTGGAAACTTAAGTTCCATTAAATTTTTATCAGTTGCTGGGACTAGAAACCTTAAATGGGGGTCTGTGGCACAAGTTTGGAGTAGATTGCCTCACTTGGCGGGATTAGATGTTTCTAGAACTGATGTAAATCTTAGTGCTGTTACGAGATTTTTGTCATCATCCCAAAATTTGAAAGTATTGCTCGCCTTAAATTGTCCAGTTTTTGAGGGTGAAGTTGACAGGAACACAATGCATTATCAAAAAGGCAGAATATTGCTTACATTTTTTGATGACATGTTCAAGGGAGTCGCTTCACTATTCAATGACAATTCCAAAAATGTTACTGATATGTTGCAGTACTGCAGGAAATTAAAGAGTAGAGATAAAAACTTGGATGAGATTGTTGTTTGGATTGAATGGGTCATTTCGCATTCACTTTTGCGTATAGCAGAAAACAACCTGAAAGAGTTTGATGAATTTTGGCTCACACAAGGGGCAGCAGTATTGCTCAGTTTATTGCAGAGTTCACAGGAGGAAGTTCAAGAAAGAGCAGCTACTGCTGTTGCAACCTTTGTAGTCGTTGATGATGAAAATGCTACTGTTGATTGCCAGAGAGCTGAGGCAATTTTACGCGGAGATGGAATACGGCTGCTTTTGAACCTTGCAAGATCTTGCCAGGAGGGGCTTCAGTCTGAAGCAGCTAAAGTGTGGATTGTCTCCTTTAAGAGAATATATTAAATACCAGTCCTATTCATGTTCAAATTAAAAAAAGCCTTCTTTATAATTTCTCAAAATATAAGCAATTTTAGAAGTCACTACAACTGAAGTTAAAACGTTAAACTTCAAAATTTTGTTTTAGAAGCTGTGTTCTCATCTAATACTCCACTTTGTTTTATGAGTTGCTTGGAAAGAAACTGGACACAAGCCTATTTTATTGTTGGGATGCAGGGTATAGCAAACTTGTCCATAGATTCAAAAGTTGCAAAAGCCATTGCTGAAAATGGAGGAATCAATATCCTTGCCAATTTAGCAAAATCAATGAACAGATTAGTAGCAGAAGAGGCTGCTGGAGGGCTGTGGAATCTTTCTGTTGGGGATGAGCATAAGGTTTTGAAAACTGAAGAATTTTATTGAGGGTATCTTCAAAATTGCTATCTTTACTCAAAACTGTTCCTTTTTCAGGGTGCCATTGCAGAGGCAGGTGGTATAAATGCTTTAGTTGACCTTTTATTCAAATGGCCTTCCAGCACTGATGGACTTCTTGTATGTATCTCTTAAGTTTTCCTTCCCACACATATTTGTAATCTTGTTGGAGATAAATTGTGAGCCTTTGCTAAATGATAGGAACGTGCAACTGGAGCACTGGCAAATTTGGGAGCCGATGAGAAATGTAGCATGGAGGTGGCTATGGCTGGTGGCATCCATGCTTTGGTGATGCTTGCTCGAACTTGCAAAGTTGAAGGAGTGCAAGAGCAGGTATTTTGGGTTTACTTTTTATGTAAATTAGGAAATGACAATAATCATTTTGGTGATGATGATGGTTCTGTTACTTTTTTATTAATCAGTATAATTTGTTAAGGATAATAAATAGATAGCTTCTTTGAGAAGATTTTGGATCTGCATTACTGAGAACTATAAGATGATTAAAGAATTGACCAAAACTATTCATGTCTTCCATACTAAGTTGATGTAGTGCCTGAATAACTTAGAACTGAGGCTCTCAATTGCAGATTACCTTTGCATTTAGCATGCAATATGTATCTAATATTCTCTCAGAAAGTATAAAGACTGTAGCTTCCTCTACGCTATAATTATCCAACATGATATGGAGCAATGTGTTATGTAAATGAAATTTTTATCAGGTATTTTAATTACAAGACAAGGAAAATTGTCATATTCAATTTTTAAATTATCATGCTGTCCCTGGTTGATTGGTTGTGATTGAAAATTTGTTTAGCATCCTTTGTTAAGTAACAATCTCTACCTTCTTGTTGGTGATGGGCAGTCTTAAGTGGAAATAACCCTACTCCTACTAGTCTCTTTGTCCGCTGGCAATTTTCCTCTAGTTTATTTGAAGTGTAAGCATGAACCTTTTATCTAACATTAGTTGATCTCACCAGGAGAAGGATAGTGGAAAAAGAATTTGCTGTTTGTTTTATGTAGTAAATTATTAGTGGTTTCTTTTTCTGAAATATGTAAAATATGCGTGCACTTGGGGATGTCTTGCATGTTGAAGACTTGGTCCTGAACCTCATTCAGTTGCTTTCAACTTTCATCATAAATTGAGTGTATATTGTTTAAGAAGCTCAGTTGAATTATACATTTCTACATACACAATTGTTATAGCAGATGGTCTTAACTTTTCTGGCTAAATAAGATTTTCTTCTCCTCTAGGCTGCTCGTGCCTTGGCTAATTTGGCTGCTCATGGGGATAGCAACAGCAATAATGCTGCTATTGGGCAAGAGGCAGGCGCACTGGAAGCATTGGTGCAACTTACTTATTCTCAAAATGAAGGCGTAAGGTAATCTGTTTTACTTCATATTACCTCGTTTAATAATAGCCACATCTAGAATGAAACTAAAGTAGATGACAGTATATCTCATATGTCTCATACATTTATTACTGCTTACTTTGACTTTTGGGATTTCACTGCAAATTTTCCAGAGAGTGTAATTGGATCTATTAAGCTATGTCCAGACTCATAAGCCCATCTTTGGAAATGCCATTTTATTTACTCATATCTAATCAAAAGCAGGCAGGAAGCGGCTGGTGCTTTGTGGAATTTGTCATTTGATGACAAAAATCGAGAAATAATTTCAGCAGCTGGTGGCATTGAGGCACTGGTACGGTGAATTGCATGCTAAGTCTTATTATTTCATGTTTTCAAGTAATTATTATTCTGCTTTATTTTACATCTGATGGATCAAATATGCAATTATCTCAAGTTTTGCATTACTAGTTGGAGAACTTTAAATGGTTCTACAATTTTTCTTAGCTTGGTCTTAATTTGATCATATCCCTGGCTATAACCATGCCCTTGGTCTATGACTATTTGGAGGTCTTTACTATATTTCACTACAGAACCTAAACCAATCACTTTAATAGCACTTATTGTGCATTCTATTCCCCCTTTCATTCTTTAGTTGATTGAAAGCAGCATGGACATTTTAATTTATTTTGATGGTAAAGTAATTGTGGCTATGTTCAGGAGTTCTTTGTAGTTCTATTAAACTGATGATACATTAGAGTGTTATCAGGCTTCCAGGATAGAACAAAAACTGAGGGTTTCAGTTTAATAAGGCGATGAAATCAAGATCTGCTTAGATGTTCATAAACCACTTTGATTGTGCTTTTCGGTTCATGAGTGGTAATTTTGATGTGAACCAATGGTTTATTGAAGGTTTTTTCTATAAATCAACTAAAGCTATGTAAAAATTGGTGAACATCATTGTGTCTGATGTCAAAATTGGAAGGAAACAGAATTCCTAAGGATGATTTTGTTTGATATTGTGAGCAATTCATGTTGATGAAGGTCTCTGTGTTGATGATTCTGTTAGTGTTATCAACTGCCTCTTATACAAACTCTGAAGAAGAACAAACTTTATGATCCCACAGGCTTGAACTGATAACCTAACCTCGGTAGTGGCTTCACACAAAGATATATTATTTGGCTATCAGCTTCCTTGCAGGTTGTTGAAATTTTATTCTGATTTTGCATGATTAGGTTGCCCTGGCTCAATCTAGCTCCAGTGCCTCCCAAGGTCTTCAAGAAAGAGCTGCAGGTGCTCTTTGGGGATTGTCAGTATCAGAGACTAACAGGTTTTCAAGGAAATTTCTTTTCTGTAATTGCTCAATGTTTCACTTATGCAACAATATTTGTAGAACAAGTTCTTAGGTGAAATAAGTTCTTTGCTTTGGTACAGTGTAAATTTTATCAAGATAGTTTCATGTAACCAAATGCAAGTGATGATGGCCTTGTCCATGCTATTTTGTTTATAGTGTGAAGCATTTATTACATATGCGTAAAGCTTAAACTCTACACTTAATTCATCTTCACTGTTCCATGTCTGAACAGAATGTTGATCCACAACTGTTTAGGCTTCAGTTGTGTAATATTATGTCAAACTGAAAGACTCAAATCTCTTTTTTCTTTTTGAATTTTTTTTTGTTATAAATGGGTTTTGATATATATTATTAATTTTTCTTAAAGGATGTATCTCTTAGCAATTTATGATACATATTGATGTATTTTCTATTAATATAGCATTGCTATTGGAAGACAAGGTGGTATAGCTCCACTTATTGCATTGGCACGCTCAGATATCGAAGTAAGTTTTTCACTCCTGGCTTACTCAAATGAGTCATTACTCTCAAAATTAGTTTAAGATGTCATTCTTTACATTCACTGTGATTGCAAGCCTTTTGTCAATACTCTATATACTGTCAGCATTAATGCATTAGTCCTAATTTCTAAGAATTTAAAGTTAATTTAAATGGTCAGTTTATATCATTGTTAGGCTTTGCCCACCACGGGGATTTTGGAGAATAAAACCTTCTTTTGGGGAATTCAAGCTGAAAATTTACTTTGAAATAAATGATATGAATATTTAATCACAGTGTATATTAAAATACAACAATTCTTAAGACTGGACCTGCAATTTAGACAACAAATCTTTTCAATTTTTTTGTGTGATGTGAATGAATATGAAATCTCAGTGGAATTCTTAAGAGTGGACCTTTAGTAGAAAATAAATATAACAATTCCCATCAGAAATGATGTGTTAATAATGCATCTTTGTTAACAAAGTTCAACATGCATTCCTCTGGACTGATAATTTGGTAATTCATAAGTTGTCTAACTCAACTGCAAATTGAGGTCTTGGTATTTGTTTGATTTTCAGGATGTCCATGAGACTGCTGCTGGAGCACTCTGGAATTTGGCTTTTTATCGTGATAATGCTCTCCGTATAGTACTAGATGAAGGAGTTCAACCCCTTGTTCATCTATGCTCTTCGTCGATCTCAAAAATGGCACGTTTTATGGCTGCATTAGCCTTGGTTTACATGTTTGATGGGAGGTATGTCAAACTATTTCTGAAAGTTATCGTGGATAGGCAGCCACACATAGGAAGGCACATTTATTTGTTGCAAAACCATCTCTTAAGGAAACCTTTTGAGACTGCTTTGAAGAGAATCAAATAAGAAGAGAAAAGAATCATATTTAAACTTTGGTAAATAGGTGGCATTGACTGGAAGAAAAATTGTTATAAAATTTACTTTTGAGGTGTAACTCTTGGCTCATCTATTTACAGAATAGATGCAGATGTTCCAGTGGGGCCTTTGCCTTCATCACAGGGCATTCCAAAGACTCCAAACATAGATGGGATTGGAAGGATGGCCTTGAAACATGTTGAAGAATTTGTGATCTCATTTTATGATCCACAAACCTTTTATGCTGCTGCTGCATCATTAGTCCCCACAGCTTTGGCACAGATAGCAGAAGCCATAAGAATACCAGAAGCAGGGCATCTAAGATGCAGGTTTGGTTTTTTGGCTGCAGTATTTTATATTCTAAAGATGAAACTGGCAATTTCATATCTATTTATGGCAGTAAGATTTAAGAAGTAACGGCTCGTATTTGTACAAATTGCATTTTGGATTAATCTATTTAATTTGTTAACCAAGTCTCTAACACCATTCCACAATCCACACTACTTGTAGAGAACATGATATTTGCATCCACTTGCCACTTCCTGTGGTCTCTGTCTGCCTTTTTGCCATTCTCTCCCTCTTCTCCATCTCTTGATAGTCAAAGAAAACCAACACATAGGGAAGACAATGGTCTGACAAATCAATTTCTGACAGGGTGGTCGCCTGTGGATTTTATAAACTACCCTAAGACCTCAGACTTTGTTGATGTGAGACTTATGTTGCCCCATACATATGCTGGAAACACTGATGTTTCTACCTGTAACTAATGACTACTACACCAGGCTTTTTGATGAAACATCCATGGCCAAACATTGTGTTTTATCAGCCCTGATCTCTTGAATCCGCAAGTTTTACACCTAGCATTTTATGCATCTCTTGCTACACTTCAAACTTTATAGTAAAACTAATAATCCACAGACCACCCCAAACTTTTTGTAGTAAATGTTATTTCTGTAGGTGAGACCTACATATTTCAACCTTGTTCTTTCCTTTTGTTTGAAACAATGTCTACTACAAACATTTTTTAGGAAATGCTTTTAGCAAGCCAACAGTTAGACAGTAACACCTATTCTTGTAATTGGTGCATGGCAATTGGCAAGTTTTGAGTTGATCATACATTTATAGCCATTGAACTTCTGCATGAATAATGAGTTAAAATAAATAAATAAAGGGAAAAAGAAGAGTAAGGAGTCAAATAGGGGAGGCTGTAGAGATGGCACATTTGCAAGGCTTTAAGTTTTTGGCTTGGAAAAAGGAATCAATGGGAGAAAAAAGTATATGACAGCGATAAGGCTGTCAGTCATACACCAGTTTTGTCTTGATCCTCCTTATATGGCATGCTTACTCGTACAGCTGTGATCAGTATGGTTGCAAATACCAAAAAGCTGTTTGAGGAGTTCCAGAAACCTCCATCTCTAAGCAGTGGATTCATGGTGCTAAATTGTTGAAGCTGTTATAAATATTTGCATGCATTTCCACTTGCATGTTCATAAATACAAGTGAGATTTGCATCGCAAAGTTAGTTAACATTCCTTTAATGTGTGATAGTATGTTATGTCTTTTGCAGGATGATTTTAATACCTGCAACCCTTTTCGCAGTAAATGAAATTTTCACGAGTTTCATTTTCACAGTTCTTACCTTCAGTATCATCTTAGCATTCTAATAAGTTTCATTTCTTCTTCCTTTATTTGTCTCTCCAGTGCAACTGAGATTGACAGATTTGTCAGAATGTTAAGGGATCCTTCTTCTATACTAAAGTCCTGTTCTGCATTTGCTCTTTTGCAAGTAAGCGCCTGTTATCCCTTGCCTATTTATTAAAAATGTTTATATCTGTTTAATTTTTATCAACAGCTAATGAATTTTTGCCCTGCAGTTTACCATGCCTGGAGGACGGCATGCAATGCACCATTCAGGCCTCCTTCGAAATGCATGTGCACCAAGGGTCTTACGTGCTGCTGCTGCTGCATCAACAGCCCCTATTCAAGCCAAAATTTTTGCAAAAATTGTGCTTCGAAACCTTGAGCACCACCATGAAGTCTCAAGATAGTTCTGATGATCGTTTCTGCTGAACTCTGCACTTATAGATTGTCGTCCCCCAAGAAGTACAATCTTCTCTAGAGTTGAACCAGGTGGGCTGGAGCAGGCTACCTCATCCCCGACAACCAGTCTTTTATGGTTGTGTTAGTCACTAAGGTTCAAAACTAGTCACCCTCCATACCTCCTGGATCACTTGTGTAAGTAAATAAAAGGGAGGCCTGCATGCTCATGGAGATCATTACACTGATATTAATGAGGTGTAACAAAATAGGAACCCTTCACCCTTTCTGTTTCTTCCTAAAAACATCAAACGCTAAATAACACAATCACAAGGGATCATCCTTTTAATATATATACATATAGTTTGTGGTGTTTTTTCATCATTGGATTTAGATACATGTATTTTGTAGTTAGTATCTAATCAATTCGCCCTGCTTTTCGGTTTCCAATTTGCTTCAATTTTTTAAGAGTTTTTATTTAAAGCGATTTTGACAAAAACGTTTTAAATAACTTTTTTCATTACTTATAAGATTTAAAAGATAAAATATTAAAAAATTAAAATAATTCAATCAGTTAAAACATATAAATATTAGTTATGAGGTCGTAGGTTTAATTTTTTTTTTTAGCTCTTCGATGTTTTTAAAGAACATTATTTAAAGTGTTTTTGATAAAAAAAATCATCTTAAATAATTCATTTCATTACTTATAAGATTTAAGCTTCAATATTTTTTAAGGATATTATTTAAAGCATTTTTGATAAAAAAATATTGTCTTAAATAATCCATTTTATTACTTATAAGATTTAAAAAATAAAATATAAAAAAATATTTCATTATTTATAAGATTTAAAAAATAAAATATTAAAAAATTAAAGTAGCTTGATTGCTTAAAACATATAATTATTAAGCATAAGGTCATCAATTCAACTTTACCCTCTCTAACGCTTAATTTTTAGAGTTCCTATAAGATTTTTTTTTAAGATTATTTAAGACGTTTCTTTTAAGAATTATTTATAAGATTTTTTTTAAGATTATTTAAAACATTTTTTGTTAGAAAATATCTAGATCAATTTTTTATATGATTATTTAAGGTATTTTTTGTCAAAAAATACCTTAAATAATCTCATTCAATTTTTTATAAAAAATTATTTATGATATTTTTTTATCAAAAATACATTAAATAATTTTATAAAAAATTAATAAGATTATTTAAGGTATTTTTCATGCCAAATGTCATTAATTACAATATAAAAAAATTTTAACAATAAAAATTTATAATTAACTTATAGTCACTTTCAGACATATTTTTTAAAATAGTAACGATGATTTCATAATTTTTTATTAATGTCAAATTTAGAAATAATATAACTTTTTCCTTCAAAATTTTACAACACCATAAAAAGAGGTTAATTTATGATTCTAAAATTTTGAATACCATTAAAAATCTATCTCTTTCTTTTAAAATATAATTATATTAAACTAAATGTTAAAATTAAATACTCACAAAAAAATTCTTTTAAAAATATATATAAATTCTCTTAAACTAATCGTCTCATAATAAGTTCACGTAGCTTTTATAAACTGACTTAAAGGATTTGAAGTTTAATCCAAATATTTTCTCCCTTTTTTTTTTTAACTTGAATTCACATTAAATTATTTTTTCCTTAATTTCTTGTGCTGCAATGTCCCTTGTATTAAAAAAAAGCTCTAAAATAATATATGGAAAAAAAAAAAAAGAGAGAAAAAAGGTTTGTGGTTGAATGGAAAATGCTCATGAAAAACACCAATTACACAAAAAAAAAATCCTTAACCCTAAAAATGACAATAAATTGGGTTAAATAGTCGGGCTCTGTAATAAGTTTTTTGCACAATTTTTTTTGTTAGTCAGTTGAATGTCTTTTCCGGTTGGCTAATAAATACTTGAATATTTTTCCAAATATTATGTGAAAGATGATTTGTGGACCTTGTTTTTCTATTCAAGGTAATGATCTTGTGGTTGTCCCAGTGAAGGAAATTGTATGGATGTGGCAAACTTACATGTTTAGCCTTTTTTTTTATCAAAATTTAGTGACTTGTTGACAAAAAAAAGAAGGGTAAAAAAAGTATTTTCCATGTAAGCTCACCACATTTAATATTGACTATGGAGTTTGCTTTCGCTTTATTTAAGTATGCCAATTACAAAGAATAAGTTTGGTTTCCTTTAAAAAGAAAAACAAATTCCTCAACAAAAAGCTTATTTCATATAAAATTTATGTTGCAAAATTATTTATTCTTAAAATCTTGTTAATTCACATTTGTTGCAATAATTTTTTTAAAGACAAAACTATACTCCAATGCTATCAAAACACTTGAAACTTCATTGTCCAATAACTTTATGCTTTGAGATTTTTTTATTTTTTTTAATTTTAGTTGAATTTAAATTCAAATTTTAAATTTTAAAATTAATTATAATATTATTGAGCGAATAATTTATTAATTTTTTAATTTTTAAAAATAATTTTGATATCTCATTCATATGGGCCAACTAATCTATTTTTATTTTTTAAAGGATAAATATTGATTTTAAGAAACTCGTTAATCTATTATATCATTATTTAAAAATCTATTTATTTAGCTTAAAGGACAAATTAACACAAAAACCCAAAATTTTAATATTAATTAATTTCCTCCATAATCATTTATATAAGGTCAAAAAATTTTATTTAAATAACTTTTAACATTTTAATTAAGTAAAAAAATTATTCACCGTTATCAGAATTTAAAATTATTAAAATATTATTTGTCGGTCAACAGTAGCGAGTAGACTTATTACTTTTTTCCACGTCACATCTATCCATATCAAAGAATCACCCGAAAGCGAGTATAATTAACGCGCTTATTTAACAAAAAAAAGCGAAATTCTTTTTTTTTTTTTACTTTCAGTTTAATTTTCCAATTTCCATTTAATCCCAAAATTTCTTTAAACAATGGGCATTTTCATTATTTCCAACAGTGAAAAGGTTTTTTTTTCAAAAATAAAAAATTATAATTTCATTGCTTAATTTTCAAAAATTTCCAATTGGTTGTGGCATTGCTACGTCTTTCCTTTATTATATTTTCCTTCGCTTTCAGTTTCTTCCTTGACACCTCTCATCTGATTTTTCTCGCACTTTCTCTCTTTCCAATCGATTTTTTTTCTCGGGAATCTTCGATCGTCTCCAAAACAAAATTTCATTTCCTTTCTATTCAAATTCATGCTTCTGTTGTTGATTGTATTACTTACGAGGTGACGTTGAACGGCACTGTAAATATATAATTTAAGGAAACTAACTAAACAATGCAAAACGACGTCGTGACGAACGGAATTTGCTCGACGGAGTCGGTGAATGGCAGTCGCGATGTTTGGAGTTGTAAAGATTCTGATTCTTTATCAGCTGATCATCTTGTTATCATGGTCCACGGAATTCTCGGCAGGTCCTTTTTGAGATATTCAATTTTGCTATGTTCGTTCTTTTGAATTGGATTTTGAATATGCTTGATTTAGTTTACTATGTTATGGTTAATTACTTTGATTTGTGTCATAATTTACTCATATTTTATGCTTTTGAGATATTCAATTTTGTTATGTTCGTTCTTTTGAATTGGATTTTGGATGCTTGATTTAGCTTACTGTGTTATGGTTAATTACTTATGATTTGTGTCATGATTTACTCATATTTTATTCTCCGCTTGATTGTAATCGGTTTAATTTGAAGTAATTAAATTATAATTTGATTCTGAGATTGACTCAATAAATGCTGCATTTGAACTGAAAATTTGTTAGGTTTGAGTCTGTTATATCATGGCCATTGCATTGCATCATTTCCTATTTACATGGAAATTTTCAATCTTGTGGTGTTAAATCGTGTTCAATTTTATTTTTTATTAGTATTATTGTATTATTAATAATATTATTAGAAGTTATCCTGAAAGGGGTTTTGGCCCTGGTTGTGTGCTTGCTTGTGCAGTTCTTCAGATTGGAAGTTCGGAGCTGAGCAATTTGTTAAAAGGTTACCCGATAAAGTATTTGTCCATTGTAAGTAGTTTTTGTTTAGGCACCATCCTGTTTTGCTGGCGCTTGTTGCTGCTTTGGTATGTTTGTTTCTTGTTCATATCTTCTTTAGATTGTTAAGGATGATGGAACCATCAATGGATTCATAGTGGTATCAAAAACCATTAATTTGGTTTTCTGGATTGCTCTAAAACTACTCTTTTAAACATGTTTTTTTCTTTATTTTTTACTAAGCTATTAAGTATTGAAGTTTTCAAGATCAGCATGTTGATATTTAAGTTTCTGGCTGAAGTTTTTCTGCTCGATTTTACTTGGTTGATAAACATTTTCTGCAGGCAGTGAAAGGAATATGTCTAAGCTGACTTTAGATGGTGTAGATGTAATGGGTGAACGATTGGTAAAGGAGGTTAGTGCATATTTGATAATGACCCTATATTTGAGTCATCAAAATCAATTAAATTTATTACTTTTAATATTAGAGTATCAATTGCATATTCTGATTTATTATCAACGTTTGAATGTTAGGTCATTGATGTTATTCAAGAAAAGCCAAATTTACGCAAGATCTCCTTTGTTGCACATTCTGTGGGAGGACTGGTGGCCAGATATGCAATTGGGAGACTCTATAGACCACCTAAGGAAGAGGTTAAAGAGGATACATCAGGTAATGGATGCAAGGAGGAACCGATGGGTACAATTGGTGGCCTGGAAGCTATGAACTTCATCACTGTTGCATCTCCTCATCTTGGTTCAAGGGGTAATAAGCAGGTAGCTTTTTTGTATTAACAAATGTAAATGCATGTAATAGCCAAAACATATTATTTCTCTCTTGCTCTCTGTCACTCATATGTGCACAGTTTTGCACACACACAAAGATCACTATGTTGTATATGGTTATTACAGAGTGTATTCTCTAACTAAGCTGCTTCTGAAAGGTTGTTGTTGTATATGAGTTTCTGTTTCCAGTAGTTTGTTGATTGCAGCATATGTTGTGTTGTTTGTAACACAACATACTTTTTTTTTTTTTATGACTTACCTTGTTTGTTATGTGATGTATTATCTCTCATCAGTGTTGGCATGTCAAGGATATTAGCCATTGTTGAATTATCTTTACTTATTGTCACTGTAAAATGTTTGGTTTACAGGTACCATTTCTTTTTGGGGTAACTGCTTTTGAGAAAGCTGCAAGTTGTGTTATTCATTGGATATTTAAAAGAACAGGTCGGCACCTTTTTCTTACCGATGATGATGAAGGAAAGCCTCCACTGCTTAAGCGGATGTTGGAAGATTATGATGAGTTTTATTTCATGTATGCAACTTTCATCTTTGTTTAAATTGCTTCTGTGTAAAGTTACTTGAGATGTCTTACTTTGAGGTCTGGATTTGTAAGATGACTGAAATAGTAGTAAATTCATTTATGCAGGTCTGCATTGCGTTTATTCAAACGTCGGGTGCTATATTCCAATGTGGGCTATGACCGTATCCTTTTTCCATGATCCGTTTAAATTTTTTAAATTTCAACTATTCCATATTTTTGTTAAGTTTGATTGGTTTTGTCTTTGTTAATGAAATATTGTAAAGATATTGTGGGCTGGAGAACATCATCGATAAGACGGGATAGTGAACTGCCAAAGGTATTATCATCTTTGTGAACTTTTTTCATTTGATTTCATGTTTGCAACTCTTTTGGTTAGAAGTTGATGATCAGAATATTTGTCTTGTTATTAGTGGGAGGAGTCTTTTAATGAAACATATCCACATATCGTGTATGAAGAACACTGCAAGGCCTGTGATGCTGATCAGTATGAAACTATTTCAACGGAGGATGATGGCTCATCTGACAAGCTAGAAGGTATACACACTTAATTTCTGACTTTAAGAAGAACCTGTACTCTTGCTAAGTTTAGTTTGCTTTTGTTGGTTGCCTTCAGCATTCCAAGTTCACTAGTTTGCTTGCCCAAAATACATTTTATCTTCTATTCTGTATTATTTTTTGTCACTTTCTTCTGTCTGACTATTTTTCAATTACTTCCTTTATTAATTTAATTGCCAATGCAGCCAAATGGTTTTCTTTCGGTCTTAATCAATTTCCCATGAGTAATTGTTCTTACTTGCCTGCTTCTTCCCTCTATTACCTTGTATTACTTTCTTTTGATGGTTTCCAAACTTTACAACTCCATTAATTGGATAATGTTGTGCAGAGGAACTGGTGAGAGGCCTATCCCGAGTTTCGTGGGAAAAAATAGATGTTAGTTTTCACAGTAGTAGACTGAGATTTGCTGCTCATAGTGTTATACAGGTCCCTCTCTCTCCCTCTCTCTATTTATCGATCTGTCTGGAGTTTAAGGAAAGGTTTTATGTAGTCAAAATCTACTTTTTATTTTATTTCGTTTGAAGGAGCAAGTTCTTATTATGCACGTTTTACAGGTTAAAGATGAAGTTATGCATATAGATGGTGGAGATGTCATCCAGCATATGATCGATCATTTTCTCACTTGAACCTTTGGTCTTAGAAATACTCATCATATTCGCGAATATTATATTCTCTTAGGTAAATAAAGATTATTTACTACTGAGATCTCCTATTCATTTGACTGTTAGGGTCAGTGCTTGAAATCCCGTCCGTTGCAGTTGAATGGATCAATACTTCCGTCAGTTCTCGGCAATGGTACGATAACTGTGATTAATTCAGCAGTCATGAAGAAATTTTTTTCATTCATCATTAATAATTTTATGTTGCATACATGTGCCAAAAGTATATATTTACACTATTACTTCTTTTTCTGTTGTGCTGTAAACAAATTATTTGGTAATTTACAATTTACATGAAAGGTTCTGCTTAATAATTTCTTGATGAAACGATTAAGCCTTTGATAATTTCTATTTTGCTTCTTTAAGAGGAAAACTTCTAAAATTTGAGCAAGTTATTTTTTTGTTATAAAAGACATTATAGCCTGATAATAAGTGAAAGAGTTACAATTACTAAAATTTAAATTTGTTAGATGTTATTTCTTTAAAAATGATTATATGAACTGAGTTCTTGAGTTGAGTTTAAAATTTGAGGATGTTTTGTTAGAGAGAAAAACTTACAATGGTAGCAAAGGATTGTTCTGATATGGTAATGGATGCGACCGAAGTTAAATAAATGTGTGTTTTGCTAATAAAAATATTGAATTTTTGGATTGTGGTCTTTTGATGTGGGAGTGGATGTTGTCGAAGTTAAGTGTTTTGTTAATAAAATATTGAATTTTTAATTTGAAAAATTCAAATTCGACTTTTGATATGTTTAAATATAAAAAAATTAATTCAATAAAAACTCATAATTATTATATTAAACTAAATTTAATTTATTTTTAATAATAAATTCCTTTATCAGCCATTCAAGTTTACCTCTTTTAATTAAAAAAAACCATAGCGCACTTTTAAAAAGAAAAAAAAAATCGATCAGAAATAAAATAAAAGCTAGAGTTAAAATGTTGACTGCCTAGTAGCTAAACGTCTAAACCGCCTGTTACAGACAGACAGTCAAAGTCAAGTCACCAAACTGTTGTCCCGTACGTCAGCTCCTCCGTTTCTTAATTTCATTGTCTTTAAAAACCTTCGTAACAGCTTTAAATTCAGCATTTGTTCACAAAAAAATATTGGTCGAAAATTTGTTTCCATGGAGTTACCGGTTGCCTTTCCTCTCTCCAAAGCTTATCCTCTTTCAACATTCCTCTTTGGGCGTTTGTCTATCTCTGTCACTTACAACTGGTTAATGTATCGTCATCTATAGGAAATGGATGCGGGCCATGGTCTGATCTGGACATAAGGTGACTTTTAGATTCAGCTAAATGCGTGGCCTGACATGGTTTTGTCTTCGCCCAGATTTGTCAAAGGCAGTTTTGGGGTTTGAGGTAAGTTTTGGTGATTCTGTTATATTGAAAAGATAAAAATGGACTCTTTAGAAGTTTGCTTTAATTATTAGATGAATATTAAATCTTTTGAAAAACATCAAGAAAAAATCGTTTTTATCTTCAAAGATTTCATATTGATTTCATATTTAAATTAATAATAAAAATTATTTAATTGTAATTAAAAATTATTATAATTTTGATTAAAAATTTATATTAAATAAATTTTATTAAAATTGACATTTTAATTGAACTAATATTACAGTAAAATCCAAATCTAAACCTAGCTTAAGAAAATCTTGAGCTTTAACCACTAACATCCTTGGAGCAACTATACGTTTATTGATTTAGTATTTTCTTTTTCAAACATTTGAAATATCCATTTGTGAAGTTAGATATGTTCAATCAGATATTTGATTTGGATACAAACTGAAACTTTGGTTCAAGTCAAAACCATTTATGAGACTGATTCAGTCATTTGCATTAGCAAAAGATTGCCCGCAAAAATATCTAGACTTCAATCATTGTTTTCCACTGTTGAACAGGATTTTGAAATGAATTTGCATTGAAATACCTGCACATCCTGCCATCATTATCTAGTACTAGCAGCCATTGAGGTCACTATCAGGCATTGACAATTTTCGGACAAAAGAAAACAAATTTCATCACCCCATCCTGCTCTCAAAACATAATAAAGAAAGAAAACAAACACAAAAATAGGAACAGACGATAAGTCAAGACTCATGGACATCATCGTGCCACGATCTTCTCCACAAATTTTAACTGCAATTTTACATAAGATTTATGTAAAACAGGGTCCTGCTCTTACGTCATCATTTTGCTCTTACAACAAGTTTCCCTGTGATTTGGACATTAATCATGGACCTTACGTTACAGCTTATCCTTGTTCACATTATCTAACATGTCTCCGTAACATGTTTTCTAGTTAACGGTGACAGACGGACAGTTGATTCTGATCATCAAGCTCATGCTCTTCTTCCTTCTTCACTTCCCAAGTCAGCTTACTACTTTCCGGTGACATGATGTCACTTTCCGGCAACTGAGTTCTCTTCTCTTTTCTCCTTTTCCTACCCGTAGAAACTGGTGGGCTAGCCTCTCCAGCTTCTAGTGGAAAATTTAATATTGCTTTGTGACCCCTCAGTTTAAATGCTGCGCAATCATAAGCTTTGGCAGCATCAACATCAGTATCAAAAGTACCTAACCATATCCGACTTCCCTTCCTGCTAGGGTCTCGGATCTCCGCAGCAAACTTGCCCCATGGCCTTCTCCGGACCCCTCTGTAATGTCTTGTCTCGTCACAAAGTGACACCTTTGGCTCCAGTTTTGACCCTGAAATGAAAGAACTTGGAGATTCCAAATCAAGAACGTCAGGTTTTATGTCATAGCTGAAGATTTCAGGGATTTGGTAATTTGGGTCGGATATGGGAGAGTCAAGTTGAGGTAGTTCAGGTTCCATGATGGGTTGTAGCTGAGAGAGACCAAAATCAAGGCCAGCTATAAAAGCATCTGCGGAGGCAAAGTCTCCGAGAAGGTGCTGTGGAATGAACTCAAGTGTTGTTGATTCTTCGAGGGTGGCCATTTTTTTCAAGTCTTCAGGAATTTAAAGAAAGCGGATGACTTCAGAAGTGAGAGTGAGTTAGGATATTTATAAAGGGAAAGAAAATATCCAAGCTTCCCCCTTGCAATTGCCCTGGAAATTGGCATCCTTCATTTTCTAGTGTGGGACTCACCTGAAATTTATTGTCGTTTTGGATTGTCCACGGTGCTTGGAGAGGGGATCTTTCACCCAAAGTTATGTGCTGGAAACGGATGATTTTCTCTTATTACATTATTAAGGCAAAAATGGGGACCTTTAAAGGAATGTTTCAAGTTGGTACTATGCAGAAGTGAGAAAGATCGTCCATGTTTTATCATATGTTCTGGGCTGTGACCTTCCAACAATCCAACTTGTGCAAAGCATCCATAGCAGCTGTGGTGTAAAGGAGGCATGTATAGGTGTGGGCATGCAACAAATTCGGAGACAAAACTCTTTGCAACTGGATTACTTGGAGGGCTGCACAGGCAACTAACTCTTTAAAGGTTCTTGCATTTTATTTGGCAGCTTCAATCATTAATTTAAGTGTAAAACGACCAGATGCAAAGCAATGTGAAGCTGCTCTGCTACTTGCAAAGTACCCTGCCCAAATTATGCTACATGTATGCATGTGTCACAATGCGAAAGCTTCAACCTGTCACGGCATCCTTTTGCGAGCATAAGATTTGATCTTTGACATGAATGTTAAATCTTAAATGTTGGCATAATTTATGCATTTCCATAGTAATAAATTAAAGTTGCCCTTTTCATAAGTAGATAATTAAATTGTTTGTGTCAAACTCCAAATGATATTTTTGAAAAAATAAGAAAAGAAAAGAGCGATTAAAAATAAAAATAAAAAATATTTTTTATATTTATATTTTGATATACGAATTAAAGATCGATATAAAAAAGTTGGAAGGAGATAATAGTAAAAAATTTGAGTAAGATGTAATGAAATAATAGTATCTAAATATTCATATTTATAAAAAAAAAAATTTTATGAAAGACAATAATAATATGATTGAATTGATGTAATATTAAATATATCAAATCGATTTTTCGTATCAATTCAATTTAAATGTTCAAATATTTTTAATTATTTATTGACAGCTTTTAATAAAAAAATTATAATACTTTTTTTATTAGTAAATATCCTTCTTAAACCTCAAATGGATAAATTATTAAGTTACTAAGCAAACTATGATATAAAAAAAAAATTGTACCGAATAAATTCAAGTATATTTATTATTAAATCAAATGTTCGATTACAATTCACAATCATTACATAACTATGAAAAAGGAATTAATAATTTTTTTGGCTGCAAAATCTCGAAAGTAATGCAAGCCAGAAAAATATTTTATTCACAAATTTTTAAACAAAAAATATTTATTGATTTACATTCTAACCATACATAGGGAATTTCGAACGATCAAACGAAAACAATTTCATTAAATAAATAAATCAAAAAACAAATACAATTTCAATCAATAAAAAGCTTAGGCTTAGGCGATCCTTTTGAATGCTATACTCTACTTTATGTGCACTAATAATTTTTTCCATTGTTTTAACGCTTAACTTTCCCTTTTGGTGTCCATCTTGTATAATTCAACCGACCACGTCCGTAAAATTTTTTTGATTTAAAATTCATTTAAATGATCATCAAAATTAATTGAATGAGATTAAAAATAATAATAAAAATAAAATTAATTATTATAATAATAAAATTATATATTTGAATATAAATACAACTATAATAATGAGATGAATTTTAATATAATAAAAATTAATCATTAAAGACATTAATTTAAAATTTATATGTAATAAAATTTTAAATTATTTAACTTATAAAAATTCATAAATAATAAAAATTTTAAAAAAGTACTTTTATGATAAATTATAATTTGTTAATAAATAAATAATAAAAATAAAAAATAACAATAATATATTAAATAGCAATTTTATTATATTAAATTAGAATTATTTTATAATTTTTTTAAAATTAAAATAAAAAAGAAAGAAAATAAGCCAAATTAAAAGGATAAAAAGATGATTGTTGGCTGGATCTAAAACTTTCAGTGAAAAAATGCTCATTTTCGCATCTAAGATTATACATTCAAATGAAAGTTCGATGCGTTGATCACGAACTTTCAAAACAAACGCAACTCCACTGAAGGTACGGTTGAATCCAAAATGCAGCCTTAGTACACGGCGTTTGGAACCCATCAAAAGCCTTATCCCTCCACAATTTACATAATCGCAAGCCTAGGACACCCAAACGATGGATGAGGGGATAACGGAGATAACGGAGGGATGCTGAATATTCCCTTCATATATTCACTATCCCAAAACCCTGTCCAATTTGATGGCGTTAAACAAACTCCCGGCGTTACACTTTCCGTCAACGTTACCGTCTCCTTTGCCGCCGCCATATCCACTACCTTTTCCTCCTTTACCTTCTCCCTTTTCACTATTTTACTTTCCAGGCACTCTTCTTCTTCTTCTTCTTCTTCTTCCTTTCTTCTCCTTTTCCTTGAAAATGAATCCTCAGTTAATTCAGACTCTGCGGACTTTGATTGTCCAGCTTCAAGGGGGAAGTTCAGTATGGCTTTACTTCCACGTAGCTTAAAGGCAGCTCTATCATAAGCTTTTGCAGCTTTTATGGCGGTGTCAAAGGTTCCAAGCCAAATCCTTGCGCCTTTCCTGTTAGGGTCTCTGATTTCAGCTGCGAACTTGCCCCATGGTCGTTTCCTGACACCCCTATAGTGTCTTTTCTCGTTAGAGTCTGATGATGATTCAACTGCAGCTGGCTTTGAGCTTATGTTAACATTTGCTGGTGGGATTGTCACGTTTACAGAAGGACGACGCTGGCTGAGAGTAGATTGTTTTAGCTGGTTTGGGCTATGGACTTCAGTTCGGTTGATCTGATCAGGTAGCTTGGATATTACATCCGTATCAGGGAATTGTGGGATTTGAGCAGTCTCCACCCTGGAAGTACAGTGATTGAGATTCGAAAGAAAGGTTTCCATGGAAGCAAAGTCGCTAAAGAGGTGTTGCCTGATGAGTTCCAAGGCTGATGTTTCTTTGGAAGATGTCATTTGGGAAAGGTAGTTAACGTTTTCCAGAGAGAAATTGAAGTGAAAATTGGAAGTTGGAGACTTGAGGAAACTGATTTGAGTGGAAAGAAGGGTGTGCCGTGGTTAGTATTTAAGGCAAGAAAAACTAGTTCATGAAAAAAGAAGAGGAGATTTCACACGAGCTTCCAGGATAGACCCTGGAAGCTCTTTCTTAATTATTGTTGGGAATCTTTACATTCGTGGAGGATCCCTTAGCCATAACTTTTACAAACTATTCTTCCAGGGTGCTTCTGCCTGGAACCTGTAATACGTTAGATTGTACGCTATGATTGCAATATTAAAGAATCCCCCCTCTAATCAACAGTAATCATGTCTAACCGGGGATGTTTTATCTTGAGAGATTAGTTTAGAAAAGTGCAAAGACCGGTGCGTTTACATGTCGAAACTCAATCTTCATATTCATACGATTTTAAAATTTGAATATGTACGCATATTTTAAATTAATTTATTTGTTATGATTTATATTTTTGTGAAGTATTATTTTTTTTAGTCTCTTTAATTTTATAATTTTATTTTATAAAAAATATTTCACAAAAAAAAAATAATGTGAACATTTATATTTTAAGATTAATTCTAATATTTAAGATCGTGATATTTTTTTTCACTCTAATGAGGATTCATCATTTTCAGTGACATATCATTAATACTTTCAAAATTAATTATGATATCACTTATCACGGGTTGAAATTTAATTTTCAGGCTCATACGACTTCAAGATCTAAATATACACTCATATAATATTTTAGATCAATTTATTTATCATGATTTATATTCTTATGAGATATTATCTGTTTTAATTTTTTTAATTTTATGATTTTATTTTATAAAAAATATCTCATAAAAAATAATATTAAACTTTTATATTTTAAAATTAATTTTCATACTCAATCGATATGAAAAATTTTTTACGCCACTTCAGGAACGTGACAAATGCATATGCTGTGGACTTCCAAGATTCAAAGTTCATTTGACAGATTTCATTACGTTTATTTATTACTAAATTTTTGAAAAGTCAATTATAAAATATAATTCGGAAGAGATCAGATCACATGTAACTCTTAAATTTTGAAACTGTTGGATAGTGTATTTTACTGAGAAATGTTGACAGTTTAGCCTGGAGAAAATTTTTTTGAATGTGATCATTCAACAAAAAAAAAAGATATTACCGTTTCAAATGTCTTTAGACTTTCAATTACAACCTTTTTGAAATGTAATTAATTCTTAAACTAGTCAACAAGCAACTTTTATAAATTGGTGAGTACTGAAAGAGAAGATTTTAGCTCCCTAATTGTTTTACAGCAGGTTTTCCTTTTTTTTTTTTTCTTTTGGATAAATAAATTTTAATTATCCGAAAATAAAAACCATAGCAAAGTTCTAAACAGAATTTTTTATTGATTACTTGGTCTATACTTAAATATAATATAAGTTATATTAAACTAAACATTACTTATGACTTGGTCATACTAATTGAAGATTGTCATCTTAAATTTGAGATATATAGAATATATATAGTAATAATTGTTATAAATTAGTAGATTATAAAATAGATGCCAGCCACTGGTTTCAGACTTATCCAATCCAACCTTATCAAGCTAGCCAATCTGTTAATTTCAAAAAAAAAAAAAAAAAAATTCTGTTTGTCCTAAAATCGCAAACCAAGTTGCTAGTATTTTTTTTTTTCTTGTTTTGGTTAATTAATTTTCTGTTAAATTTTTTCTTAAATATCATAAATAACAATTTTTTAGTATAAAAAAAATTATATTTGTTCGGATTTGAATTTTTTATTTATTATATGTCAATTCTTAACCCACTTGTTCTGTCTACCATGCAAATTAGAAATCTATTTGCTCAAACGACAATACCCATTTGTCCTGTCTACCATGCCGACAAGAAGTGGAATGTGTGGGTGCCCTGCTCTCTCAGTTATTGACATTCGTTCATACTGTTGTCAGAATCGTGGATTAAGTTAAACAAAATAGTCTAAAAATTAATTCAACTTTATGGTCTCTTTTTTCCCTTAGCAAAGCTTTAATTTCCCTTTGTTAAATCTAAAAATAAGGCCCACAATGGAATTAATTTGTTGATTTATCAGTTAAGTGCTGTTGCGGAATATGTAAGAGAGCCAAAATTATATGACATAGCTAATTAAAGATATCAATTTTATACATACTTAATAAAAAATTTAATTTTTTATTTAAATGAAAATAAAAACAAAAATTATATTATAGGTATAAAAATAAAAATAGATATAATTTTAAATTTTTATTGAATATAAAAATAAAAATAAAAATATAATATTTATTTCGTACCTACATCTTATAAATATTTATATATATTTAATAAATAATTTTTTATTAAATAATATAAATTATTATTTTAAATTAATTAAAACTAATATATTTTTATTAAAAAATATATATTAATATATATTTATAACATAATTATCTAAATATAAAAAAGAAAACTTTAAAAATAAATTTTAATTTTTTAATTATAGATATAATGATTATCCATATTCATTAAATAAAAATAAAAATATATTAAAATATTCATCAAGTATAATATAAAAAAATGAAAAATCCTTTACTCTATCTGTTGAATTGAAAATGGAGTACTGGAGTTATGACCTTTATAGATAAAACTTGTAATCTTGACTTTGACTCTGGGGACTAATCTATTCAAAATTCATGTGGTTTGAATTGCTGACTACGGAGATTGGAGCATGTGAGAGAAAAAGAGAAGTTTTTCCACTTTCAAATCAACACAAGAAACGAACCTGCCCTGCATGGAGCTGCAAAACGCCCACTTGTGCAAGCAGGTGACTTTCATGATCAACTTGCTTTGAAAATCCTGACTGCAGATCAAAGCTTTTATGGAAAGCAGTTAATGGAGCTGTGGGCGCCAATATGTTCTACATAAATGGTCACTTGGTTAGCGTTTCTTTTTCAAGATGTTTACTTCAAAGAAAAGAAAGAAACAAAAATTGATTAGCTTGACAGCGATGGAAGCGATCGACATTAATTGAAAATTTTTTCTCAACTTGCATAGTTATTGTCTCAGTTGCATATTTACAATTAAAATAATAACTTGCAGCAATTACAAATTCAATTCTTGATCGATTAAGGATAAATTGATATTTGTTTATTTGATTAGTCAAACTCAAGCTTATATGCTTAATTTTTAATTCAGTTTTTTAATATAATACGATTCTAGTATTTTTTTTTTTTATAATATCTATGTTCAAGAGATAAATACTTGTAAAGAAATAATGAAATTTTGATTTAATGATAAAGATAAAGTCTTCAAATTTTAATATCTTAGGTTAAAATTTCATTGTCCATGAATTTAATTATTTAATTTAATTAATTATATATATTATAATAAGTTTAAAGACTAATAAATGTACCACATTACTTATCATCTACAAAGCAAGCAGTCTTAATCAACCCCTCTATATTAATTCTATAGTGTGGTCGTCTACAACAAGTAAGCTTAGTTGTGCATCAAACCAAAATTTAACTTTAATATACATAGAAATTTTTATAGATTATATGTTTTTTAATTAATAAATTTTGATTAATATTTATTCAATTACAAAAATTTTATCAAAATTTTTAATATTTAAATGAAACAGATCAAAAATTATTAATTATTTAAATTTTGTATGCTTAATAACGAAGCTTTTTTTATTTATCGATTTAAATATTTATTTTTATTTTTATTAAATCACTTTTAATAAAAAAAATTTTACTAATTTCACATAAATAATGAACTTAACAATGGCAATGGCAGTAAATAATCGAAAGCCATGAGGGTCGTGGAAGGTACGCAGGCGAAGGGATGACCACGACCGCACGCCACCTCAACCAATAAAACAACACAGACAAAGTTATTGAAGAGTCAATGCTTGACCAAGCTGTGCGTTCTGTTGCAACGGTTGAATGTTGTTGACGATGAAATTTCTCCCCAGGTTCATACTTTAAAAAAAAAAAAAAAATTGTTTCATGCCTTAAATTATTATTTGAATTTTCATTATGGCTTAAATGTAGAAATAAAAAAAATATTTCATCCTAGTTAAATATCTCTTTCTCTTCCCCCTTGTTAATTATTTCATTAAAATACAAAATAGATATATATTTTTGTTAGATAGAAGTATAACACACTTTTTGTTAAAAAATGGGTTTTTTTTTTGGTTAAAATCATGATCATTTTTATTTTTGAGATTATTAAAAAATTAAATTTTAATCACCGGAATTAAAATTTTAATTTTCTAAAGATCACCATCACATTCCATTATTTTTTCCAATAACAAAGCAATAACTTCAGTAAAAGAAAAGGAAAGGTATTAAAGTGGCTAGAATAATAACTTTTATCAAACTCATCATTATCTTATATAGTCCTTCCATTTCAAATTATTTAAGTGGTATTAATTTTTACAGAATTTAAAAATAAATTTTAATTTTAATATATTTAATATTAATTTTTAAAATTTTTTGTAAAATTATAGTTTCAAAATTTTCAACGTCAAAAAATTAAAAAAAATCTAAAATATTAATTTTAAAATCTAAAAAAAAAGTTTTAGATGTTAAAAAAATAAAAAAGAATACAATTTTGAGACATCCAAATAAAAAATAATCAAATAAAATGAGATAAAGGAAATACTATATATATGTTAAAGTTTGTTAAATTTAAATAAAATAGCTAAAAGTTCCAGAAATATTTTTCATTTTATTTAAAAATATTTATCATTTATCATTTATTTTTAATGAAAATGTGTTTGGTAAATAAAAATGTAATATAATATATGAAAAACGAGTTGCACCAAATTGTAATGAGCACTAACAGAAGATTTTCTTTGAAGTAATCAACAATTCTTTAATATCATCTTCTTTCCAACAGCGCACTCCAAAACCTTTTCTTCGTAATGGGAAACACGCACGTTTTAAGAGCTCAAAAACATGATCGAGAAAACAACTCGTGGAAAGAATTCCAATAGAGTTTCCACGTAGAAAAACAATAGAGAAAAAGCATAAGGAAAAAGACCACTTAAACAGTAAAGTCTTAATTAATTAATTAATTAATTTAATCAGATAAAATTAAGTTTAGTAGACAAATATCAAATCAAGAGTTTAATTTAAAAAATAATATTTAATAATTTTAATATTTATAATTTTATTTATATTTATAAAATACGGCCTCGTTTATATAAAAGGAAGTGAAAATATATTAATAAGATGCTAGTTTAATAATTAAAAATTTCGAGTTTGAAAAAAAAAACATTGGGCATATATGGCTGATGAATCTAATTGAAGTGTTCTGTGGTATTATAAATTGTAATTGCCCTCACTCCTATCCTATCTTGGTAAAATTAACTTTATTTCCTTGGACAAGTTGCTCGAGGAAAAGCATGAAAAGGACTTGCAATTGGGTCCTACTTATCTTAGTGGCATTTTTTGCTTTCATATTTCAGTAACATATGTTGTTTTTTTTTCATGCTTTTTTATATCTTAATCAGAGATTAGGGTGATTAAATTTCTTATCCACCCACAATATGATCATGATTATAGTCTTTAATGCTTTAAATCTTGTAATTGGATTTGAGGAAATTAATTTTCCGATTAGAGAAATCAAGATTAAATTATTAATTAAATTAAATTTCGAATTTAAAATATTTTGTATCAAAAATACTTTTTGCTTAAGGAACATGTTGCTAAAGCATTTTATTTATATATATGGCAAGTCGCAATTATTTAATATGAAAATAATAGTAATATTAATATTAATAATTCATTCTATCTAGTAATGAAGAAAAAGATAAAAATAAAATATTTGTGAAGTTTTTTTTTTTTCATATTTTATCTTCCCCTTGGACTTCCTAAGCAATTAATTAATGTGCAATAAATAAGAGGCTACATCACAATCGATACTTTATTTTATTGGAAAAATCTTTAAAGATAAGGATATTTGGCTCAATGGTTTGTGTCTTTTCCTTAGACGAAGAAGATATGTTAATTTTCTTTGTTTTTAAAATCAAAATATCTTAAAATATCTTATAAGTTGTTCAATTTTTTATATCAAAATAAAATGTATCATATCTGATAGTTTAAGATAAATAATTACAAATCGTACATTCGATATAATCTTAATAAGTAATCACTGACAGGATTCAAACTCAAAATTTTTTTATCGAAAAAGATAAATTTAATCGATTGAATCAATTATTTGTTGATAAAATATTTTAATTTTTTAATTCCAAAAAGTATATCATTTACGCTATTTGTAATTATAATTTTTTATTTCTAATTAGCTTTTATTTAATTGTTTTTAACATAAAAGTATAAATTTTAAATTAAAGAAATATATAAAAAATAGAAATAAAAAAAATTCAAATCTAACTTTTTAAGTAATAAAACATATACATTTTCAATTGAATCAAACGTTTTCCAAAATGTATTTATTTTTTTGGTAATATGTTCAAATATATTTTCAAATTTGTTTAAATATAATTTTATTTGAAATATTATTTATAAAAACCTAATCATGATTAACAAGAAAATGAAATTTCTTCCCTTATCTCTTGTGAATATCGATTGATTTTATTAAGTTGCAATGAAATAATATCTTCATGATTGCCAAATAAAAAAAACAAAAATTAAACAACGACTTTATCCTCATTGCTTCCTATGCACAGCTACTATGATTCCATTGGTGTAAGTAGGCCATTCATCACCCGCAAGTAACATACTAAAACCAATCCTGTTCTGTCCTTAATACAACATTATTACATAAGCTGATGTAAGGGTCGGACATCATATTCCCCTCATCTAATCCAACATCCATCATGTGTTTCACACGAACTAATGCCTTCCCTTTCCCTTCCAATTTGCCCTCTTGCATTTTACAAATTTCATATCATTTACTAATCTCTCACTTTTTTTTTTCTATAAATACCCTCGTGTCTTTCTTAATTTTATTCATTATTAATCTCTTTCTTTTTCTTTCTTCGTTTTCTTTGCTTATCAAAGTTAATTTAGTCTAAAACCGTATAAGTTGTATAGAATGAACGAGGTTAGTATGTGTGCTTTTAGCATTTCTCATCAATATGCTCGAAATTCAAGTTTTAGTTGTCTTAACTCTTGTTTAACGGAACAGTGGGGCGATTTGCCCTTGAAAGTTGATGACTCTGAGGACATGATCATCTACAACTCCCTTCACGAAGCTCTTAACTTTGGTTGGTCTCCGTCGGATTTAACGGTGGTAGCTGCCGTTAAAGCCGAGCCTGAGGTGATGACGCCAGTAAACCCAATGGGGTTGACTCAACCTGTAGCTGCTGCAACTCAAATGTTATTTGGAAGCGCTTTCATGGGACTAAGTAGTGAAAATGGAAGCACTTTCTTTATGGGAAAACAGGAAAAGTGCGTTCGAAATAGGAATCAGAAAGTGGTTAAGGGGAGACATTACAGGGGAGTTAGGCAAAGGCCATGGGGGAAATTCGCGGCAGAGATCAGAGACCCGGCTAAGAATGGGGCAAGAGTTTGGCTGGGCACTTACGAGACTGCTGAGAAAGCTGCTTTGGCTTATGATCAAGCGGCTTATAAAATTCGTGGTTCCAGGGCTTTGCTTAATTTCCCACATAGGATTGGCAACAATGAGTCTGAGCCTGTCAGAGTCACCGGTAAGCGCCGGGAACATGAGCCGACCTTGTACAAAAGTTCTTCTCCTAAGAGAAGGAAAAGCTTGGCAGGTAACCAGACCGAGTTGGAGAGAGACAGGGGATTGACTATGTTTCAATTGGGACATGAAATGCCGCCAATGCCTGTTGGGGAACGGTTATTGGTGAATTAAAAGCCTTCTTTTTTCTCTGTTTGTTTGTTGTGCGACGACAGTGTGAATAGAAAGAGTTAAAACTAAACTATACGAGCTTTTAACTTTTGAGTGCATTAAAAGTCTTTGCTTTTTGTTTCAAAGATCTAAGGATTTATGTATATATATCATATAAAATATTAATATTTATATATTTATATAAAATTATATATTACAATTTATATTGATATAAAAATATAAAATATTTTTTTTTATCAAATTTATATATAATTATTATTAAAATTTTAAATCATGTTATTTTTATTATTTTTTGTTATATTTATATCATAAGATAAATATTATCTTATGATATTTGAAATACCAGATTTACATGAGAGGATAAGCAAATGAACCTGTGCAGAGTAGATTTCATCGGGGATTGAAATATTGAATTGAACCCAAGGCGATACTCGCCCTCAACGGGAGTTTACCTGACCATTAACCACTTGGGCTAAGAGCCTGTGGTCAAGTGTAATCTTCATGAGAAAAATGAATGAATATATGAAGGGTTACATACATTTTAGATTGAGTGTGGATAAAGTGGAGCATTACCAATTAATGGCAATGAGGAGTAAACTATTGGGGATGCTTGAAACTAGCTTTATGCTTTATTAAAAAAAACTTATGTGCAACCAAAAGGTAATAGTTACACACCTCATGAATCACAAGTTCACTGGTAGGTCTTATTCTTATCTATATATATAACATAAATTATGTGATTTTTATTTTAAATTTAAGATCGAGTCAGATTTTTTTTTTTTAAAGACTCAAGTTAAAATAATAAAAAATTTACTATTGATATACGATTTTATAAGTTATAAATTAATTTAGTGGATAATGATCCTTCATGTTACTAGACAGATCTCAGCATTAGGCTAGTATTAAACCTATAATCTTTGTGATTGGGGCTACGAAGGCACCTATTATAAGGTTCTAATTAATATAGGCATGTTAATTGGTGGTTTAGATGTTTTGCTAAATGGTAATGGACAATTTTCCCGATATGTCATTGGACTCGTGTTGTCATTAATTTACGAATTTTTTGAAATTTTTTGAATTTGCAAAACATTTATTAACAAAAAATTATGAGATTTAAATTTAGATAATTTTGTATTTAAACCCTAAATCCTAATTACTTGTATCAACCCTTATCAGTAAAGCCAGTGATGGGTTTTATTTTTGAAGAAATCACATAAAATGTGACTCAAAATGAGAAATTAGTCAAGGGGAGAAATAATGGTTTGCCTTAACGTCAACGTAATTAGGTCCTATCTATGACCAGCTGACTGCTCTTTATGATAAAATTTCCACAAGGCACCATCACCATTATTCCATCTTAAGCTAGTCAGTTGATGACAGACAAATTTATCTGGGGAAAAACATACCCTGTAATAGAGATCTGAACAACAAATGTTAAGGAAACAGGCTTTGTTCTCTCTTGCACTGGAAACATTGAAACAATTCAAGAGCTCATAAAGTAATTTATGAAGAGTAGTACACTGTGAAAATGTCAACAACACAAACATGTAGTATAGACTTTACCAAACTTGTATGCAAAATTAATTAGAATTTCGAATTCTAAACTTAATTCAATAGTTCATGTAATTACTTTTAAAAATAACATTTAGTAAATCTAAATTTTAAATTATAATATTTATAATATATATTTTTTATTTTTAGATTAAGATTTATTTATATAAAAAAATTAACTAGAATTTCTACTTGATCTGAAAAACAACTGCAAAGATTACATGAAGATCTGGTCACTGAAAAGGTAAATGTTACTGAATTAATGTTTGGTAGAAAGGATGCCCAAAATTTCTTCCTGGCTTTTGGAAAATGGGGTGATATGGGAAAGCAAGACTCTGCAGAATTGAATTGCAGTCAATTATTAAAGTAGGCATATGAAAAGAATAAAATCTGAAAAATCAAATAGACTCTGTATATCACTTGTCAATTAAACGTTCCTGTCTGTGGATGTTCAACAAAATAAGTTGGCATTTTCCAAAACCAGACAAGACATCTGTTTAAAAATATTCCAACATTTTAACTTTAATCCTTTTGCTTATCTTTTTTCTTGTCTACCAACCACGTTTAAGATTAAAAAAAAGACATTTAAAACATTAGATTCTTTCTTTTTTTTTCAGGTATAAAACCAAAAATATTTTGACATGTTGGAGCTGATTAATCTTCATTGTATCTATTCCTGAATCTTTCCTTTCATTGTTTCTTTACAAATGAAAAAGATGAAAGTGGTAAGTGGTAAGTAAATATGAAAGGAATAAATTAAGGTAAGTCATCGTTTCACACTGACACAGCTTCAAGCCCCAAAGTAACTTTCATTTCTTTTTCTTTTATTCACATTTCAAAGTTCATCCCCCTTTATTCCGAAATAATAATTAGTGGAGGAATTACTAGTGGTACTTAGTTCAAGTATAATAAATTATAAAAAATAATAATAAAGATATTTCCTTGATAAATCCTGAAGAAAAATTTTCCAACGAAGGCTACCCACTTCCCAATCCATCAGCTATATACTGATCATTACATCCAAAATAATGAAATTTACCAGGAATGAAATTGCTCGGAGTTCAATGAAGCTAAAACTTTAAGGTTATCGTATATAGAATAATAAATTGAATAAGATGATAATTATTATATATCATATTTAATTTGTATTTAAAAAATAAAATTGTAAGAAGAATTAAGTATCCTCTTGATAAAGAATGATTCAATTCTATCAAGTAGAGAGATTATTTTTAATTTATAAAATTAAAATTATATGTTTAATTATATTATTAAAAATTATATCAATAATTTAAATTATATAAATTTTAAAAAATAGTAATTTTGATTAATAAAAAAATTATCTTTATTTAATTTTTATACACAGCAAACATAAGATAAAATAATATTATTTAATCTAATTTTATTCATAATATCATTTGATCTTATTCTATTATAATCTTATCTACTAAGGTCATGTTTGATGTATAATATTATTGATAGGATAGAATGATAATCATCTTATATCATATTTGATTTGTATCTAAAGAGGAGGATAGGGATTACAAAGAGGATTAATATCCTCTTGATATAAGATTATTTAATCCTTCCTAAGTGAAAAGAATTCTTTTAATCTATGAGATTAAATTTACATATCTAATTATATCTTTAAAAATTATATCAGTAAATTAAATTGTATAAATTTTGAAGAAGGACAAGTTTAACAAATAAACAAATAAATTATTATATCATAATCTTTGCATATATCAAATATAAAATTAAATGATATTATTTAATCTAATTTTATTTATAATATTATTTTATCATATTTTATAATAATTTTGTGTACTAAACATGACTAATGCATCTTAAAGACTTGTAATTGAACCTGAATACTCTGCCGTGTAAGGTAAATTGGGTTGACTTGAGAGCCATGTTGGATTCTAAGCCCATTTCACGCTTGACCTGGATCCATCTAAAATGCTCAAATCTAATTATAAAAATGCAAAATAATGGAAATGGAAAGGATTTATTTACTACCATTTTTAATCTTTAATTTTCCTCTCCAAATAACAAAACTTGGGTGATCCAATGTTAATTGAATCCCTTGAAATTGGGCGTTGCTTACATATATCTCTTTTAATGGGTTAACCAAAGCTTTCCAATGTGATATCCAACAAATACTTGTATATATCTACATATTAAATTTAGGTAATTGATGGCTTGGATCAAATCTTAATTTACATGGTGGAATTTCATTAGATGTTTGAATTTATCTTTTGGCAATGAAAGGAATATTGTTGGAATCAAAAGGAAAGAATATACAAGGAAACAAATCCCAACTTCCATGAATTTTGATACACGAATCGCGTTTTCAAAGCAAAATTCAAGAAATGTTAGAAAAAAGTTTCTAGGCTTTCCAAAACAAGATCACACGTTGCTAACCAAAAATTAAGCGTTTGGTAGACTTGATTTGAAGACTATAAATACCAGCAGATAGGAGACAAGGATTTCTCATCTCTTTTGCTGCTTCTGCATGCAAAACAACATAAGGGCTCATGTTCACGACATATTATCAAGGAGAGACAAACATAAAGGGCTCGTGTTCATGGTATTTCATCAGTAAGCCTTGTCTCTCCTTGATGATGTGTGATGAAGAACTTTCTCTTTGTATGGTTGTTTTATCCCTGGAAAAAATATATACATAAATTCTGGTTTCATTTTGTTGATATCATCACAGTTTCAGCATTCTGATTTCGGACAAATTGATTGTGTTCTTGGCGATTCATAAATTAAGAAGACTGTTATAATCTGTTTAGTTTGTGAATTGGCATGAACAACTATTTCTTTGAATGTTATTCAAGCAAATTGCCAGTGCGATATGAATACAATTGGTGAGGTCAGGTCTTGATGTAATCTTTATTCCTTTATGGATTTCTGAAATCTTTGAGAATTTCAAATTTCAGCAAAGTGCTGGTCTTCAGGGTGATTTATATCAACATATATATTACTATAAAACTAAATTATTGATGAATTACCCTGAATAATATTTTAGGCCATCTTGGAGCTTACGAAAAAGCCAAGGGTTCAAGGTTACCAATTTTTACATTTTACTATTATTGCCCATGTTTCTTCAGCCCCTTTTCTCTTCTAGTTGTAATCATTTTCTTTTCGGGTTGTTGAAATTTTATTGTATCATCCAAGATCAATTTGGATTTGAGTCAATGCAAGTTTGATCCAATTTGGGTTTGAATCAATTTTAATTTGATTTAATTCGAATTTGAGGATTTGAAGTTGTTAAATTGCTTTGAAGTGCTTGTGCAGGAAGACAATAAGATCAATTAGTAAACCCTGACATAGACACAAGAAAAAAAAAATCATTTTATTGACTTTGAATTAGGCAAAAAAAATGCAAAAAACTGGGAATAAAGACTTGGGTAATATGAGTATTTTCTATGGAAGCATCATTCCATTGAATTTGGTTCATTTCATCGTCTCCACTTCACTGAAGTCTAAAAATTTCCCATTATTTTAACATTTTTGAAAGAGTGAAGAACCTGCTATTACATATCCTGATACTTAGAATATAATTATATGAATCTAAATTGACCAGGAAATTATTAATAATAAAAAATTAAATTTAACAATTAAATTTCGTTTTTGATTTTCAAACACGAAATTCGTACGTACAAGTATTAATATATTACAAGTAGTAAATGTTCAAATAAAAGATGATGAATAAAGTTTCTTAAAAAATAGTAGGAACTTTACAGTTATCAGAATAATAGTTGGAACATTTGATACATAACTGATGGTTATTAGACAGAAGATGGAGAAGGAAGCAGCAAAATGACCCAAATCAACTGGTGGAGGAGCCGCCCCCGGATGCGGCTGCATTAAGATGTAGGTATTGACCAAAGCACCAGTTTACGGCATTTAGTCAACCTTAGGACTTCCTGTTAAATAATCAAATCTTCTATATGTGCCGGATCTTGAAAATCAATGACTAAAATACATACTTGTAAGGAAAGCAACGTTAGGAAATCAAAGCTATGGAAGTGTAGCTCATGCATTTTCCACTTTTTACACTAGTATTGACCATAAAAGAATAAAAAAACACAAAATGAAGTTTCCTATCACTCATCCTTGCTACACCCTCAATGCAGGCTGGATTCAGCATCTGATACTACTATATAAAAAGCTTGAAGAAAACTAACAACTCTCACTTTCTTCATTTTGTATCAGTGTTGCATGATCATGGACGATTTCAAGAGAGTTGGAACTATTGTTTTCTCAGAGTTGCTATGTCTCAGTGTTCTAGTTATTACTACTAGCTTTTGCAACGCGATCTCGGATGCTGCTTGTCTTGAAAGTGAGAGGCAAGCTCTTCTGAGGTTCAAACAAGGCCTGATAGATCCTTCTGACCTGCTTGCGTCTTGGAGCAATGGGGGGGATTGTTGTGACTGGACCAGAGTCATATGTGACAACTTAACTGGTCATGTCGTTGAGCTTCATCTTGGGAATATCCATGATCCAAATTATGATGTAGTCGTCCCAGGCAAGGCTTTCGAGCGATCTAGATTGAGTGGCAAGTTAGATTCTTCTTTGCTTGATCTGAAACATTTGCAGTACTTGGACCTCAGTGGCAACAATTTTGGAGGACAAATTCCTGGATTCCTTGGTTCCTTGCAGAGTCTCAGATATCTCAATCTCTCTACAGCTGGATTTGAGGGACTGATTCCCCCTCAACTTGGAAACCTTACAAATCTGCGGTATCTTGATCTCCATGATCCTTTATCTGTATTTTTGTATGCAGAGAATCTTCAATGGCTTACCAGTCTTGCGCGGCTGCAACTCCTTGACTTGAGTGGCATCAGTATCAGCAAAGCCACTGATTGGTTACAGGTGACTAATTCGCTCCCTTCATTGATTGTCTTACGCCTATCATATTGCCAACTTGATCCCGCTCCCCCTCTAAGAAATGTTAATTTTTCATCTCTGGGCACTCTCGACCTTTCCTACAATAAATTCAGCAACTCCATTTTTAGCTGGATTTTTGGCCTTAATTCTCTTGTTTCACTTGATCTTAGTCAAAATAGTTTTCAGGGTCATTTCCCTCATGGTCTAAGAAACATGAGCTCTCTTAGATATCTCAGCTTAGCAAGTAACCAATTCAATTCGTCAATACCCAATTGGTTGTACGGTTTGAACCATCTTCAGTACCTCGATCTTGGATTTAATAACTTGCAAGGCACAATCTCAGAGGATGTGGGAAACTTGACTTCAGCCATCAGCCTCGACTTCGCATACAGTAAGCTTGCAGGAGCAGCTTTAAGATCCTTGGGAAACCTTTGCAGCTTGAGAACTCTCGTTCTGTCTGGTGTCAGATTGAGTCAAAACATATCAGAAGTCTTAGACTCTCTGTCAGGATGCCTCTCTGATAGGCTTGAGTCCTTGTTTCTGGCTAAGTGTGAACTTTCCGGTCATGTTAACAATCAACTTGGCCGATTCAAAAGTCTACGTGACCTTTACATGTCGAAAAATTCTATTTCTGGTCCATTTCCTGACTCAATAAGATCACTTACATCCTTGAAGGCGGTAGACCTCTCTGAAAATCTATTGAACGGGACTTTTCCAGAATGGCTTGGCCAGCTTAGGGAATTGGAAATTTTGTGGATTGGTAAAAATCTTCTACAGGGTGTCGTTTCTGAGGTTCACTTTTCAAATGTCACGAGATTGAGGTTACTTCAGGCTTCAGGAAATCAATTCAGTTTGAAAGTGAGTCCTGGTTGGGTTCCCCCTTTCCAACTAGGGGTCATAGCTTTGTCATCATGGAATTTAGGACCGAGCTTTCCACATTGGCTTCGCTTCCAAAAGGATTTTGTGTTTTTGGACATATCTGTTTCCGGAATCGTAGATACAATTCCTGACTGGTTTTGGAATTTGTCTACCCAGTTCTTTTATTTGAATCTTTCTCACAATCAAATCCAAGGGAAAATTCCTGAGAAACTCAACACAAGTCCTCCACTTACTTATCCTTCATCTATTGACCTGAATTCTAATTACTTTGAGGGTTCATTGCCTTGTTTGCCTTCGAATGTTGATACATTAGATCTTTCAAACAATTCATTTTCAGGGCCAATTTCTCCCTTCTTGTGTTGCAAGATGGATGAACCAAAGAACTTGGGAAATCTTCGTTTAGCTGACAATCATCTATCCGGACCAATTCCTGACTGTTGGATGAGTTGGCCAAGCGTGTTTTCCATAAATTTAAAAAATAATAATCTAAGTGGTAGCCTTCCCAACTCAATGGGTTCTTTAAGCTTGCTTCAGTCTTTGCACCTTCGCAAGAACAACCTCTCCGGAGTTTTGCCGCCGTCGCTGCAAAATTGTTCGTCGTTGTTGGCTCTTGACCTCAGTGAAAATAAATTTGAGGGGAGCATACCCAGCTGGATTGGTGAAAAGCTTTCAAATATCATGATTGTTAGCCTTCGTTCAAATAATTTTCAAGGTGATATTCCTCATAAGCTCTGTGCTCTTAGTTATCTTACAATTTTAGACCTGGCACATAACAATCTGTCAGGAAAGATACCGAAATGTTTCACTAATTTCAGTGCCATGGCCAGTAAACGGAACTCAAGTGATCCCATTTCTTATGCTTTTGGTCATTTTAAAAGCTCCATAGAGACAACATTAGTGGTGATTAAGGGAATATTGCTTGAATACAGTAGCACCCTTCGACTTGTGACAAGCATGGACCTTTCAGATAACAATTTATCTGGTGAAATTCCAGCGGAAATTACTAATCTTTTCGGGTTGAGGTCACTAAACCTGTCTACAAATGGTTTAACAGGAAGGATTCCTGAGACCATAGGCAATATGGGGACACTAGAATCTCTTGACTTCTCTTTCAACCAACTCTCGGGTGCAATTCCTCCAAGCATATCAAATTTGACATTCCTGAGTTACTTTCATGTGGCTTACAACAATTTGTCGGGGAAAATTCCATTAAGCACTCAACTCCAAAGTTTTGATGCATTAAACTTTGCGGGAAACAATCTTTGTGGACCTCCACTCACGGACAATTGCAGCATAAATGGTGTTACACCTGGTCCTGAAAACAGAGAGGATTCAGGAGATGGGTTTGAAGTGGATTGGGTTTGGTTCTCTGTGAGTATGGCACTGGGATTTGTTGTTGCATTTTGGAGTTTTGCAGGTCCCTTGCTGTTTAACAGATCATGGAGATCCTCCTATTTCCATATGCTGGACAGCATGGGGAAGAAGATTCGGGGTGTTTTCTCCAACAATGTCTAGATACAGAGAAGCTGATGATCCAATGATGTTGTTTTTCTTGGAAAAAAAAAACGTACCAATAACTTTTTGTTAATCGTCCGTTCTTCATTTCGTTTCTTCAACGTGTAGCCAAGGGAATAGAATAAGGGCAGTGTCTCATATTAAGCAAAAAAAAGTCTTTGATTGAACATCATATATTCCCATTGCACAATTTCCTGAATTTGACTTCACGAATGCCAGCATGAGATTAAGATGTGAAAGGAATTCCTACAAATTAAATGAAAGGTAGAGATTTATTTGAAATTCAATCACAAGTTGAAATAAAAAGTAAAACTGTTTCCCGTTGACATATTATGATCACATATTTCGGTTGATTTTCTTCTCATGGAAAGCAATAGGGTGGGTGACAGACAATTAACCATGAATCTTTCTCTGACTTTCTTCTCTTGAGGAAAATGTTAGTGGGGAGTCGTTTTTGAATAATAAGAACCCATTTTCAATTTCCGAGTAATTGCTGGCTGTCGGACTAAATGGCCAAGATTGCTTCTCAATGATTTGGTAAACATGATTACAATCTCCCAATAAGAAACTTTAAGCCTTGTCTGGTCAATATTGCCTTTGTAATTGGTTAAAGACATAACAGCAATTGGAACTAATAAGAGTATCAGAAACTCCGAGCTGTCTTGTTTTGAAGCAAAATCTGTTCTAAGATACATCCCCACTAATCAATCAATCGAGAATATATAATAGATACTTTTAATTTTAAGAAGCTAAATTAGGCATATATCACTTGAAATTACATTTAGTATCACTACACACTTTTAATTCAAAAAATAGATTCCCCATAAACTGTTGGGCTGAAAATATATATATATATATATATATCTTCTTTTACTTACTATTTTGTGAGAGCATGAAATTAATTTCTTGCTTTTGCAAAACAAACCAAACATTAGTAGAGAAATTAAAACTCTAAAACCCCCCCCCCCTTTTTTTGCTAAATTTATTTTTTAGGAGAACCAGAAATAAATCATACATTTTGTCAAAAATTTAGTTTATTTAACTCAAATAGAGAAATCTAATTAAAAATTAGTTAAAAATAATATGCATGCAAAATAAACTCTGGAAATTGGTGGCCCGCAAAAATTTAAACACTTATTTCTTTGTCTCATCTTTTTTTTGTTCATTTTTTTTTAATGTCCAAAAATTATGTTTCATTTTTTAAAAACATTTAAAACTCTCTTTTTAATTTTAAAATTAAATACATTAAATTCAAAATTTTTTCTTAAATTTCGTAAAAATCAATATATTAAAAACATTTTAAGGAAAAAAAATTCTCCTCAAATAAATTAAGTAAATAAAAATTTAGACATTAAAAGTAAATTATAAATTTAAATAAATTCAAGAAAAGTGGTTTCATAAAGCAAAGGAAATTAATTCTTATCTATTTTATTTATTTATTTATTTGCATTAGCACTTGATACAATTGAAGTACATGCATTCATGTAATATTTTAAAATAAAATTGAATAAAACTAGTATTTTATTAATAAATAATATTTCCTGTCGAGCATAGATTTTAAATTTTTTTTGCCCAAAACCAAAAACCAAATTGGATCATAGACAAGTGTATTGCAGTATCGGACATTTTTGTTTGTTCATGGATACCAGTTGATTGTACAAAACTAAAGCAGTACAGTTGGCTTAAGCCTTGGTGGCATATAAGAGCTCAAGGTCATCGACCATTATACAAATGGGGGTGAGCAACATTTATGCATCATGATTGTTTACCAAAAAGGAAGCAAAAATTATAGCTCTTCAGCCTCTAATAGGTTCCGAATCCGGCTTTCGGAATTGTTCCAGAATGATATTACAATTATTCATGGTTCGGGCATCAAGGAGACCGTGATTCCACAACTTGATCATGAATAATCTCCAACACCTGCCAATTCAACCATATGGTTACTTGTGACTGCATGAAATCATACATGGGACGTATCGACAAGGAGGCAACAGAATGCAGGAGAGACATTATGATCATGATTTTGTACATCAACCAATCACAAACACCCCAGCAGACAAGTATAATATAATCAGCCAAGGATATGCATACAAAAAGAAAAAGAGAATGAAACTACCAGTGATGGGGTACAGAAAAGTAGAAGTGCGAGGCCTGAACGTACACAGTAATAGTTTTAATTGAAAAAGTTTTGATCGAAGATAAAAGAGAGACAATCTACCAGATGAGAGCTGGGGCTTTGACAAGATCACGCCCATGTAATTTTGAAAATGCTTCGCATGCCCATGGAATATGACCATCTGCCAACACCCTGCCATGATGAAAACTGAATGTTAAAAACAGAAACAGCAAAGGGATAACCACAACACTAATTTTCTTTTGGAAGGCACCATAACGCTAAGAAAACCATAGTGAGAGAGAGAGAGAGAGGGAAGAAAATCATGTATATCACAGATTTAGTACAAATGCAATTGTTACACAGAAGCCACTTGACCTTGCATCCATGATGCCCTCTTTCTCTAGAGAACTTATAATGGCATGGATTATATGATTTTGACAACCAGCTTCAGGTGAGAAAGCTAAAAGAAACAGAGAAAAGCAAAAACCCAAAGAAAAAAAATAGAAAAACAAGATCACCTTTGCTTCCTCACAAATGAGTTCCACAAATGCATTATTTGCTTCTCGTCTTTGGTTACATCTACGAAATCATCAAGCATCTGCAACATACTAGAGTATATTAATGCAATCTTATAAATGGTGCTTGTTGATACCCATGTCCCCGTCAATTGTTAGCTAGCCACGGACCAAAATCCATAAAAATGTCCTTCTGAACAAGTATCAGAATTGCAGGATTATGAAAGAGTAAATAAACAAAAACATACCCTTCGATCTTCAAAATCTGCAACATCATCATCAACCTCATCCTCACTGTCTCTGTCAGACATTACTTGATCTATCGCCATTGGCTTCAAGCAGAGAGATACAGTTTCAGAGATTTTGATGTAAAACATGTAGGTGACATTAGTCACAAATTTCATAGATGACTATTACTATGTTTCTTAATATCTCGACAAAAACTAATGCAAAGGCATATTAAGAGTACCACGCAACATATCTCATAGGGAAAACCAGAACCACAGCCCTCACTCCATTTCATATGCCTTCCACAGACAGCTAGCTAAGCCACAAATAAAAAATTAGATCCACACTCTTAACAGTGGTAATGTGTGTGTGAGATAAGTGTAAGCAACAGCAGGAAATATTTTTCTGTTTCCTCTCATTCTCTCTCCTCTTTCTTTCACACTGTACAAATTATGGCTATCACTATATTTTCCAGAACCAAATAACAAACACAAATTACAAAGTTGTCAGTCACCTGTGCTCTATGTGAGTGAAAAAACTGTCGCTTCTGAAGGAGTGTGCGGCTGAAAAGACAAAGGAAAAAATCAAACCCATATCATGGTTCAACAGTAAAACCTTTGTCCAACGGGGAAAAAGGACAAGGTGGGGAGAGAAGCAAATTATCTAAACAAGAGACAAGTCCAAATGAGCACATCAATTTTATAAGAACAAAGTTCCATCTTTTAACTAGTTGGTTGCAGCTGTTCTTGTCAGTTCTATTACTAGACTGGGAGGGAGATGGTTGATAAAGGACTTAGAACATTTATCCATGAATCAGGAATGCCAGTGGCTGCTTGGAAGTGGATAAAGTACCTCCCACCACCTACAGTTCTGAGACAACATTCTCTAGCAAAACAATGATCCAAAAGTAGCTTTATCTTTGCACCAGAAAGTACCTATGTAGAAAGGAACAAAAACTAACTAGGCAATGCCTTTAAATTCACAGACAAGCTCCATAAGTAATGCATTTTACCATTGCGGCTTTGGAATGAATTAAGAACACACTGAATGAAAAGTGAAAAGAAACGACATACTTCCTTGGATCAGAACGTTCCATCGATATCTTTCTTGTTTTGGCAAATTGCAACAAGGCAGGGGGTGCAAGATTGTTTCCAGACACTGATTGAAAACGTTCAGAATCAGAATGTGATTGTCCTGCAGCACCTGAAGCCCCGGCAACATTGAAACTGGACGGAAGATGTTGCGCACACTCCACAGCACCAATTCTAGCATTTTGTAAAATGTTTCCACCTGATACAAGAACCCTTTAGTCAGAATCTGAATGAGCTAAAGTGACAAACATTATTCCTACAGCTGATCACCTTATTCTAGATAGTTTCAGATTAGACTTATGCGCATAGGTTATGACAGTCAGTTGACAACAATATGCTCGTAAAGTTTTTTGGCCTTATGATCCATTGGTGGTTGTTGGGCATCTCTTGCATTTCCAAGGACTTGAGTTAAGCACCATAGAATTCCATCTTACATGCATTAGATTTTGGCCCCAGAACATGGTGCTTGAAAGCTTTTAGCTTGGAATATTTGGAGAAACATAATTGGAGATACCAGAAATCAGTATCTCAACTTCAAACTCCTATGCTCAACCTATTTAGAGGGATTACAAGGAAGGTACTTATTTTTAGCCAAAGCTGGCTTGTCTGTTTCATTTTTAGTCCCATAACCTTAGTTTCACTTTTGTTCATCTGGAAGTGCCTAGACAATCTTCCATTTCTTAAAGTATATTAAATTTGGTTAAACAATTCTTTCATAAAAAACTAGTAAGTATGCACTCATAAGTAAAAATGCCATACCATGAGCCTTGTCAAGACGCTCACAGCCTCCTGCCAGCGGATTTGAATCTAAGAAAACAGGATGTACATGCCTTGCATTTTGAACAAGGCTCTTCAGTTGTCTACGCCTTAACTGCTTTGAGCTGTGCATACATATGAGCTACCAACTTCAATTCATGGAAATAACATGAGGCAAAGAAATTCACTAGCATATGAACTGGTAAATTAAACAACCTACCAAAAGAAAAAAGTCTGTTGTCTAGGATCAATACCATCTGCAACAATCTAAATAGAATACATACACATATAAATTACAAGAGCAACAAAAAGGAAAATTTATATGGAAACTAGTTATATGTGCATGGTTCCAATACTAAAATCCGAAGACAGAAGCTAGCACATTTATTCACAATATAACTAAATTGAAGTAATGTGGCAAATTCAACATTGAGTCATACTAAATTGGCAAATTTCACCTTAATCCCCAAGTAAAATAAAACTTAAACTTGGAAGCATGTCAATATCCTTTTCCCCATAAAGAATCAGAATTAATATAGAAAAGGATCTGGCCTGACCCATTAACATTGGTCCAAACCAGTTCATTTAGCAGCTGAGTTTAATTCAGTTATGAGAAGGAAAAAAAATCAGAAACCACTTAACAAATATAATACCCGAGCCTTGGCAAGAAAACGCACTGACCTCAGATCTCCACATATCAGTTTTGACTGACACATTAACAGCTTGATACTCTTCAGTTACCTACAGAGTATCTATGTATTAGAAATTTTGCTATGCAAGTATCAATTATCAGAATCCCACCACAGATTCCTGAAGTTTACCAACCCAAAATTCAAAATTGAAGAGATCATGGGATGCTGGCAAGTGATGCCTCAAACCCTATACAAAAGAAAAAAAATTTAAGCATCAATCATAAATTACCATAAATTCCTAAGTAATATGAATTCAAGTTCATTTGAATCAAAATGATATAGAAGAAGGAAAATTAGAAGCAAAAGGAACAACCTTAAAGCTTGCACATTTTACCAAGCAGAAAGGACAAGAGAAGTTTTCAGTTACTGCAAATAAATGGAATTTATGAGATAATATCAATAAGATAGTACAATGCATAAATTTATACCAAAGCCAAATGCTAAAGATTAATTAGTAAACAGGCGTGACTACTACACCAGGAAAGAAGGGCCAAAAAGTTTGAAAAAGAAATAATCCTTTACTCGATGGTACACGCAACTAAAGAAAAGGATCCAACATAGGCGACAACTTTACCATCCAAAAAATAGTATCTTTAATTTCAGACAGCAATTTCCTAGTCACATCCTCTCCCACACTTCAAAAAATTACAAGACATGTAAAGCTCAACATATATAAGATTCAACACCCCTCCCCCCTCTCCCCCGGTCCCAAAAAAAGATGTAAGAACTAAGAAATAATACCTTCAGTCCTCTGTAACTTGTTGTTGTAATATCTGTAATTAAAGATGACATTCCCTGCTCTCAACCTAGAACCAAAAGCAACAAAATTTCAGTCTTAAAGAGAAACACATAGACCATTGTTCAAGAGGAAATCACATCATGCAAATGCACAATCCATTTCTACCAACTGTATATACATAATTTTTTTTTTTTTGGAGAGGGGTGTGGGACTAGGTTTGAAAGACAATAAGTTATATATCCTACAAGCACTAAATATGACCATGTTTAATGGGCAGTAAATCAAATTAAAAACAAAGTATCCAAAAGAATCAATAACGCCAAACCCCCCTCTCTAGCATCTGATTCCTGCTAGAATGTAACTATTATCACATTTAAAGCATTGCAAAGCAGGATAATTCCCCTTATGCTGTTATGTGTAACAAGCTAGCTCGTTAAGTATAACAAGTATCACACTGAACGATGGAGAGAAGGGATAAGGTAGTTAAAGAAAGAACAAGGTTATTTTCATACACATACTGACAACAGGAAAAATTGGGTAACATCAATTTTTGTTACCCAATTTTTCGGAACATAGAAAGGGGAATGATTAGAACAGCAAAACTACATTCAATAATAATAATAAGTATTATTATAATAAGGATTACCGAGTAATATGAGACTGCGATGAAGAAGAAACACCACTGCATGTATATGAATTATAGGGAGATTTTTCCTTTGCCCCAACCTCCTCAGCAGAAATGATGACCTGCAGCTGCTGAGATTGGTTCTTTCGGAGCAAAAACAGTCAAATTAAATACCATAAGAAAGATATTTGTAGAAGACAAATCAGAAATGTGTATTTTAAATAAATAAATAAAAGCAAGGACATACCATTGAGAAAGAATTGCTGGAACTTTGTATTAAGATGCAGTTGTCCTCATCCAAACAATTTGACTAAAGCAGGAAAGAATAAAAACCCAAAATTCAGATATTTATTTAAGTTTCAATCATCACTTCTAGAACATTCATTGCCATTTTCTAAACTGGGTATAATGAAGTATTAAAAGAAAGTTTTACAAAGGGTTAAAGTGTCATTTCACTAGCGGTCACCAACAATCGAAGCAGTAAAACTGCTCATGACAAAGTGCCCTGGACAGTTCAGTTCTTTATTTAATCACTTATGAGAAAACCAGATAAGAACAGGGGAACCTGATTGATCTAGTGAATGCTTTAGCAACACAACGAACAACCCAAAAACATAGAGCCTTATGATACTTGAATATCATTTCTATCAACCATTATACTCCTTTGATATTGCTGTACAAATATTTCTCTGTTTCTGCCAACTTCTCAACTGCAGTCAAAATTTTATTTGAAGTACTCATACATGTACATGAGAGGTGCTCCATCCCTTCAACTCAAGCTGAGATCAGGATGTATTCTCAAGCTCAGAAAGAGAGATGGCATGGTTGAAATGTTACAGGCATATGCCCCAAAACCAAGGAAAGAATCAGAGACCAAGGACTGGATTCCAGAATCATTCCTTAATAATATCACTTTATGTTTGAGAAGAATATCAAATAAAATTGTCCCAGAAGCAGAATCTGAGCACTGCCTTAGGAGTGATACATTAATGACTTGGCCATAAATACAAAAACAATAAAAAAAAGCCTTTCACTGAGTCTTAGACAACACTTTTTTGGCAATGATATGACTGAAATAGGTCCAAAAAAGACCATAACCAAAAAGCTCAGATGCCACACCTTCAATAAACATGAATGCATGTCAAGAGGTAATATCATCTCAGCTCTTTGTCCCAAACTCAAGTTTGGGGATTTCTCCCATGATAAATATAGTGATTCCAATGGTATCCTACCCCATAGGCAGCATCCACCACCATTTGCTGTCAGAAAAAATTGAATGGAATTAAAGAAACAGAAAGATAAAGTGACATTCAGGAAATTTTCTATAATTCATACTAAAATTAAGCTATTATAAAGGATCTAATGATGGCACCTGCATGTAAAGGATCCAAGAAATGCATACCAAAGCTGACAAACAAAATGGCAAGTGAGCCGGACTTGGCCTCCATAGCTAGCTTATTAATCTCAGGGAGAACAAAATTTGCTTGAGCTTGATTACAGCCCTCAATGCCAGTGAAGCTAGTCAAGATACATGCCCGACGAAAACGATAAACCGCAGAATACTTCATTGTGGGATTCAAAAAGTAAATATATCATAAATGAAGTGCAAAAAGAGTACAAGAATACCCAAAAAGAAATACACACACTATGAATTTAACTTTGAATGTACACACATGACACACCATACCTCCGGAGCTGCAACATCGGAAACTAGCCTCGCCAACAAGATGTATAGAGGAAAAAGACTTTGACTTAGTACACCTTCATCCAGAGTCCGTGATATGGACACAGTCATTTGTATTCTACATAACCAAACAAAATGCACTCAATAACTCAAATTTACCTGTACATAAGAAACTTTTGATCAAAGCAAACAAGTTAGCACACCGTCAACAACCAACACGAACTAACAAATGATCATCATCAAAATTTTACTTGATAAATCCATTCATAATGACACAAAAAAGATAAGAGTTGATCCTATTGTAAAAAAATAAACTTCTTGTTGCTCCCTAAATGAAGCTAATACCAACAAGCATATGTACCGTCTAACATTCGAATAAATATAACAGATTTGCCTATCCTAAAAGCCATCAACATTTATCTTTAAAATCCCTACATTTCTTCTACAAAAAGCACCAATGAAAGTCTGTACGCCCTTTAAGTTCTCCCATATATCTACTATAATGGGCAAGAAATGGGAAATGCTACAGTAAGCACTTGCAATCATGAATATATACTACTGCCAATTACCATATTAAAATATTACCTCATTTTTTGTTTGGCCTGAATTCTGTAATGCAAACATCTTTGAAGAAATGATGGCTGCAAATAAATTTAAAAATAATTTAAAAATCATTGAAAGATGGTTAATAATAGGTAAAATAAAATAAAAAAATACCCATGTTAAACCTAAAAGGGAAATCTCTCCAATGAAAAGAAAACAAAGATGGTTCAAAATAGAAGCAGGCAGAATTAAGTGCCTGCAATCCCAAATGACACAACATCTGGAAGATAACACAAGACAGTCAATCTACATAAAAAAACATAAAATGCCTGATGCAACAACAAGCAGAAATATTACATTTCTTACAGCGCGTCTTTGAAGGATGTTATAGAGTTCTACAGGCTTGCAATAAATAGATAGACTCTCTTCAGCAGCAATTTCTTCTTCTGCAGATAAATGCATGCGGGAATCTTCTCGACACATCTGATCCGTGCTTCTTGAATAGCTGGGAAAAAAAAAGGCAAACAAGAATCCTTACTCATGAACTTACCCAAACAGCCATAGTCCAAAATCACACTTCATTACAACATAACAACAAACTAAAATTCTACCACAAATCAACAATCATCAAACATAAGACTAGAACAAGACAGCCTCACAATGCCCTTGAAAAGAACAATATTTGCATTATAATATAGATAAATTCTAGTACAACACGCTGACATGAATAAAAAAAATTCAAATATGTGTTTAATCAGAGAGAACATACGAGGAGGTTTCACGAGCCACTAAAGGAATGCCCGGCATTCTTATTAGACAATGCTTAAGTTTAATATCATAGCTTTCTTCAACTTTTTACGCCTTAGACCTGCATAGCAGAAACCAACCTTCCAATTAATTTTTTTTATATAAAATATATTACAAAATCAACAATTCATAAAATATAAATACGTTCAAATTATTCCTATTAAAATTTAAAAAAAAAAAAGACATCCCTCAATCTCTCCAAAAGAATTAAGAAAAGAATCTGAGAGGAAACAGAAAAAAATACTACAAAAAAGAGTGAAAGTAAAATGTGATGAAAGGGAATTGAGAGAAGAATATAAACCGACCTTTGAAAAAATGAGAACCCTAATTGGCAGCCTAGAAATTGGCAGAGAAACTTCAATTTTGGAATCGGAATTGAACCCTTTTTCAAGGAGAAATCGAGAAAAAAATAAGTGAGTTTTTGTGCGTTTCTGATAACGGGCTCACTTACTGACTTTTTTTGGGCTAAATATAAAGATGGTACTGTAATATATATTTTTTTATCAATTTAATATCTAAATAAATAAAATTATTCATTTAATAATTAATTTTTTATTTTTTATTTTAATATTTTAAACTAATATCATTAGTTAATTTATTAATAAAACTGATAATGCGATTTTGATTATATTTTTTATATATATTAATATTTTATTAAAATTAATGTTGAATAAAAATTAGAATACTAAATTAAAAAAATTTTTTGTAACTAATGTTTTTTATTCAAGTGATTAAAGAGTTTTCTTTTTTTAAAATAAAATTTTGATTTTAAATTTTGTTAATAAAAAAAAGAATATTATATATTAAAATTTTTATATAAAATATATAATACAGGAAATATTTTTATATTCAAAATTTTTTTGTTTTATTTTCATGTAAGAGCAGTTACGCTTCCCTGCGGTTAGTTGCATCTATACGAATTGGTGCTGCAACTTCCTTAATTATATTGTGTTGTTGGGTATATTGTTTTATTTTATAAAAATGTTACATTTTATTGCTAATTAATATTTCTTAATAAAATTTTTTTTAATTTTCAGTATTTTTTTGTTATTATACTTTTAATTTTGCTAACTAATTTTTTGAAAAAAAAAAATGAAATTCAAAATATTTCATAGAATATTTTATTAATATAAATGAAAAAATTTGTCAATTACTTTTAATTTTGTTGATTTAAAAACTAAGAAATATATAATATTTTATAAAATATTATTTTAATGATAAATTTTCATAAATTTCATTATTTTATATCAAATAATCAACAAAATTGAAAGTACAAAATTCAATTAATAATATGTACTATTTTATAATTCAACCATTAAACTAAAACTTTTTTTTCCTTACCAAGCAAGCTTAATCAATACAATTATATTTAAAAATAAAATTTTATACTCTTACGTTATGTTTAGATAAATATTAATAAAAAAATTAAAAAAAGTTTTTTAAAGTAAAAGAAAATATACATGTAATTCTTGTTTGGATAATTAAAATTAATAAATAAAAAAATTAATAACCATTGTTTAGATAAATAGTGAAAAAGAAAAGAAATATTCATTATAATAATTTTTTTAATTATAACATTTTATTGCTTGTGATTTTAAAGCATTCATAGATCATGATATGTTTATTATCATGTCCGACCTCACAATTGCTGTTATATAAATGATTTTTAATTAAGTGAAACAAAAAATATTTTACAAATATGCATTGATGGATTTTGAATTAATTTGTCATCTCATAAACTCAAAAAATATATTTATTCATATTCAATCATTCATTAAAATCAAATTACTAAAAAATTATAAAAAATTTATATTGGAAGAGATATGTGAAACTTACTTAAAAAAAAATAGATGATTGTGAAAAAATTATAAGATGATTATAATTTGCTTAGATTTTTTTATTAAGTTTTTTGTATTAATAAAAATATGAACATAATAATCTTTTTATAAAAAAAATATTTTTCGACTTTCCTCCTCTAGCTTTTTCTTCAAATTAAGATATTAAAAAAATTGGATTTAGAAGAAAAACTAAAAATTATTTAATTTTCACCTTTTTCTTTAAATTAAAATTTTATCTAAACAAAAAAAAATGAGGTTTTATTTATTTTACATTCTTTTATTTTATTTTCTTTCTTCTTTCCTCAATCCAAACACGCTATTAAATAAGACAGCTAATTGGATTTGTTTAAATGGAATTTCACATCATTTTTTTTTTTTTGTCTTTTTAACGGTGAATTTCATTTCATTGTATAACAAGGAAATTAACAAGAAAAGACAATTTCTTATATTGAAAATTAAAATAAGATAAAAAATGGATATAAGTAAATCCAGGATGTTAATGAAAGTTAGATTATCTGTCAAACTTGTTTTTTAATGGAAGATTATCTGTCATTTAATTTACTCTTAATAATCAACAACCAAACTTGGATTTTTTTACCAATATTTACTATGGAAAACTAATATACAATAACTGTTATTTGATAAAATAAAACGTCTTGAAGATAAGCTAATTTTAATCCAAAAGCTTGAAACCCAAGTCATCTTTGACTGTTTTATACAGAAAATCAAGTTTGCCACGTTCAGGATTTTGGCAGCTATAAATGCTTGTAGGAGAGCTTGGTAATTGGTTAACTTATAGAGAAAAAACAAGGGTTTTCTTCACTTTTCAATATTATATAATTGTTATAAACCAAATATAAGTTTTTGTGCCCCCCTGGAGAGAAAATATTAAGGAGATTATGGTGAAAGAAGCAGGGAGAAAGTGTTCTTATTGTGGATATAATGGCCATAATTCAAGAACTTGTAATGGGAAAGGAGGTTGTATCAAGATTTTTGGTGTGAATATAGCTGCCATGGAAAAGCAAGAAATTTTCATGAAGAAAAGTCATAGCATGGGAAATCTGCAGTCTCATGCTGAAAATAACAATGCTGCTGCTGTCCATGATGATGGGTATTTATCTGATGGGCAGATTCATTCCAAGAAAAACAAAGCAGCCCATGAAAGAAAAAGAGGTACTCTATTCTATGTTTTTGTTGTTCTTATTGTCTGTCATCCTTTAACCTGTATTTTTTTTTTTTTTTGAATCACATAAGTGATCTAGGATCTAATATGAGAGAGGGAAGCAATTTTCTTGATCACCACTTGTTTGAATTTGTTAGTATTTAGTTATGGAACCCGATCATCAGTATCAACCATTGAATTTATGTTAATCCTCAGAGCACTAATTATTTTTAAGATCGAAACAGATTGAATGAAGCAGAAAAAAACAAGTATTGATCCTGAAACAGGCCAATATGGGAATAAGCTATGGAGTTATTCCATGTTTCTGATATTTGTCTTGTAAATTATACCATAACACATCTGAGAATTCTGGTTTTGTTTCAGGGAAGCCTTGGACCGAAGAGGAGCATAGAATCTTCTTGACAGGTTTGAGAAAGCTGGGGAAAGGTAATTGGAGAGGAATTTCAAAGAATTTTGTGACCAATAGGACCCCAACACAAGTTGCTAGCCATGCACAAAAATATTTTCTGAGGCAGGCTGGGACTGACAAGAAGAAACGCAGACCAAGCCTATTTGACCTGGCTTTTCAAGAATCCGAATCTGTAATATCCCTTAATCCCTCTCTTATTCGTGAAAAGAACAATATATAGTTAGTTTGTTCATGTGCATGACCAGAGTTCATGGTTTTGATTAACAGAAAGCAAGTCCGCCCGGTTCTCCCTCCGAAGAAACTACTAGAAATTCATCTCAGATTGTGAACCGATTTCCACATCTTTGCTTGGATGATCGTCCAGTCACGTCACTGACTGCATCTCATAGTTTTCCAACTTATTATCACGGAACTCAGCCCATGGTAAGAACCTATTTGCTATTCATTTTCCTCTGAAAATGACAAAACCAAATATAGGAACTTCATCAACAACTAATATTTTGGCAGACAGGAGCACCCAATAGACAATGCTTTCCAGAAGCTCAAATGATACCATCTCTACCATTTCTGCATGCAATGAATGATGCAGGGCCGCCTTATGGTTACATGGCTAAAGCCCTTGGCAATGTAGCTATCTGCGCACCAGCTGCTCACCCCTGTGGTATACCTTTGCCAGGGTTAGTTCAGCACAGAATGTTTCGAGCATGCCCTGGTGCTTCATCAATGGAGAAGGATATTTTGGAGCTTAAGATCGGGCCTCCTCAATCATCAAAAAATACAAGTCTGACATCTCAGGCATCCATTAGGGTGATCTGAGAAAAAATGTCATGTGATGTTTATTTATTAATTTTTTGCACAAACATGACCAGATTTAGAACTCAAGTCAGTCTATTTATTTCATCCATAATCTTCAGAGCTACAGTTCAAATGTCCAGTTTGAAACAACTCTTCCAGCTCTGCCAGAAAAACAAGTGCCTCTTGCGTCGGCTATTCAAGATTTAAAGAATTTGATAATAAACATGATTTCAGCTTTTGCGAGACTGAGATTTGCAGGACCAATCATCTTAACCCATTTTTAGCACCAAAATATAAAATAAAATTGAAAAAACTGTCATGATATTACTATGATTTAAATTTTACGTGTTTTTCTTTCATTGCTTGATGCTGGAACATAGAAGCCTGGGCAACCATTCATCCACACTATGGTTCAAAACTTCAAAATATGGCTTCCATGGAAAAATCGAAAATGAGGAAATATGACATTACTACTATCAAGCAACACAATTTGTACAGGCGGTTAATAATAAACTGTAAAAAGAATTAAATTTCAGAACAACATACCAAAAAACTGAAATGGTAAATAAATATATAATTTTATATGGTGGCATAGTTTTCCTTTCTTGAGAGCAGAATTAAGAAAGCTGTTCTCACATGCATCCATACTTCCGGCAATCGGTAAAATCAACTAAGATGAGCAGCAACCACTCTTCTGGTTAACAGGTTGTCCTCGTATCTGCACCATCGGTGGCCTTGCGTTATTGGACGATGGCTGACTTGCCATCCTGCAGTAAAAGGAGAAAAAACAAATGGGGATGGCAATCAGAAGGATTATATGCTTCTGCAGATGATATGAAAGTATTGCTAATTGAAGCTGTTTCTTCAGCAGTTCCTTTTAATGAGTCCAATAACGAAATGCTACTTGATGTCATATTCCTGACTGCTACTCAGGACATTTAATATAAAAATTTTATTATGAATAACAATTTTATAGGCTAAAGAAGTACCTGTTCTTAATATCAGCGGCCATTGCCATAAAAGCCTGCTCAACATTATTAGCAGTTTTTGCACTAGTCTCCATAAATGGAATGCCCAGTTCATCTGCAAATGCCTATTAACAGAACATTATCAATGTGACTGTTTCAGTTTTCAATAGTTCAAGAAAAATAAGCAGCAGATAGGTGAACCATTTTTACCTTGGCTGTTTCATAAGAAACAACTTTTTTAGCAGTAAGGTCGCATTTGTTTCCAACAAGAAGCTTGTTCACATTCTCACTTGCATATCGATCAATTTCATTCAACCATTGCTTAACATTGTTGAAGCTCTGTTGGTCAGTTACATCATAAACTATCTGCCAGATGTGGAACAAATGTTACAAGCTTGTCCATAATGCAAAAAAGTGTACCAAAAAGAGGACAACGATGAGAACTAAGAAATGTGCAAACATGGAGAGAGAACTTACTATGATTCCATGTGCCCCACGGTAATAGCTGCTAGTGATTGTCCTGAACCGTTCTTGCCCTGCAGTATCCCACTGCATGTTTCAGGTGGAAAAAGAAAGCAAAGAAAAATGTGCTTCAGTAGCCAGATTAGCAGAGGAAAACAGAAGCACCAAAAAAAAAAAAAAATGAATGGAAGATATTATGGTAAAGAACAAAATGAATACACACCAAGACACCACCAAAATCTATGTTAATTAAAGAATAAAGCCATAATTGCAATAAAAAAAATTCACCGTAAGGGCTTACGGGTAAGCAAAGAACACATGTCAAAAATGACAACCACATAGAAATGGTCAACCAAGAAAAAAAAAGTGTATATCACAACAAATAAAAAATAATTATAAATCCATGAAAGCAAGGAGTCAAACTAGAACCAGACCATGAGACTCAACAACAGACAGGAGGAGACATTTTGATCAATACGAATTGCACTGCTATCAAGCAAACAAATGCCATCTCCTAGTTTAATTCAATGAACTGAAATAAAAGCAAATAAATAAGGGAAAGATTCTTACTATTTGAAGTTTTATGGTCTTCCCATCTTGCTCCACAGTGCGAATTTTCTGTAGAACAGAAAAAAAAAATATAAGCCATAAACTTCAAATAAGAAAAACACTTGTTTTACCTACAGGTCAGAAATGCTTACAAAGTCCACGCCAATTGTGCTTATATAACTGTCCAGATACGAATCATCCTGCATTAGAGAGATAAAAGATGCAGAGATCATTTCAGAAACGAGCTTCAAAAAATTCAACTCTAGTGTATTAACTCTCAGCAAACTTCACCACAAAATACTTTTAATTTTTAAATAACAATACCTGGTTCTTTCAAAATAGTGTGATAAACACCAAATTCTTCTAGGACACAACTAAACTTGTAAAATAAATGCATTGGAGAAAGAAGATTTTATGCTTCATTAATACGTGCAATTTGATTGAGGACTAGCGTTGGCAACTTTCAGATAAAGGATAAGCAAGACAAATTAGAAGGCAAGCAGAGCAATTAAATTGATTGTTACAGTGGAAATTTACAGAAAATCTCAGGAGAAGACATGATTTGCCGACTCCAGAGTCTCCAATTAGCAAAAGCTTGAATAAATAGTCACTGCACAAATAATTTAAAACCTTTTAACATTTCAACTAAGCAACATCTCAAAATAATATCCATAACAAACCTAAAGAAATCTTTATTTGTCCAACAAAATTAATCCATATATGTAATAAAACGAAAATTCTGAACATAGTTACGCTAAAATTCCCTCCAACATTCAAAGACAGCATTAGGCACAAACTAAGCCTTACCCCCGTTCTCATTCAATGACAGAAAGCAGAAGCATCGTTATCATGAGGCGTAGAATAAGGTTATCATTTCATGGTAATGAAGACAAAACCATATAAAAAGCAAACATAGAGAACTCCAAAGCCTAAACTCAACATTTCTTTGCTCCAAATTCTTGATCAGAATTCAACACTCACAATCCAGCTTAGGTTTTCTGAATTACAATAGATTAAATTCTGATGAAGCAATAACTTTTGAACGAGAAGCTGTGGAATTTACCGTAAGTAACAGACACCCACATCCTTTAATAGCATAATTGTTATAGATCTAAACAAATTACTAATCCAGCATTCAGTTTGGCTACCCAGAAGAACATCAGAAACGGAATTTAAAAAGAAATTCACCTATAAAACCCATGATGAAAAGTAATAAATAAAACAGATCCATATAAAAGGACGCTTAATAAAGGAACCCATCATGGCAAAGAACAAAAGCATCACAGATCTTAAGCAAACAGAGAAAAATAATTGGATTAAAAAAAAACTATAATCGAACACAACTGATCACCGATCAGGGAGCTTACTATTCAGGATTCATGACTGCTGGTTCGACCAAGTATCGGACCGATCCGCTGGCGGAGAGATGGGACCGGGTTCTGACAGAAAAGGCAAATGAAGTTTAGAACTTTGTTTTTGTCGTTGTCGAGTGAAAGACAAAGGAACTGAAGACAAAACAAGACAAAGAAAAACTGCTTTTAACGACGCAACCGAAAAGTTCGCATTTTATTGCAACTGTCAAGTTTATACATAGAAGACATGACACAAACGACCACGACACCATTTAAAATTTGAATAAAAATAAAAAATATTTTAATATTTAATAAATTCATATAAATTACACATAAAATAAATACAATATAAATATATAAATTATTTAAATTTACGTGTAATAGAATTTTTTATCTCAATTTTTTTTTAATAATAGAATTTCTCTTCTAAATAGTTTCAAGACATTTTTTAATAAGAAAATTATATTTTTTTTCTGTTCTTATAACTTAAGCTATTTTTTATTAATATTAATTAGACTTAATTTTTTATTTTGATATGTGGCTTTTTAGGTAGCAATCTTATTGTTGTTGTTTTTCTGTTATATTTTGATAGTTTTTAAATTATTAATTATGATATTTTCTTATAGCATTGAGCTTGAAATTAACCAAAAAGTTGGGTTAATCCATCGATGGGTAATAAGTTTTGATATCACATGATATCTTACATCAAAATTTGTTTGTGTTTAATTTTTTATAAAAAAAATTAAGTATAAAATTTTGAATTTTAAATTTATTAAATATTAGATTTTAATCCAAATTTAAAAAATTTCCATTGCAAAGCATCGAATTTGAATCTCGTGAGGGAAAGCTAGAATGTTGAAGGAACAAAGGAAAGAGAGTCCAGGGGAAAACTTTGCATGTAGACCATGACAAGCTAATGTGAAGGTTTAGACTTACTCAGGAAGTTTAATGCTTGTAACGCAGACTATGACAAGCTAATGTAAGTGGACTATTCAAGTTTAATGCTTGGATTGTAAATGGTTAAAATTAAAGATATAAATGATATATTAATATTTATAAATTATTTAAATTTAATTTAAATAAAAATTAAATTAAGTTTATTTATTATAGAATCAGATTGATTCGAGTAATTTGATTTATCGATCAAATTAAATTTAAATATTTTTATATCATATTTAAATAAATCGTGAAATCTAATCGAATTTTTATATTTTTATTATTTTAATAAATAAAATATTTTGAACTCAAATTGAATATACATAATCAAATTTTTATTGAATATAAAAATTAAATTTATTTTTACATATTAATCAAATCTAATTAAATGAGTTTGAATAATTTAATTTTTATTTTGAATTGAGCTTGAATTTAAAAAATAAAAATCGATTGAATTTGAATCAAATTTAATATTAAATTTAATTAAATTTATTAATTTTATCGAATTAAACGGATTAAATTTCTATTGAAACATCTACTGTAAATTTGTAATGTAATAAATAATTCAGCCGACGAGTTTGAGTTGGGCCAGTAAAATGTAATTACCAAGAGTTCGCCTTGTATGATTTTTATTAAGTCACAAGGCTGAAATCATCAAAGGCCCAAACTTTGCATATTGGATTCCAACCCGAAATCAAATGCTCCACGCCATCTCCCATTCCCATACTCCTCAAAGGCAAAAGGAGGGTTCCCAGGATCGGGCCAGGAATGTATAAATACAATGGAGCCTTTGCCCTCATTTGTTCAATCTTGAGCAAAGAAAAAATTTCTTTTAAACCCATTGGAGAAAATAGCATCTATATATCAAGGTTAATTAGTTTTTTGACTAGTCAGAAGGCTATAGCTGAAGAAAACAAGTCAAATATATGCCCTGTCTACCCAATACCGATGGAGGGGAAAAGAAAAGAAACATATATGCCCAACAGGAAAAGCCTTCCTGGGCTATGCTTGATGGGCTTCAGTCAGCCGACAAAGGTGGTGAGGAGTGGGTGAGGGTGAAGTTTGCTGGTGAGGCAGATAAACTTCTCCCAGCTCCAAAAACCCTTCCTATTGACTTGGGCAACGAGAATGGCCAGTCTTAAAAGAAAGATCAGGCATTTCTTTGTATGACCCTTAAATTCTTTTGAACCAGGGCAGGTGTAAAATTCCATGCTCCCAACAACAACAAATTGCAACAGATAAACTTGGAGTTGACCAATTAGCCTATCGGCCTCGGTCAGAAAATCCTGAGCTGCAAGCTACATGATTTACGCATATTATGGAAGGCAGCTTTTAACCACTTGTTTCCAATTATAACAAAAACAATGGAAAGCAAAAGACCCTAATAAAGCGTCGGGTTAGTAATTGGATATCTTACTTCTTCACTCAATCAATAAAATTAACAAATATACATGACAGAACACAACAAACACAAAGTCAGTTGCGGTTCTGAAGGTAGGTCATCTAATAATAAGCAACACTGAGGTATATACAACGCCAAGTTCCATCCTCTCAAAAAATCATTTAATCTCTCATTCATGGCCAAGCTGATTCTGCTTTGTTTTCTTGCTGTTTTCTGCTTTTCATTAACAATTAGTGATGCCACGACCTACATCGTTGGGGACACATCCGGCTGGGACATAAGCACTGATCTTGATTCATGGGCTAGTGGCAAGAGATTCGATGTTGGTGATGTTCTATGTATGCATCCTCTTGCCAAAGTAAGATTAGAGATTTGTTGGTTGAGTTTACTGACAAATTCCTTTTTTTCTGTTTCCTGTAGTGTTCCAATACTCATCATATCATAGTGTAAACGAGGTAACAAAACAAAGTTTTGAAAGTTGCAACACAACAGATGCACTGGGAACATTTTCCAATGGAAACACAACGATTACGCTGTCAAATGCTGGTGATAGATATTTTGTTTGTGGTAACCAGTTACATTGTCTAGGGGGGATGAAACTTCAAGTAAATGTAGAAGGTGATCAAACATCTTCAACCGTTGTTGCCCCTCAAGCACAGCCTTCTTCCAAGAGCAACAACAATCCTTCAACTGTTATCCCCACTTCAAGAGGGTGTACAATTGGGGGAACTGAATCTCTTGTAATAGCCTTCCTATGTTTGACCGTAAAAAAGTTGTTTCTGTACCAGAAATGAGACCATTACTCCATATGATATAAAAGTTGTTTTGCATTGTTGAACTTAAAATTTTTACTAATAATATAAAAAAAATTATAAATAATTTATTTTTTAAAAAATTGAAAATAAGAGTAAAATTATCGTCACCATTGTTGTTCCATGATATCAACTCCAACTCATAATAACAATGCTTCGAAGTCTTAAGCTTGCCACTTCTTCTTCATCTTCTCTCATCTCTAAACCTTTCTTTTCTCTCTCTTTCTCTCCACTTCCCTCCACGGACCCACCATGAACATATTCAAAAACCTCGGCTTTGGAGCCAACAACAAGCCAACCCGGTCAATGGAAAACTCCGCCATCGTTCAGGGTCCAGATGACAATATCCCGGCTCCTGGTCAGCAGTTTGCTCAGTTCGGTGCATGCTTTTGGGGCATTGAATTGGCGTTCCAGAGAGCTCCAGGTGTGACCAAAACGGAGGTTGGTTACACCCAAGGGTTCACGCATAACCCGAGTTATGAAGACGTGTATTCTGGGACTACGAACCATGGTGAAGTTGTGAAGGTTCCGTATGATCCTAAAGAGTGTAGCTATATATGACACTTTGCTCTATGTCTTTTGGGCTCGCCATGATCCTATTACGCTCAACTGCCAGGTGGGTTGTTATGTTGTATGAAAATTTGGGGTTTTTAATGTGGTGTCTTTAGGTGGGTTTTAGAGATAGACTCTTTTCTTTATATATATTTATGTAATTTAAGTTTGTGAATGTTTTCTTTTTTTTTTCCCATTTTGGGGTGTTTTTATACGAGTGGATCGATGTGTAATCTTGGGGGTTTGGATGGTTATTAGGAGGTGGATTTTTTAATTGACTATTACAATTATGAATTATTTTATTGTAGACATCAATTTTGTTCAGGCTTATTATTAAAATTAATAATAATAATAATAATAAATATATATTTTTAAAAATAAAATAATTATTAAAAAAAAAAAAAGAGAAAATAGGAAAAAGAAAAAACCAAAAAGTAGGGTGGCTGGTGGTGTACGGCGTTGCTGTCGCCCTTGACCAGTCTCCTGTTCAGCCACCAAACCAAATAATCATCCTACAGCCACCCTGTCACCACCTGTTCCCTTTTGAATTCTTTAAAAATCCTCAACTTCTTCCCCTTGATCGATTCTCTCGGATCCTCTCTAAAAAAAAAAACTCTTTATCGGCCACAGACACAAGCATCCACACAGGCACCCAAGCTTTTCAATACCCAAAAACATCGAGTTCCTTACGCCCAAAAATCCTTAGTACACGCCCACAAACTCGAGGCTCCACCCTTACCCAACACTTTGCCTAACCACATCTAAGCCTCACAAGCCATTGCCCTCTAATCCAGACATTGATCGAGCTAAAAATCCCTCACCCACCAAAAAACAAAAAAACACTAGAAAAAAAAAAAAACAACACAGTCCTTCCCGTAGGGAGGAACCCAGGCCCAAGCTACCTGCAAAAAGGAAGATATATTAGTTTTTGTTCACAACAAAAAAAAAAAAGAAAAAAAAGGAAACAAAAACTTTGAGCCTCAATCTACGTTGATCGGGGCTATTTCTAGTAAAACGGACGTCAGATCCAGGAGAGTGCTTTGAAGAGCACTTCTGGGAGTATTATTAAAATTTTTCGACCATCGGCAACCACCGGTAACCCCACCAACGGTGACTCAGGCAATGGTCGGCGCGACGGTCCGACGACCGGACGGCGAGAGCCTGGAGCTCTCCCCCTGAGCTCTTTCTCTCTCTCTCTCCCTTTTTTTTTGAAATAGAAAATAATGAACAAAAAAAAATCTTTAGTTATATATAGGAAAGCAAAACTTAAAACGACGTTGTTTAGGAAAAGACCCAAAAAGACACCGTTTTAACCAAGGAGGATCCTCGCCTAGACCCGGATCCGACCCGAGATCCGCACAAACCAACCCGCCAACTTGCTTTAGTCAACTTTGAACCGATTCAGACAAATTGCCAGTGAACCGGTCTGAACCACTAGACTGTCCGAACCGTAAACCGGTGCAGACCAGCGTTGACCAGACCATTGACTAGTCTGGTTCAAGCAAAAAAATTTTTTTTTTGAATTTTCTAAATTTTTTTATATTATTATTTTTGTTGTTTTGAGTTTATTTTATTTATTCTTGCATGATAAATTTTTAAATTTGTTAGAATAAATATCTCATTGTTTTAATAATAATAAAAATGAAAACGATTAAAAATATATATTAAAAATGCTCAAAAAAATAATTATTATTATTATTTTTTCTGCCTAGATATTGGAGGGAATAAAAAATATTTTTTTAAAAAATAATTCCGCCTAGATGTTGGAGAATTATTATTAATAAATTTTCATAAAAAGAAATATAAGAAAATTTTAAATTAATTTTTAAAAATTATTAAAATCGAACTTGCTTCGAAAATTCGCCTAGATGTTGAAGATTTTTAAAGATGTTCGTATTTTCTTAAAAACGAAACCTTAAACACTAATTCTTAATTTTCAAAATCCTAGGTTTCTAAAACCCCTAAAATCCAAAATCTTCTAAAATCTAAAATCCCTAAAATCCAAACCCCCTAAAATCCAAAACCCTAAAACCTTTAAACCCTTAAATCTAAACCCCTTAAAATCCAAAACCCTAAAACCTTTAAACCCTTAAATCTAAACCCCTTAAAATCCAAAACCCTAAAATCCTAACTTTTAAATCCAGACCCCAAAATCCAAAACCCCTAAAATTCAAAACCCTATAATCCGAATCTTCAAAATCTTGAAACTCTAACCTTGAAAACCTTTACCCAAACCCTTACTCAAAACATTCTGAAAATCCTAAAGACATGTGTGAAAATCTCATTTGAAGTAATCTGTTCCCGAATGCTGCCTAGATGATGGGGTATTTAGGAAACTTTACTTCGTTAAGTTTTTTTACACGAATTCTTAAATTCGCTTTAATAATAAGATTAATAAATAAAAAGTATATCAGTAAATTGAGATCTTAAATATAAACAGTAGTACCTAATCTCTACCTAGATGTTGGAGAGTCGGGGTGGCCTCATTATACTTAAAAATCTAACTTTTAAATTGCATCTCATCCTACATAACATTTATTAGCATACATACGTTAGTATATTATTATCAGTATTTATTTGTATTATTCTATCTTTAATTTTTATTTACTACTTGGTGATAAAATATTTTATAATAAAAAAGAATAATACATTTAAATTTTTTTTGTGATATTATAAAATAAAATAAAAATAACATTCCGAAAAAAATAATTCTTGGTACTCTGCCTAGATGTTGGAGAGTCACCAATAATTTTTTATAAAGAGTGTTATTTTATTTTAAGAATTGTTATGTTAAATCTTAAGCAAAAATAATTATTTTAAATTTTACCTAGATGTTGGAGAATTTTAAGATAATTTTTTAATTTAAAGATTTTCTCAATGTTTCTAAAAAAAATTTTAGCAAAATTTTATTTTTTCAAATGAAGGGAATTATTGTTAAATTTCAAATTAAAACTATTTTTATCCAACACCGAAAATAACACGTAATTAAATGGTATCAATTTATGGGCGTTGTGGGGTGCTAATTCTTCCTCACATGTAATCGACTCCCGGATCCAACTTAATTTTTCGTAGATCGAAATTTATTTTTTTGATAAACTTTAAATCCGTTTTTATAGTTTTATTAAAAATATAAACTTTTAGGTGATCAATCACACTCTAACAATTATTGATGACGATTTTTTTTTATTTCTTTCAATTTTAAAACACATTACATATAACGGTTTCAAAACTGTCATGACACTTATTATAATGATAATTTTGAGGTAATTTTTGGGGATCTATGGCTAATTATTTGATTTAATTGATTTGTAGATCATGATAATATATGTATCTATTTATGGTATCTTCTCCGAAATTTGCATAGAAAACTTGTGAACCTAGAGAAATGACAGCAGTTCGAACCATTATCGAAGTTTGTGTGTTACGGATTTCCTTGTCTACTCTTCCGAGGAGCTCTCCTCGGGTGCTTCAATTCCTCTGTCTTGTAATGTGTCTCTGTTTATCTCACCCTGAAAAAGTTCAATCTTTTTGTATAAATCAAGTCATTTCTATAATTGATAGTTGGGGATTTTAGGTGCTGCTAGCTAGGTAATTTGTGGCCATTATCTCTGAAGTTACAAGTATTTGACTCTCCCAGTGTTAATGTTTTTCTGAGCCCTGAATTGTCAGGGTGTAACTATGAAATACAGATGTTATGGAATTTGTTTTCATGCTGCACTTTATTGAATGATACATTATTTGTTTTATTGATCATGTTGGTAGATGCACAATAGTCTTGCCATTCTAATACGTTGTAAATACTTGGGCAGGGAAATGATGTGGGAACACAGTTCAGATCTGGAATATACATTTACATCCCTGAGCAGGAGATGGCGGCACGAGAGTCCCTGGAAACACAGCAGAAACTCTTGAACAGAAAGATTGTTACTGAGATTTCACCAGCCAATAAGTCCTAGAGAGCAGAAGAATATCACCAGCAGTTCCTTACTAAAGAAGGTCGTTTTGGTTTTAAACAATCTTCTGAGAAAGGGTGCAATGATCCAATCCGATGCTACCACTAAGTTCCCTCTATTTTGTGCTAATTTGGATTCAACCGCAAAATGTGATGCGATTGAATTTATCGCACAATTAATTGAATTCAAATACTAATTTTAATGAGATACATTCAGTATAAATTTTTTATTGAAATTTTTTTTCAATTGTAATTACAGTAATTTTTTTTAATTGCAGCTATAATATTTTTTATTATGTTTTCAATTTTGCCATTCATCCAAATGGAGCCTTAGCATGCAGTCCTTAGCTTATGATTGTTTATAGTTTTCTGCTTTTGTATGTCACTACCGTATTATACAACTAAAAAACTCTTTTGATGGAAATTGGAATGAATGCCTGCTCATTTATGTAGTTACCGAAAATGGGGTTGTAATTATATACAGTTCGCAATCTAGCATCTATATTTTGTGTATCTACTGTTGTAGGATATCATGTTAATCATACCTCTGTGGAGGGGGTTTTGTTCTACTGTTATAGAATATTATTGTAAACCATAGTTTTATTTCATCAGGATTTGCCATTACTCATGAGGGAAGCACTTCAAAACCAGTGTTTATGGCTCGAGCTATCTCTTTGTGTCACTTCATTGTCTAAAATTATTCCAAGAATTAACCGATTGAACCATTTTTTTATTGCAACTTTAGTTGCACATATGTGATTTTGACCCAAGTGTGGAGATTGAGGTTGAGGGGTGTCTTTTGTTCTTGAATGTGCAGCCATTGCTTCCCTGATAGGCTAAGGGAGTTGAGTTCCATGTTTCATGTTTAAATCCCATTGAGACCTCCACTGATCCACCATAACTAGTTAATTAGTACTTTGTTATCATGGTTAAGATTGTTGTTCCATTGTTAAGTTTAGTACAAGTTTTCTCATTATTCTAGATTTATTTTGTGGATACTAATGAAAGAAACCATTTGATACTATGAACTATTAGGGTTGACAATTCAGCTCGTATTTGGTAAGTTCCAATCTAATTCGATTTTATAGAGTTATTTTCTTTAATTAGATTTTGGATTAAATTGGGTTGAGTATTTTTTTGAAAAAAGGTCGAGGTCGAATTAAGATTGGATTTTATGTAAATTCACCCTAACTCAATATATATATTATTTTTATTATTTATTTAATTTTATATTTATTTAATTTTATATTTATATTTAAAAAAATATTTTATATTAAAATAATATTTAAAAGATTTTATATTTAAAATTAATATTTTATTCATTTCGAATCAAGTCAATTGTAGATTTAAATATATACCAATCGATTTGTATCCAAATATAATAAATAATATTTTAATATTAAATCGAATCAAATTTAAATATTAAATTTAAAAATTAAATCAAATTCAAAACGAATAAAAACACGTCATAACCCATTCATGTGAATGAGAGATTGAAGTTCTCGATTTCGAATTGAAAGTTCCTTTTTGATAAGATATAAAAGTATTAATATAACAGTCAAATCAATGAGCAATCTTGAATTCATATTTAAAGAGAGAGAAGATAGAAACTGAACATCCACCACCATAACCTCCTAACGTGTGTAGCATGAAACCATGAACCAAGATGTTGTTGCTGTCTAACTTATTCACGACCACCGGAGACACTGTCGTGTCCTAATTCTACTACATGTTAAAGACACATGGAACACTTAATTCCAGTACATTAATTGATCAAAGTGTATTTCTTCTGTAACAGGATAAATCTGAAATTGCAGCTGCAGCAGCAGCAGGACCACATCGCTTGGTTCCTTCTGCTTTGCTTCTCGCTACTAAGCAGTACTTGTTCAGGAAATTTTGTTTCAGTCATCCACTTCATAAATTTCATAAAGGGAAGTCACGGTGCACAAGGCTTCCCGTTTTACGAGAGTTAGGGTGAGGGTCCATAGTAGGCTTATCTCAACTTTGGCAAAGTGGGGAGTCTTGTATACCGAGATTTGTCAATAAGCCACAAAATAATGCCGGATTAATCGACTTATTACTATACTTTACATGTTATTATTTATCGGTAAATAAAATTTACAAGGTTAACATCAGTTTGCTCGGTAAACCCTGAATCATAGGGAAATGCTTTCAACAGCTTTTTTTTTTTTTTCAATTGAGACATTGAAGTTCGATTATATATGATGGATCGTGATGAAAATGTCTTTTACTTGGATAATATCAACACACAATAGAGTTGGTTTTTGTTAGGATCAAATTGGTTGTGCCCACCAAACTAATTAATTATTTCACCCCATCCCGTATATTCTTTCTTTCTTGTACACTACCCCCAACGTACGTAGGTATGCCAAATTTTTATCAATTGTAGTTTGGGAGAGTTACATATTTTTTAATTAATAAAATTGGTCAGGTTTTCAACACATTAATCAAATATTTGGGCTTAACCTCTTAATTAATTAACCTTTGGTTGCGGGTAATGGCATTTGTAAATGATAATTATAATGAACATATATATATATATATGTATAAGGAAACATGCCAATTTAATGTGAATGCAAGAAATTGATAAAGAAGAGGTCAAACAATAATTTTAAAGGAAAAGAAGGGATTTGGGAATTCTATTCTTTGAATAAAGAATAAATGAATGGATTGTAAGTAATCAACTCTACCAAGCTTCGTGTTCATATCTTCACTTTTTCACTTCTTTAAACAGAAGTCAAATAATTATACCATAAATTGGAGCTAATTGATCTTTAGATCTGATCTGGAACTGTGGTTTAGGGACCCATTTTCATTTCTTAAATGTTAGATCAATATTCAGATGATTCCAGCTAATTAAGATCTCTAAAGCATAATTCCAAGATCCATGCCAGTTATATGAGGCTAAATTCAAAATCATGTGTAATGTTCTTTTGAAAGGGATCACAAAAAAGATGGTCAAAGCAAACCCTACCAGAAGGCACTGCCCTTGGTTTTTTTTTTCTGCTTTCCTTTTCTCTTTTACCTTTTCTAGTTGTTTAATAGAAAAATTGCAGCAGAAGGCACTTAAAATCATGCTAGTTTCAACATAAAATTTTGCCTTGATGAGAAAACACAGTATCACAACTTTTCTTCTTTTAGAAGTCAAGTTATTGCCTCACTAAATGCCCACCTTTACTTTGGTTCATGAAGCTCAATTCATTCATAAGAAAAGAAACCTCTCATTTTTGGCTTAGCCAAGCTACTTAATTCACCAAGTTTCCCCAAAATATGGTTCATGAAAGAAAACCAACCAAAAAGACAAAAATGATACATATTTCAATCTAAATCTACGATGGTCTCAATTTTCCTTAAAAGAATATGAGAATAAGATATGATATATAAATATATATATAAATATTTAAATTTAAAATTTTGAGACATTTTTTATATGATAAAATCATGAGACATTCAAAATTAAAACGAATAATATCTTATAAGTTTGATGCGTGTATCCATAAATTATATTAAAACAATTACTAATCGCTAAATACTACACCATAAGAAACACTTCTATAATCTTAAAAAGATTTAAGTGTTATATTATAAAAATTATTTTTAAAATCTCATCATGTAATATGATTTTGATTATATGGATCTATATGTATTTTGTGTAAAGGGAGAAAGATAACTTTTGGAATAAGTTTATTTTATATACAGGTTTTATATATTTATTGCAGAAGAAATTAATTATTCCCATTTCTTAATCCCTTTTTACACTTGTATGAAGAGATTTTTGTCAATTTCAAGTTTTTTTTATATCAGTTAGGACATGTCAGACATTATATGGAAAGCAAAAGACAAACATGTCAATTACATCTCCCAACTCATTAACGACCCAAGTTTTCCCAGTAACACGTTCTCTTATGGAAATGAAACAGCAAATTACCTTTGAAATTATGTGAACTTGTCTCCTCACAAGCAAAAGCAAACCAACACAACGCTGTGTCTTATAAGACACAGCTAAGCTAACACAAAGGAAAACAGACAAACCAACCCAACAAACAGATGGCAGAACCAGAAAGCAACGACCTCGAGCATCAAACTGTTCCGAAGGTCATAACTTTCCTGTCCTCGCTGCTGGAAAGAGTAGCTGAGTCTAATGATAACAGCCGCCGGTTTCAGCCCCAGAAGATCTCAGTTTTTCAGGGCCTTACCAGGCCTACTATATCCATTAGAAGCTATCTCGAGAGGATCTTTAAGTACGCAAATTGCAGCCCATCTTGTTTCGTGGTAGCCTATGTTTATCTTGATCGATTTGTGCAGATGCAACCGTCTTTGCCTATCAATTCTTTCAATGTGCATAGGCTGCTTATAACCAGTGTTTTGGTTTCTGCCAAGTTCATGGATGACATGTAAGTTTTTTCTTTGCATAAATTTATGATTCTCGGGTATAACTATCTGGGGTTTTCTTAGCTAAATTGGATTTGATCTGGGTTTCAAATCTGCATCTTCATGAACAAATGTCCTTCTTTAATTGAATTTAGTGTCCATCATAATTGGGTTTTGACTTTATATATATATATATATATATATATATATATATAATCTCTTCAACCTTTTCTGTATGTATGATCTTCAATCTTCAACTTCAAAATTCATCTGAATTTCAATGTTTGAGGAAAAATACTTTACTTTGATTGAGCTTCCAAGCCTTGTCTGTGCTGATATTTTCTTCTCCCACTTTCTTTTCCCGGAAGATTTTAGGAAAAAAAAAAAAACTCCTAACAAATTAAGCAAGAACATAAAATCGACACTGTTTTCAAAAAATTAAAAAGATACAGCCATGTGAAAAACCACCATCTCTAACCAGACAGCCCAACCTTAGCTGTGCTGGTATTGTCTCTGTCTATCAAGGCTCGCCTGTAAATTTCCATTAAACTGCAATAAAATTTTAAGAAAATGAAAGAGCATGTCATTATTAGAGCTAATGACAGCTCAATCAGGGCCATGCATTCTGTTGAAAAAGCAAAATGTCCACTTGCCTGCTTTCAGTGTTTAATTATTGGCTCAAGCCAAGGCCCTCCTGATTCCACAGGCAATTATGGCAGTTGTTTGACTGTCATTTTTGACAATAGCATTAACTTTATGTATAAAAAAAGAAACTTTACTCATAAGAAATAAGCAAATATTGCAATTTTCCTTTTTTATAAGCAACAAAATCTAAAATTGACATAAGTAAAAACAGAAAAATGCAAATTGCCCTTTTTCTGTAAAAAGCCTTTATATTTTCACCTTTCAGAGTAATCATTATTCTTTTTTAATCTTTAATTGGGCTTTTTAGGTTTTACAACAATGCCTACTATGCTAAAGTGGGAGGAATCAGCACAGTAGAGATGAACCTTCTTGAGGTGGACTTCTTATTTGGCTTGGGCTTCCAATTGAATGTGACGCCAGCCACCTTCCACACTTACTGTTGTTTTCTCCAAAGAGAAATGTGGATGCAATCCCCTGTACAACATTTGGCAGAGCCTTCTCTAAACATTGGGAGACCCCTGAAGATCCATTGTTGTTTCAACGAAGATGAACCCTCCCATCACCAGCAACTTACTGTTTAAGCATTGTGTTTTTGTTGGATTACTAGGAATACATGGCCAGTGATTTTGTTTACTAGAAGATGTTGGCTCAAGTTCAAATGGGACTGACATGGTGTAAAGCACATTGATTTCAGACCTGGAAGACAAAAATCTCTTTTGGCTTTATTTCTTCTCTGTTAATGTGCTGCTGTAAGGACATGTCCAGGCTCATTGTTCTTGGGTTAGTCATTTGCCTTCCTTTTTTAACTTTAGTACTACCTAATTTTTGTTTTTTTCTTTTGTACCCAACTCTGATAGTATAATGGTATGTACAGATGAGTGTTTTCTCTTTTACAGTCTGGGCTAACATGATCTTACTTTTAAAAAACATCATTATCAGTTGAAAGAAACCAGATTAATAATGGTGTCCTCTTCAGGCTCAATGTTTCATTGCAAAAGTATCCACTTAGAAAGTAAAAAGTATGGTTGGCCAGTGCATAATCAGCTGGATTCATGCTCTGTTGGAACATAAGAAATCTGGCTGAAAGTTGAATGTTTCATGTCTGCATCCTGTTATTGAAAGGAATGAAAGATCTTGTTTGTCATGGCAAAAATAAGCATTGTTTGCTAGTTTAAGCCCCCCAACGCTGGCTGAGGCCGCTCATTATTTCAGCAGGGAGAGCAGGGTTTATGGTGGGCTGGATTGGATCAAGATCAGTTAAAATTCAATCTATAAAAAATATTTAATACTTTAGGCCCGCTTCGAAGGAAGAAACCCAGAGAGTGTGCAACAACATTATACAGTGCAAATGATACTACAATACTTGCAAACTAATCAAATTTGTCTAAAATAAAATTTAAATCTGATTTTAAATTAATTTATCGAATTCAACTTATCAAGCAAGTTATATTTTTGATATGAATAGCATATAAATATAATCGAATTTTAAAATTTTAATATATTTTGATTATTATAATTAAAAAATTATTATTTTATTTACATATATATCAAAACTCCAATATAAAATCTTAAACGAATTGCAATAATTCAATATTTATATCCAATTAAACTCAAATTAAAAAATTAAAATTTAATCGAATTTTGAGTGAGCTGAACCGAGCTAAAAAATTTCTCATCGTGTAGACTGCATTAAACCCATGGTATGCATGAAAACATCGAGCCCCTAATTGGCTCGAGTTTTTTTGCCTTTTAGTTCATCAAAATTTTTTATCTCAATAGTCCGTCATCATCAGAAAGGAAATGTTCTTCTCATCCATAGCTTTAAATAACATTAAAGCTATGTAGGAAGGTGTCCTAAGATTTTTCCAATTTCATCACTTGATGACTCCAGGGAAAATACTACTCGCAGTAAACTATCAATTGAAATCACAAACCCTAAACCCAAGCTACCATTGCATCAAAACAGCTCGACTGAAATCTCAAAAATCATACTTGAGCAGATTCAGAAGCAACGATTTGGACATCACTCGATAATATCTCAGATCAAGTGTTGGATTATATAAAATTTTGCTTCATCCTCATCCGCTTCCAAAACCCAATCCCATTTGAAATTTTTTTTTTAAATTAAGTGAAAATTAAGAGATTGCTCAGTAGTGGCGATTAAGTCATAGGTTCGATTCAGCCAGCTGATTTCTTCAACGACATAAATCGGAAGAGGGAGCTGTGAATCCTCATCGCAACCTCCAATTTCACCTTTTTTATAATAAAAAAGAAAAGAAAAAGATCGCTCAGTTCATAGGTGGTCGACACGCAAAATTCTCAGACGAAGAGAAGCCTGCATTCCGGTCTGTTGAGCTTGAATTTCGTGACGTCATCACCGCGATCTTCTTTCAGATTAACTTTTCCAATGAACCAAAAACAATCGGAGATAGAGAAAATCAAAGTGAAGAGAACAAAATAAGACGAACGCAGCTGCTAAGATTAAGAATTGTGATGGCCATATATTTATAGGAGTAAAAATTAGGGTTTTAGCTGAAGCGTGATCGGTGAAGGGTGTGTAAATCTAGCGGGTCCATGTTTGGGCTCGATTTCTTTTTGTTTATTTGGGCTTAATAAAAAATTAGGCCCAATATTTGTAGGCCTTTATAAACAACATTGTGCCAGCGCCAAAACTATAATCTAATTTATACATAGCTTTTATCAACTATAATGGGTAATTTTTTTTAACATTTCTTTTTTTTTTTTTTTTCAGTTGAGGGCTCATTTGAGATAAATTATTATATATAAGAAGGTTGTTATTTCTATTTTCATATTCGTTTTTATATTTAATAAATATTTTAAATTTAAATTTATTTTTATTTATATGAATATTTAATGAGTATGAGTAATTTTTATATTCATAATTTTTTAAAAAATAAAATAAAAATTTATGCTTTAATTTTTTATTTTTATCTTATATATTTAGATAATTATTTTATAAATAAATACTAATATATATTTTAAAATAAATATATATTAGTTTGAATTAGTTTAAAATAATAATTTATATTACTTTATAAAATTCTATTCTCTAAATTATATATAAATATATTGTATAATATAAATATGAAACGAGTGTTATAATATCTATCTTCATCCTTATACTTAATAAAAAAATAAATTTATATTTATTATTTTTTTCATAGTTATAATGTAATATATATCTTTATTCTCATTTAAATAAAAAATTAAAATTTTTGTTGAATATAAATAAAATTAACATTCCTAATTTAAGGTTTAGCTCTTTCAAAATTTTATTTTTATTTGGTTGAGATCCCGTTTAGAGAAAATAAAAATTGAAATGTGTTTTTTTCCTTTACCTAATTGATTTAATTAGAATAAAAAACTTAAACATAATAATAATAATAATAATAATTTTATTAAAAACAAAAATCAATAAAATATATTAAATCTAAAAGGACAAAAAAGAAGAAAAATTCACTCACAAAAGTGTGAGTCTGCATTCAAGGAAAAATAAAATAAGAAAAGGCAGGTAACATTATGGTCCACGTAATTGGCAGCATTAGCCGATAAAATGATCCCTGCCATTCACATTTGCATCAAATTTTAATGCTTCCGTTCCACCATGTATTTGTCTCCACTCTCTCCTCCCCACCCTTCCCTCTTCCTCTGTTCTTAGACCCACCCCTCTCTCTTTCTCTTTCATTTTGAATGGTTGTTAAGTGATTGCTTCGGCATCTGACAATAAAAACTACGAAGACAGGAAGCAGATTTGATTGACAGAAAGAGGGAATTAAGGTTGAAGATTTTGAGGATGACTTGTTTGAGTCGAGTCTTGGCGGTTTCCTATACGGTAAAGCCATCGTCTCCCTACGCGCCTTGTTCTTTAAGCTCTAGATTGTTCACGCCAAACCCAAGTTGAATTCCAAATGGCGACCCATGGCCACTGGACCTGACTCTTCTTCCTTCGCGCCTTCTATTGATTCTGATTCTTCTCCCGGGTCTTTTCTCTCTCCCTCTTGCTGTATTCAATATGGGTCTTTGCCTTGTAATTTTAACTATGTGTTTATGATTAAAAAGTGCAGATTTTGCATCATAGAAGGGCCTGAAACAGTCCAGGATTTTGCCAAGATGCAACTGCAAGAACTTCAGGATAATATTCGAAGTCGTCGGAACAAAATCTTTCTCCAAATGGAAGAGGTGACCCACTGATTTGCATTTTCTTCGAGTTTCAATATGAATAGGGAAAGTTTCTGCCTGTGCTTGTCAAGTAGAAACCAAACCCCCAATGTTTTGTAGGTTCGGAGGCTAAGGATACAACAGAGGATTAAAAGCGTTGAACTTGGTATTTTAAAGGAAGAACGAGAAAGTGAACTTCCTAATTTTCATCATTCATCCCATTCCTGCCTCCACTGGTCAGATATTTTTCCCTTTAACTTATTGTTTTCTTGTTATTAGTTGTATAGTTTTGTTCTCATTAATTCAAGTTAGTGGATGTAAATGTTGCACACAGACATCTCAAGGTTTAATTTAGTGCGACTTGTTTTTCTCTTATTGCTGGGATTATTATTTTTGGTGGACTTCTGGCACCCACTGTAAGTCACACATGCTTGCCGCTCTCATAATCTAGCCTCTATGTTGGTGTCCATAGGTGAGTGGGGGGTTGTGCTTTTAGAAATAGAATGAAAAGGAATGCTTTTTTTTTTTTTTTTGGAGAGGATAAAGCATTTGAAGGGAAATAATCGATCATATAGAGGAAAACAGACAAGGGGATGACAATGTTCGCCTCGTTGCCAATGGACAGGCTAGGTGATATTAATATGAAATACGCATATGGTTCTTGGAATCATAACTTCTTTTGCCTTACCTGTTTTATTTCTTTTTCTTCCCATATCTTAGCTGGAGCTTAAGCTAGGACTAGGGGGCACATCATTTGCAGATTTCATCCGTAGCATGCACCTGCCAATGCAGTTGAGGTATGAGAATCCTCTTGGTTTGTAATGCATACGTGTTATTTGGCATTAGATTGAGTTGAGTTGCTTGATTGCTACCATTTTTACCATGATGAAGTTGATGTGCTTTTGGTTTCCTTACAACAATTCTATCAGGCACACTACTAGATAATGGCATATTCTTTTTAGACAGTTGCTGAGTAAGAATGATAGCTGGAATTGTTGCAAGCCATCTTACCGAAACAATATAAGATGTTTTCTCAGAAATATTAATGGCAAATTAATTGCTTGCACAAGGTTGCTCCTAGAAAGGAGAGAAATCTGTTTGGTGCTCAATGCAGTCAGGTTGATCCTATAGTGGCATCATTCTCTGGTGGAGCAGTCGGGGTTATCTCAGCCTTGATGGTAGTTGAAATAAACAATGTCAAACAGCAGGATCATAAAAGATGCAAGTATTGTCTTGGAACTGGTATATTCATGAAACTTTCTTCTTTTCTTCAGCCCTGCTCTATACCAGATACATATGCTAGCCACGTTGACGTTCAATGCAGGATATCTTGCTTGTGCTCGCTGCTTAGCTAATGGGTCACTTGTTCTTATTGAACCAGTCTCGACGGTCAATGGTGGAGACCCGACTTTATCAGCCCCACAAACAGAAAGATGTTCAAACTGTTCAGGATCTGGAAAGGTGTGGCATCTCAAAATATGTAGTTTCAATGATTTGTTGTTTACTTATGCATATCAACCGGGAAATTTTAATGGATGGAAGAATATTTGCTTATGCAACTTTGTTATGCAAATGGGGATGTTTGTGCTGAGCTCCGAGTTTATGGGTATGATACTAAAATCACAAGAAAGAGAAAGAAAGTGGTTAAGGATAAAGGTAGGAAATGTTTCCTGCATTTTCGTTCTGACGCTCAAGTCAAAGGTATGCTATAGCAAGTTGGAAGGAGAGTACACTGGACAGAAAGTAGAGGAAGACAAGATCTTTAGATAATACCTGGATAGCTTTATTTGTAGATGAAATGCGAGAGATCTATAGGGTAGATTGATGACGTGACTGAGGCGCCGAACTGACGTGATACTGTATATGTCAGGTCGGTTTGATATATCAAATCGACCCAAAAATAAAAAAAAAACCTTGACTGTCTGTTGATAGTCCTTAATAAAATAAAAAAAAAAAACCATTTCGCTCTTTAACCTTAAAGTATTCCTAACTGGGGAATTTCAGGGTTAGATTTAATGGTTTTCATTATTTACCTTTCTGTTCCAATGTAGAATTAGTTCACCTCATCCAAATGTTCTCTCATAATCTTTTTTTTTTAATAATTTTGGCAGGTCATGTGCCCCACATGTCTTTGCACTGGAATGGCAATGGCAAGCGAGCATGACCCACGAATTGACCCATTTGATTAGAAGTGCATTCTCACCCTCTCATTCTTATATTCAAATGTAGAGCTCCTATTCATATCTGTTTGTGAGAAGATAACCAATCCTTGTATATACAAACATCCCAAGCACACGAAGGACTTGCCTTGCTGCAAATGAATTGTATCTGTTCTAATATTTACTGAGACAATCCTTGCTTTTGAAATGAAAAACTTCAATCCTCATTTGGCTATCTAATGTCATACCAATGATTGCCGATTCACTGCTTCCAATCATCATTGTCGAGGTTTGTGATATGGGACTTCTATTATGGAAAAGTATAAATTGTCTTTCGAGGAACGAAAAAACAAGATGTCTCCCTTGGACATGCGGCCCTGGATGTATTTCACTTAGAAAATTTTTTATTATAAACTTACAATTATTTAATTATAAAAAAAAGATACATGAGTATTAAGTTCAATATAAAATTTTAAAAGATTTTGCATAATTCTAACAAATGTGACATAATTTTTGAAGTTGGATTTACGAAATATAATCGAATTAAACAAAATCAATATAATGAGAAGTTAAGAGCTTGATTTAAAATTTATTGTTCGAAAATCAATTCGAATTCGATTGAGTTTTAATTTTCAAATTTAAATTTGACTTTAAATAAAAATCGAATTATTTGAATTTACTTGATTAAACTCATTTAATAAGAAAAAGCTTAATTTTTATATTTGATTTCAAGTTCAATTGTGTTCAAATTTAAATTGATATATATATATATAATGTAAAATAATAAAAATATATTAAAATTTAAAAGTTCGATTAAATTTTTGAACTACTTGAATTAAACATTAAAATTACTCGAATTTAATTTTTTTGATAAATCAAATTGTTTGAGCTTAAATTTGATTTGTCAATGATTAAGTTTTAATGTATTATTTACACCTAATTGGATTATTTGATTGAATCCATTAGATTCTTGCCCAGGTCAATGAAAATTACTATTCTTAAATGATTTTTCATTTTTGAATTTACCATTGACAAAATGTGGGCCTTGGGCTATTGGGCTTGACCCTATAAGTTTCAATGAACATAAAGTAAAATACTTTGGGCGTCCATGGAATCATAAATTCCCGGGAATTTTTTGTTTCCCGCTTATCCCATTATTTCAAAATTTTATTTTCTCCTTCTATTTTGGAAATCAATTACTCGTCAAAATATTAAACCATTCTTTTCCACTTTCCTTATAATTCCCTCCTCGCTCAAAAAATGGGCCGAGTCATTCGCCGCCGTTGAAATCAGACCAATTCGACTTTAAGCATAAGGCGACCAACGAAGCTCTCCGGTGAACCTGCCACTGGTCCGCCGGACTAATGACAACCGCCTCACTTAGGGTCGGTCTCGCCATTCGACTAGCTTTCCAGCGGGCAGAATAGGCTATCACTCAGCTCGGCTCGGCTCAGCTCAAATTTTCTCTCTAGTGCCAGTCCATAAGCTCGGTGCCACTCGTCCAGCTCTGTCATGTCGACCAAGCGGAAACCTTCTTCTTCTCCTATGAAGGAGGCTGGTTCGTCCAAGAATACGACTCGATCGAGCCAGAGAAATCGAACCTCGAAGTCAAAGCCGGAAAATGAGAAAGTCATGGATGTCTCTCATGAGGAAGAGAGCAGTGACGGTAAGCGCAAGGAAAACTCTTTCTCTGGATCTGCTACTACCCTCAAGAAGTCAAAACGAACCCAAGCAGAACTAGGTTCGAAAACTCCATTGAAATCAGAAAATGAAGATACCGTGCTCCTTGACGACTGTGAGACCAAAGCAATTCCAAAAAAGATGAGAAAAGCTATGGTAGTTGATGAAGATGAGAAGCAGGATGCCAGGTTTATTGGCAAGCCCATAGCTGATGAGGAAGCACGACGGCGGTGGCCAAAACGCTATCAAGGAAAGGTATACATATATTTACTTTTTCTTTTTCTTTTTTTTTTTGGGTGAAAAATCAAATCTTTTTGAAAATTTTCTCTTAAGTTATAAATTTTCATATGTAAAGGGTAGATATATTTTATTTATTTATTTATGTTTTGCATTGTTTTTACTAGGGGCAAAAACGAGTAGTTTCAAGGAGTTCCAAAGAGTAAGTAAATACATTTATTTATTAATCAATTTTATTTCTTTTTTTGTTTATTTATACTGCATTTTTTTATGTAATTCACTTAGAGGCTGTTTGTTATTGTTTTCAATTGATTTTTACGTTGTGTTTAGAGATTTTAATTTTTGTTTTCTTTTTAATTTATAACATGGAACTTGTTTGGTTACTAAAATGTGGATGAAAAATTTTAGTTGAAAAATGTGGTGGAACCGGAGTGAATAACCAAGGGGTAGGAATAACGATAAGAAAAGAACTGATAATTTAAAATACAAGAAGATGATACGACATGAATATGATATGAAAATAAGATAGAAATGTGATATGGTTTAAAATTTAGTAATAACTATATATAAATTTAACCAAATATATACATATATATTACATGTTTTTGTGTGAACATAAATTATGATATGCAATTCTCATATAAATTATGATATGAGTATACAAATTTCAATATTTTACATGATATAAATATATGAATCACCATGTTTATTAAGGGGTTAGGGGTTTGAGTTTAACACTACACTTTTTTTTGAGAAAAAATAAATGTGAATATTTTATTTCAACATTTTACATCTTTTTTTCTAAAACCAAATAAACTTTTTGTTGTAGTTTTCAAAAGATGTATTCTTAGTTTTTCAAAATTTTTTTGGCACAGTGAGTCTGGTTCAGAGGTTATTCAAGCTCAATGTCACTACACTCAAGCGGAAGTGGATGGTTGTTTGATATTTAATCTTTATGATGATGCCCATGTCAAAGTCAGTATAATTTTATTATTTATAATTGTCATTTTATGCATTTACCATATTTAAAATCATATTAGTCTTGTGCATTTGATGGATTGGTTCTCAGATCTTTCACTATATTTTTATTCATTTGGTTGTTGGAAAATCTTGTCAAGATTATATCATTCCTTGATTAGGCTATTTTTTAGGTTATATTAGGAGTAAAGGTATTAGAATATAATGTGTTGTAAATATGTTTTGTTATAGGATTCAGCATGGTAATATTTGTTTCAGAAAATTATTGTGACCCTTTAAGGTTTGATGAAAAATATATTTACTGTTATTAGAATAAATTACCCTTTGTCTACTCTGGTATTAAGAAAAACGAGTCAATCAACTTTTTTTTTTCTCCATCACTGTACAAGATGCTAGATGATATTCCATCGTTGGTGGGCATCACTTGTTTATGGTTTTTAGCACTTATCTTGTTTATTATGAATTCTTTGTAATAAAAAGTTAGGAACTTAAGTTAAAACTATATGGATTTATTTGTTGACATCATTGATTAATCATTTTGTAAAAAACTGGGCTATGTTGGAAAGAAAATTGTTCAAGACTTGAGCAAAGACTGCTTTTTTGTGTATGCAAATATTTTTAGTTGTTTCATTAAGGTTTGATTGTGTTATTTATGTTGAATGAGGTGAACTTTATTAATGACTTATATAATATGTATACTAGGCTAATTCTTAAAAGTAAAGTAATTATATTACTTCTTTATATATTTATAGGCCGAAGAAGGGGAGGATTACTACATATGTAAAATTGTAGAGGTGTTTGAGGCAGTTGATGGAACTTTCTATTTTACAGCTCAGTGGTTTTACAGAGCTCAAGACACTGTAAGATAATTCTTTTATCTGATTGTTATTGTTTTCTAACATTTAATTTAACGTTACCTACGATTTTTTATTTCAGGTGCTCAAAAAGTTAGGCCATTTTATTGACAAGAAGCGTGTCTTCTTTTCAGAGATCCAAGATGACAGTCCATTGGGTTGTCTTGTAGAAAAGCTTAAAATTGCAAAAGTCTCATTGAATGTATGTTTTTTCTCTTGTAATTTCTTTTGTTCTTCATCATATCTTCACCATTTCATCATGATATGTATTTGCTTTTTTAGGTTGATTTGGAGGCAAAGAAGAAAATGATTCCACATTGTGATTATTATTGTGACATGTTATATCTTTTACCATATTCTTCTTTTATTAATTTACCTCCAGGTGATTGTTCTACCCTTGATTTCTCTATCTTTATTTATTGAGCTTATGTCAATGAATATTTGAAAATTACTAATTTGCTTCAATGTATTATGTTTTCCTTCTTTATACACCATAGAAGATAAAACAAATGTCAGTGAAGAATCTTCATCAACAATTTCTAGTGACGACACAAATAGTATTATCAGGGGAAACACTAGTTGCGAGGAAGCTTCATTGTTAGACTTGTATTCTGGTTGTGGTGCAATGTCAACTGGTTTGTGTCTAGGAGCAAATATGGCTGGAGTAAAACTGGTGACGGTGAGTTACTTCACCAATTTTAAATAATTATGCATTTTAAGCCATTCATGCATGTCTACCTACATTTAGTAATTTTTTGAATTTTTGTTGAATTTTTCTAGACATGGGCTGTTGATTTAAATAAATATGCATGTGAAAGTCTTCAAAAGAATCATCCAGAAACAATGGTAAAGATTTATTTATAATTTGTTATTTTATTTCTTGTTGCTATATGTAATATTTAAGAACTTTTGGTGAAATCACTTGGTGTTTCAGGTTAGGAACGAAGCTGCAGAAGATTTTTTAGCATTGTTGAAAGAGTGGGAACAGTTGTGTGTTTCATTTTCATTGTCAAAATCTGAAAACTTAGAGAAACAATCTATCAATTCTTTTGATGATGATGGGGATGATGAAGATGACGATGATGATGAAGAAGGTGATGTTGAAGATGAAGTATTTGAAGTTGAAAGAATTTTAGCTATATGTTATGGTGATCCAAAGGAGAAAGGGGAACGTGGTTTATATTTTAAGGTATATGTTCTTTATAACTTGCTTACTTTTAATAGAATTGCCATTACTGTAGTAAGACTTTCATTTCTTATGCTCTCACTGATTATAAGTACTTGGGCATAAATTCTTCTCTACTTTGGTTAATTATTTGAAACATTTTAGTGGTGACATGAATAAATTACTTAGCATGTTTGTGTATAATTGTGGACTTTTTGTCTATATAAATGATAAATTTATGTTTTTATTTGGTACTATAGATATGGATAATAGTTCTTGTAAAACATGCAGCAAAATTTTCTTGCGTAATAGATGTGGGTCCGAGATTGTACATTTCCTACTCTTGCATCTAGTTGTCATTGTGTAATTGGTTCATGGGCTGTATGGATGGCTCTGACTTTAGCTCATGTAGCCAGGTCTTTTTCTTCATCCTTTTATTTATTTTGTTAAGAACATTGTTCCTGAATCCTTAGTTTTGGAACTACTCCTGAAATTTTAATTCAGTCATCCATAACCATTATTTAGCTTAATGTTTTGTATAGACATTAGTTGTGTCTATATACTTTGGGGTACCCAACCATGACTCACTCCATCTCTTCTTGCAGGTTCGTTGGAAGAATTATGGGCCAGAAGAAGATACTTGGGAGCCACTAGAGGGATTGGGGTATGTGGTCAGTATTTATGATGTATGTAGTCAGTATTTATTATTGCATTTCATACTAACTTATGCAAACTGTCTCTAACAATTAACCTCTTTTGACAGTGATTGTCGAGAACGCTTGAAGGACTTTGTTACACGTGGCTTTAACTCAAAAATACTACCCTTACCTGTAAGCTTATTTTATCTTTTCTATGCTGCTTTTTACCTGAATGAATTTCGTTAAAAGGAAGTTACCTGTAACATTATCCCTGGCTTTCTCTAACAACCAACTAATCTCTCTAGGGAATGACAAGGATGTAGTAAAACATAATCATCTAAACATTTATACCACTTAGAACCGCTTTCTACTGAGGATCTTTCTTATACATGTTTCTATCACCTGGTGTTTAGTATTTGGAAAGCTTCAATCTCATCCTCATGGCATTTAACTCAAGGAATAACACAACTGTTTCACTAGCAGTACCAAAAAGAGGAGCAGGACTTGCCATTGGTTCTAATAATCACCCCACATCCATCAATAATTCAGAAATAATTATTTGATTTATTCTGTATGTTTGGAGTTTTATTGCATTTGCACGCTTTAGAATTGCAATTGAAGTGCAATTCAAACTTTCAGCTTAGCTCACTAGAGTGTACAATAGAAAACTTACTGTCGTTCTTTAAGTAGCTCATTTTGTTAATGAATTCAGTTTTTCAAGAATGAAAAATAGTGCATGACAAGAAACTTAAAAACCAGACCATACAAAAACGTATAACCTAAGGAGAAGAGCAAAATCTTGAAAGTACATATACCCGTGAGAATCTACTATGGCTTATCTTCTACATAGTATAAGACAAGAAATAACCAAGTCAGTATTGGATGCACTTTTTCTAAACCGGCTGTCATTTGCATTCGAACTCTTTTCCTACAGAAGCTTACACATGGACTTGGAATCTGTTGCCTAACTGGGTCATGTTTTTTTTAATTTTCTTTACGTTAATTTCGAGGACCCAAGCCCCTTATCTGCTTGAGTTTAAAGTGTGCAAGATATGTCTGACACAGCTATGATAGGGTAACTTCGACTTTATTATGTGTACAAATTCCTTTAATCTGGCTAAAAAATTTAACTCCAATCCTTTCTTTTGGCCCGAATAGGCTGTTGTTGCTCCATCCAAATTCATTAGGCAGTGGCTGCAAAAGTAGCTTAGAATAAACTATTGAATCTGTTTCTTCTAATTTACTTAAGCACACAGTACTTCAATACAACATTGTTGCCGTACCATGGTCAAACCATTTAAGTTAGTATTGTTAAAAACAAATGTGGAATATTTTCTGAATTCACAGGAAAATTTTGCCTTACTTTTGTTATTATCACAGATTCTTAGTCTGTTCTGTATTTTCCATCTGGTCCTATAGGGTGATGTCGATGTTATTTGCGGAGGGCCCCCATGCCAAGGCATCAGTGGCTTCAATAGGTTTAGAAATAAGGATAACCCTTTACAAGATGAAAAGAACAAACAACTTCAGGTTTTCATGTTGATAGTGGAGTACTTGAAGCCAAAGTTTGTTTTGATGGAGAACGTTGTTGACATTATAAAATTTTCTGAGGGATTTCTTGGGCGATATGCCTTGAGTCAACTAATTTATTTAAACTACCAAGTCCGAATGGGAATGATGGCAGCTGGTGCCTATGGTCTTCCCCAATTTCGTATGCGTGTTTTCTTCTGGGGGGCTCGTCCTACTGAAGTGAGTATTTTTATCACTATAAATATAAAAAACTTAAAATTGTGCTTTAATTGGATGTTCAATGTTCTCAGAAATTGCCACAATATCCACTCCCAACACATGATGTTGTAGTAAGAGGTGTCATTCCCCTTGAGTTCGAGGTACAAGAACTTGTGTCTTTGATTTTAATTTTTAAATGCTTCCATATTCTTACAATACAAAATGAATGCAGATGAACAATGTAGTCTGGGATGAAGGGCAAAGAGTAGAGTTGGAAAAGAAACTTCTATTAAAAGATGCAATTTCTGACCTTCCTGCTGTATGTTTTATGATATGTTGACATATTTCCTTTTTTTCCCTGATTTGCTAGTTCATTTTTCAATTTACAAGTAATGCATGTATTTGACTCAATGGTTTAGGTTGGAAATTATGAGCATCGAGATGAAATGGACTATGACAAGAATCCTAAAACAGAGTTTCAGCGGTTCATTAGATTAAGAAGGGAGGGTTGGTAGATTTATCATATTTTCTACATAGTTATTTACATTTTTAAATTCCATATTCATAAAACCATATTTGGATTAGTATTATCCATGTTTTGTAGTTTTACTGTTACTCATCTTTTTGCTGTGCATATGCAAAGTGCATTGCTTCTTTCATCTTTGTTAGCTAGGAGAAGTTGCATCCACCAATGGTTCTATTATGTTTCTCAGCAACTCAAGAACATTATTTCTTTAGAACTCTTTAACCAATTTTTTGGATACATGGTACCTTTCCTTATTTTTTGAGCAATGGTGTCACTTCGTTATGCAAAAAAGGCTTGTGTTGTTTCATTATGACCTGCATTTTACAACTTCATTAAGCTGGACGAACTGCAAGCTTATCTCTTTATTTTTCTTGTAGAGATGCCAGGTTCTTCTTCGGAGGTAAAACCAGCAAAACATTTGCTCTACGATCATCAGCCTCTTCAACTCAATACAGATGACTACCAGCGTGTTTGCCAGATTCCCAAAAGGAAGGTATCACTACATCTCAATCTAATTGGCATGCATAGGTATTCCCTTGGATGCTTCACTTACTACCTTGCCTTTCGTTCCCTGGCAATCTGTTGACTTAGGGAGCAAATTTCAGAGACTTACCTGGTGTTCTAGTTAGTGGTAATAAGGTCGAATGGGATCCTAACGTGGAGAGGGTTTATTTGGAGTCAGGGAAACCTTTGGTAATCTTTTCATTTTATTTCTTGTTGATGCTCTATTTATCAATCTATTCTCAATATCTCTTCTGTTCCACTGTATGATGTTTTCATTAACAATGAGAGGTCCCTGATTATGCCATGAGTTTTCTTGGTGGATCATCATCCAAGTGAGTGTTTTTCTTACCATGTATTTCTTTGATAACTTATTTGAATTGAATAACCTCGCAATATGAAATTTTGTAGATCATTTGCTCGTCTATGGTGGGATGAAACTGTACCAACAGTGGTTACCAGGGCAGAGCCTCATAATCAGGTTATGATTTATGCATATATTGTGTTAAACCATATCTATACACAAACATTATCTAAGTTGCAATGTTTGGTATTTCTTAACAGGCAATTTTACACCCTGAACAAGATCGTGTCCTCTCAGTTCGTGAAAATGCAAGATTACAAGGCTTCCCTGATTACTACAGGCTTTTCGGACCTATTAAGGAAAGGTACTTGTATTACCAATACATCTTGATACAACTGCATGCCTTGTGCAATTGTTTGGTTTCAAGCATGAAAATTTATCTGTTTGGAACAAAAGTTCATTGACTGTATATTATATGTTGATAATGTATTAAATATATATATTTTTTACTTGCCAATATGTTTATATTAATCACCTTCAAACCATGAAAAAATTTTACTGTAGGTGATACTGTTTTTACTTGGGATTTTCAAGAATAAAAAAGCAAGTACTAGACATATTAAACCAAATTGAGCCATAATCTTTTTGGAATAATAAGTTTAGTTATTTTTGTTTTTGATTTTTTTTAGGTATATTCAAGTTGGGAATGCTGTAGCTGTGCCTGTCTCTCGGGCTTTAGGATATGCATTAGGTTTAGCTTACCAGGGTGTTTCAAGTGATGAACCTTTAATGAAACTTCCTCCAAAATTTCCAAACATTGTGGACAAAATTTCTTCAGAATCATCTGAAGAAATCCCTTAGCTCCATTTAGTTTTTTATTTTTATTTTTTTTGGGGGTTAAATCATGATGTAATTGTATATCACCGAGATGTCATTCTTATCAAATTTGCAATGAAAATTTTGGATTATATTTTATAATCATGTTGAAGATGTGAACATTTATTTTGTTATTCAGAGTATTTGAAAGTAGTTTATAATTTCACAATAACCTTTTCCTCTCTTAAATTAGTACTCACATCATTTTTGGCATGTAATTTAATAAAAAAATTTACAACTTTGGAAGGTTTTCTGTAAAATTATTTGTAATATTGGTTTTAACAAGTAATTAACAGATAAAAATAATAATTTTTGGGCCTGATCAAACAAAAAATCCTTGATAAAAAGAGCATTGACCATAAAGAAAAATACTTAACTATTGATGATAATCTAATGTTATATGAGAAATTATGGAAAATAAAACTACCAAAACTGACCATTTAATACTGAAGAGTGATAAATAGCAAAAACAACATAATCCCAAGTTCCAAATTGGCATTTCATTTTTCTGTTCCATCCACTTTTCAAGTGACTTTGTGGATGATGTCCCCTACAAGCTTCTTCAACAGCTTTAGTAGTTGTTTCACCAACTTGGTTAGAATTGGTGTGACTGAAGAAAACACAGACGTAATTATGATGGTGAAGACCTTTACACTACTTGGTGCAATGCTAGAAATGGCAGTGTTATATGTGAAAAACAATGCCACCATACAAATTTGAAGCTCAAATTGCAGTGGAAAATTGCTTGCGAGGATGTTGATCATGAAAAGCGACATTGCAAAACCTATTGAGTTGAAAACCACAAATAGTGCAAAAGTAATTCCACTGCTGGTACCCATTATGGAGTTATCTGTTGTGTGTGCTCCACTGAAGCTGGTGCCATTGTTCTGGTCAGGAGAATAATTATCTTGCCAAGTACCCCCTGGAGGGCTGAGTCCAACCTGGAAGGTGGCTGTTGCCACCAAAACAGCTATCACTAATAAAGCACTGGGTGCTTCACTGGGAGAGTCTCCGCCCTTCTTAAACTTGAAATACTCCAATTCATCTTTCTGCCTTGGCCATCTCGGTCGTGTTCTGGGGTGGTTTAGTACTGCATTATGAGATTCACAGGAAGGAATTGGAGAGGTCATAACATCTCTAGCTCTCAAAGCTCCAGCCTCTTGAAGAATCTCTGCAATTTCTCTATCACCGGCTTCACTAGGAAAAATCTGTAGGACATCCAGGGCAGTAAGACCACTTTGGTTTACCGCATTTACTTCCAACAAGCCTGAAGTAGTTGTTCCACTGACAAGTATTAATTCTATCACCTGAAACGATATTAACAGAAACATCATCTCATTGTTTAGCTTTACACTTGTACTAGATAGACAACATAGTGAAAAACAAATAGATTTTTGGCTAAAAAACCAGGAGCATAGTCTAGAAATATTTCCCATTTTATGGACAGAGGGATGCTTAAAACAAGAAAACAAATGGATTAAACTTGTAACCTAGAAAAGGTCAGCTTTGACAGCTCGGGTATTCTGGATTCTTTCTTCCAGAAGTGCCTTGCAATTGCACTATGTATACTAACTTCATCTAGAGTATGTTCAACTTTGTGTTTCTTGTACAATACAATATCATAATCTGTAAAGAAGCAATGTTTAGCAAGAAATAGCGGAATAGCAAATATTGAAGAGAAAATACTTGCCTGCCGTTGTTTCTTCCAAGTTGCTAGGTGCAGAACTGTATTGCCTTGCTCATCCTTTAGATTTAATATATCTTCTTTCTTCATCTCCAGAATCCAGTTAACCATAGCTTTGATTGCCTCAAACTGGCTGTTCTTAATGGCAAGGTGCAAAGCAGTCTCCCTTTGAACTGACACGCCTTCAATACACTCACCACAACTCAAAAGCATTTCACTGATTACATCAACCCTCCCTGTCAAAGCTGCAAAATGGAGAGGAGTCTTGTTCTCTCTTCCCTCTAGGCAGCATAATTTCCGTTCAACTTTCAGAAGCTCTCTTACAACCTCAATATGCCCGTTGGCAGCAGCCAGGGCTAAAACCATCTTTATTTACTTCTTCGGCATACTTAGGCCTTAGTCTCAAAATCTCTCGAACAAAACCAACATGCCCTGCAGCTGAAGCAATATGTAAGGGATTTTCGCTCGAATAAAGTGAGATGGTGTGCATGATTAAAGGGTTTTCTCTTAGTAAATTGTGGAAGTCATCGACATTTCCAGTCCAAGCAGACTCAAACAACCTCGAATCCATTTTGATATGGCCAAGCTTGTTTTCTTAGAAGGAAAACAAGTTTTATAGGCAGAAAGGATGCATTTTTCTTTTTGTTGATGAATAATGAAGAGTCCTGGTAGAAGAAGGAATGTTAATAACTTCTTTAATGAATGTCAACTTATTTTCAAAAGGTCTTCATGTGAACAAGCAATTAGGAGTTGACATATGCAAGCCAAATGTAATAGTTTGACCTTAGTTTTAAATAATAACTTTCTTGATTATCTAATGAACCAACTCCTGCATATCAATATATTTATTTATTTATCTTATTTCGACTGACTTTATCATATTCATACGCCAGACATCTAAAAAACTTAAATAATTTCAAAAACTAAGGTGCTCTGACTTAACAGAAACATGAATGAAGCTAATTTAGATTTCTGGCTGGTTTTAAGACGCTGTTGGTTCATATAACCGCTTAAGAGATGGCATTTACCATGTTTGGATTCACGTTTCAACATTTGCATCCGCTTCTCTCTAACTCAGCTTCTGCCTCCCTTACAAAAAGAAAAACCAGAAAAACCAGTAATTAACTACAACAACTATATTCTACGGATGACAAGTCTGTAATGTTTTCTGTTCGCTGATGTGATTGCTGTGTAGTTTCTCGAGTCGTGTACATAGGGCAAATCCCATAGCTTATGTTTTAACAAAAAATGACCTCATGTCCTGTACTTTTCAGGTTGTTTACCAGTGTATGCAGGGTAGTTTCAAATTCAAAGATAACAATATATTGTTATTACTTGATAGGATACAATTGGGGCAAATCAAATGCAAAGAGATAAATACCAAAACCATAACTCAATTATACTTTTATTATATAGAAAGAAAGTTGCAAAAGATTGACTAGAACGGGATGGGGATGATGCTCTTCATCTGGTAGTTGGCGAGGACAAAGAAAGACAAGGAGATGCTTTTACTAAAAATGAGTTTGAATTTCTACTTGTATCTTTTTTTTTTCCAAGTAATAAAATTGATCGTTTTTCTGTTTAATTTGGTTGTTGAATTTAAAAACCAAAACTGATAAGAAGTGCTCTTTACAAGGCAAAATCAGGTTTCAAATTGATAGTCTCATTGACAAAGTCAATGTGCTTGCAGTGTAAGCTATGTGCAAGGGGTTTCCCGTCTGAACAGCATCAAACAATCTTATGACCATTCTGATCTGATAGAGTTATGTTATATCTGATCTTTGAGTAAAGATCAGGAGCTATTCATACATATAAAATGATTGCAGAAGTAACTTTTCCTGGAAGTAATCATTCTCTTTCAGCCAACTCCCCCAACCAAAATAAAGATTCCTCGAACGATTAAAATATTATGCTCCCTAAGATCTACCTTAGAAGAAGAACTAAAATAATGGACAGATGTAACCACATGTAATGTAGTGAACTTAGCCATATAAATGTGAGGATTATTTTTGCTGCTGCGGACTAGTTGACCATTATTTCCATTAATTTTCAAGAATTTGGAAAAGTACCATTGTTTGTTGCCTTTCAAAAGCCGATGTTATCCCATTATTCTTATATGCACCACCGATCACCAATGTGAAACTCAGCTACCAAGTTTGATCCTAGACAGTAGTTTAATGTCTTGGTTGAATTGAAAAACCGTGTTTAGAAAACTAATGTGGAAAAGCAATTATTTTATCTTAATGTTAGTTGGAACTAAAGTTTTTTAATCCGTTTGAAATTGCACTTACCATTCAAAGTTCAGACCAAGTTTTAAAAAATTAAAACATCATTTCATTGAGGATCATTGACTTCACCAAGATATGACGAATTCACCTTTACAATCAACCTTCTTATAATCAGTATGTAGAATAAAAAAAACTTGGTTGTTAAGTAAGATGAACCGTGGAATAGACTGCAACTGATGTTATTTACAGAGGGCAAAGGCACATGCTTTGCACAATCTTTATATTAATCATCATATCATTTCTTCCCATTCATCGTCTCTTTGATAACAATGACATTCCCATGCTGAGAGTTATTGTCCGCTTTGACCCAAAAGTCTCACGGTTTTGTCTTATAAAAAATATTTCATAAGTTTAAGTTTAGATCTCTCTATATATTATATCATATCCATATATTCTTCCAATGTAAAATTAGGGACGGTACAATCTTTTTACCTTTAAATTTTAACATCCCTGTCAAGCCGAATTCAATTACAGGAACAAGATCACACCTAACGTTGGAATTTTAAAGGTGACTTCCCACTGTATAGTATTTAGTGACTCCCATTGCCCCCACCATGTAGCACTTAGTGATTCTTATGATGTAACATTTAGTTCTTGTCTACTGGTAATCGCTCTGATACTATTTGTGGAGATCTACACCCAACTTATAAAATATTGTCCACTTTGATCCGAAAATTTCATGATTTTGTCACACAGAAAAAACCTCACAAGTTTGAGATTAAATCTCAACTTATATATCATATTACGACAAAATTTTACTGTAGATGATAGTTTATTCTATTGGAGAAAGCAGTGCTACCATTCCAGGTAGTTTGGCCTCCTTTTGACATTCTGAGCTCCTTATTTGTGTGGTTATCTGCAGTGAACATGGTCCTACCTGGAGCTACAATATGTAACACAAAAGAACCATGTTGTTATAAGTATAACCATAACAGGTTTAGTAGATGAGCATAAAAAGAAAGCTGGCAAGCTTCTGCAACAGCAATGAAAGATGCATATGTCGACCAGGATCTTCCACAACTGAGAAGTTATATTCTTGAAGATTAATACTGTTGGTGGAGAAGTTTGAAGGGAACTTATGTGTAAATATATATGGCCATGTCTCAACACTTTGAGTGGATAAAAGATGATCTACTAGAAATCTGTGTAATAAGAAAAGAAAATGTCTGTATGATGTGTGGCCGTGTGGGATATCTTTGCACATCTGATATTCTATAAGGTAATGGAGGGCA